ATCTTCAGTTCAATTCTTGATTGTAAGTGCTGTTCCTGTCACCAGAAAAAAAGGTTGGGGTCGCGCTGGCCAATCATCTGTTCAATCAAGAGTTAGCAATAAAGTAGGATTTGTCTAGACCTTTGGCACTCCATATGTTGTGAACTTCATCTACCCAGATACTTTTCCAGCATTATGGATGAAAAAAACATTATAAGAGATGTAGTGCTGAAGGTGGCTTACCCCTGTTTTAGACTTCAACTACTGAGGAAGACAGACCAGCACTGATAAAGTGTGTTTACCATTGCGGTGCCAGTGTTGGGGATAGCCTGGGGCTATCTAGTGATAAAAGATAACGGGGCAGCACTATATAACAGAATAAAAGGCAGCAACACCTAAAAGGGGAAATTCTCTCCAAGAACCCTTAAATAATGGTAAAATAGACAAAAGTATAGGGTGCACCAGGGGACAATATTAATGGTAAAGTGGGAACAAGAAATAAACCTGGCTCTTCTATATATCATATTCCCTTTCTGGGATGCCCTCTTAACATTTAGACTATTTGTAATAGTCTCTCTCCTTCTGGTTTCGTTCTGTTTTTGGCCCCGCCCCCTGCAGCCTATTGGCCGCACTAGGTTCTGCCCGCCCTCTTGCCTCCCTACTACATATCCCATAGTTTCCGGGCACATGATGTCATAGCCACCGTCGGCCATCACTACCCTTGCACGCCCACTTTCTGCTTTTACTGTTTTCTAACGTTTTAAAACACGTTTTTTTATCCATTTGACTTTTATCTGATTCTACATAATCATATAATTCACCAAGTATAATCTATTTCTCATTTTAATAATTTGTAATTTTACACCATGTAAAAGACTGTGAGCACAGTTTATCTTTTATTACTCCTAGTCTATTATTTTTATACAGAGATCACTATTGTTGCCTTTTTTAATGTTTGTTTCTGGTTTTATATACTCCTGGTTGCTATGACATCTACTGACTGTACCTTCCATTGGTGTCCTATAAGTGGGGGACCAAAACCACTGCAAGCGCATCACATGAGAGCTGGTCAAAGCTCTATGATATGTGAGTAGAACATTTGGAAGTCTTCTATATATGTGCATTTTACTTTGAACCTATTACACTATTGGAGTCTTATTTCTTTTCTTTTTATATATACCTGTGGACCCTTAGCATCCCGGTAACTACCAAGTTTGAAGAAGGAGGAAACCTATCCAGGCACATAGAGACTTTTTTTCTTATCTCTATTACTAAGACCTCATTTTGTTATAGCTGCTATTGTCTTAGGGTACCTGTATTACATACATTTTGTAATATGTTTTATTTCCTGTTCCCACTTTACCATTCATATTGTCCCCTGGTGCACCCTATACTTTTGTCTATTAATTCTAGTGAGACTAACCTTAGCTTTATACTGTACCTAGCTACTAGTACTGCCAGGAGCACTAGATAAAACTGTAAGTGGTAGATAGTAGATTGGCATTTGGGTTGGCAGGCAGGTTGCTATTGTTTCTTCTGTGAGAGTATTTTACCAATATACTATTGCTAAAAGGTTGGGTTTTTTTTTGTTTTTTTTTACTGTTTGGGGGAAGAACATACTTCTTCTGTGAACTGTGGTGTCAGGAAAAAAATCCTTTTACAAAGCCCGTGTCATTGACTCTAGTTCGAGACAAGCATATCAGTATACAGTTGTTAAAAGATTTTTTAAAATACATTTTTTTACTATTTGGAGGAAAGAAATTCTCATTTTGTTTTATTTTTTTATACTGAGTGTGCACTGTCCAGTGTGTTCCTTATAACATTGCAGTAATAAATCCACCAATCATCACCCCATTTTAAAAATATATTTATTATAGTACAAGCAGTCACACAAAGGTGATACATAGCATTGTGATTGAACAATAAGACATTACTGCCATCTTGTCATTCTAACTTTGGAGTAGAAATACATAGAAAAACACCTCCAGCAATAAAAAAGGGAAGAGCAGACTAAAATGATAAAAGAAAAAGAAAAGTGTGGGTGTATCAGGAAGTAAGTATGGGAGAAGCGGGTGTATTTTGCTGCCACTGAAGAGGATTCGAGTATATTTGGTTTAACTCTTGCTACGTGTCAATATTGATGATTTCTTCCCATAATGCCCTAAATTTTTGAAATGTAGGCAGTGAGTTTCTAACTTGTGCTGTCAATTTGTCCATAAAGTTGTTTTCTTTTATTTTGGGCGAGAGCCGTTTGAATTGCTCATTTAATTCTGGCCAAATGTTTCTTTTCTTGGGTGTTGAGACTGTCCCGAGGTTTACTATATACCCATGGATTTACCGGAATGGAAAATTGCAGCAATCCTGCAGAAAATCTTAAGTAGGTTATGAACCTCTACCTAGAATATAACCACTTTTGGGCATGTCCACCACATATGATAATATGCGCGTCTAGGTCCACACAGTCTCCAGCATAGATCCGAATCCATCTTTCTCATATGAGACAATTTAACCGGCTTTGTATACCAGGGAAGTATTATATTGTGGACTGTATTTTTTGAGGGGTTTCGGAAGTGCAGATTATTTCAAATGCTGTGGGTGGTGTAATACATTTTACTGTTTTGAAACACTAATATTTGTGTTCAGCGTAGTCTCCCGAGTAGAACAGTACCCCCCATGTACAGGTTTTATGGTGTCTTGGAAAGTTATAGGGTTAAATATAGTGCTAGCCAATTAAATTCCCTTTACTTTCGGCATGGGTTGTCAGGCAGGTCCCGCTAATTGTAATTAATTAAGATACCTAATTATGTAAAAATATTACATAAATATATATGTAGAATTAATATATGTATATATAAACATATGTGAATCTATATGTGTATATCTATATAATTTTTTTTAAATATTTTTATTTATATATATAGTGATATATAGTGATATATACGTATATATTTATGTATGTAGATATATATATTATTTTGTTCTACGTGTATTTTGATATAAATATATATATTAATATCACAATACAGTTAGAATGAAATAACACACATCTATATATTTTTTAATTAATTTTTTAAAATAATTTTTTTAATTTTATTTTTTTACGTATTTACATATTTAATTTTTTTATATTATATATAAATATATATATAACAATAATTATATATATATTTAATCAGTATCAGTCTACGTGTAATTTGATATTAATATATATATATAATTATATATATATTAATAGTAAAATACACCTAGACGGTGTACGTGTGTGTATGTATATGTGTATATATATACTTAGATCATATATATATATAATATATATATATGATCTAAGTATATATATATTTTTTTTACACTAATACATTTTATTTTCATTTTATTTTCAGCCAGCAGGGGGACCACCTGTCATTACAGGCAGCCCCCCTGCTGGCAATACAGAAGCCAGCTATCCCCGGCCATGTGATTGTGGGGTCCTCGCTAGGACCCCACTCTCACATGGCCGGGGGGCTTCGACGAGGACGGACGTGCCGCGGGGGGCTCCCTGGGAGACCCCCCACCGCGATCGCCGGCGTGGGACCGCCGGCGACCGGGTAAGTAGGCAAAAACCGGAGGGCGTACAATTACGCCCGGCAGCGTTTAGAGCCGCCTATAATAGGGCGTAATTGTACGCCCTCCGGTCTAAAGGGGTTAATGTCTATATACCACACTAAATCTATATTTCTTTGAGAATTCTCATAGAGTTGTCTCCCCGGAATGAAACACACTTGGTCAAGGTGAACCCATGTGGTAAGTAATAAGTTGAGTCTCTCTGCTAGGAGGTTTGCAAGAACCTTTAGAGGCTATAGTTAGCAGCTTGAGTATGATCCTGCCCTGGTTTGGGATTAATATTATATTGGCAAAGGACATGTCAGGATTAGGAATCCCTCTGGTTGTAAAATTGTTCAATAGTGTTTCTATGGGGGGGAACAATTCATCTTTGAATGTTTTGCAGTAGCTCCCGTTAAAGACCTCTGGGCAAGGAGCCGTATTGTCCTTTAGGGTGGAAATGGCCTGTTATATCATCTTTTTTGAATGGAGGAGACAATGCATGACATCAACATTGCTGGTTGTAAGTTTAGGGAGGTTCAATGACTGGAGGTATCCTCTAATTTATTCTCTGTAATTATGGTTCTTATCTGAGGAAAGTGATTGTATATGGATGTAAAAAAGTTGGTGAATACCTTATTGATTGTGTCTGGGGAAGTCAAGACCAAGCAGTTATTATTTCTAAGGGTAGTTATGGGTTTAGTGTCCTGGTGGGATTTAACGGCTCTTGCTAACATAGTGTAAATTTTGTTGGATTTTTCATGTCCATTCGTGTCATGCCTAAGCCATTTGTTAGGAAATTAAGTATAATCTATGGTATTCTCTATCTGTCAATTAAAACTATTGATTTCTGTTGAACCAATGCACTAACCTCTCCTATCCTCCCTGCACTACATTAAAATCTCCATCCATGAGGAAGACCCTGTGTAGCAGAGATTGGATTAATACGTCTAACATCTCCCAAAATTTATGATGCGATGTGTTTGGTGCATAAATATTTATAAAGTGATAAGTCATTAAGTGCAGGGTGTACAGACTTTCTGTCACTAGTACCATTGTCCAATCCTGATCTTCCTCTATGTGGTTGACCTGAATTGGGCAATGTTTGTGAATTAATATGAACCTGTGATGATATTGCCCTGGTGTCTCTGGAAATAAAGGTGTACCAGTTCAAGAACACTATTGTCTTTGGATTTCTTTTACCTAACCTGCACCACTATCTGTTCCACTAAATGCTATTACTCAGCTTTGGTAGCGTGTAGACTGGCAATCCAGGATATCCTGCCCTGATATCTCCCATTACTACATCTATCTAAATATCTACCTAGTCCTCTGGCAATGCTTTATGAGCAACTACTATAGAGAACAATAAATAGCAATATACTGGTGAGACCTCAAGGAAGAGACAAAACAAGCTTCTTCTTGGTGCAAACAGCAACTAACTTTATTTTGCAGGAGCCAGGGTTTTTAAACACTCAGCACACAATATATAACTATATTATTTGTTACAGTTCCCTTCCCTCTTTGTGCATGTCCACTATTTTTATTATTATTATCATCAGCATTTATATAACACCAATATATTCCGTAGCACTTTACAATATTATAAGAGGGGGAGATTTAACAATAAACCAGACAATTACAAAAACAGGTTGAAGAGGACCCTGCTCAAACGAGTTTACCATGACAACAAAGAGCTATCTGGATCGGCCAGGTAGATATCTCATGACAGTCTGTATCACAATCTCTTTTTGGCCCCAGCTGGAGAGGAGAGGCTCTGACGCTTGTGCCATGTGGCACCACAAAGTCCCTTTTGTCAGACCACCCTATTACATATAGGAATTGCATTGGTGACAAATGCTCTGTTGTAATTTATGGAAATTGGTGAGGATGTGTGAAAGTGTGACTCCTGAAGAAAAGGTATTTCAGCTTTTAGTGTCTTAAGAAGGCGTCTCTTGTTGGGGGAATAGTCACTAACCCATTTTACAACACAAACACCACACCAACAGTGCTCTTCACTAGTATTGGCACCCTTGGTGAAAAATAGCCAAGAAGGATTCCCTTCTGATCTTTTATTAAAAAAATACACAAAAATGCTCCCTCTCATGGGTATCAAACAATTATAAACACAACACAGGTTTATAAAAAAAAAAAAAAAAACCTAAACAAAATAAATATATGAATGGCACAGTTATTGGCAGTACCTCTCTTTGCAAAGATAACAGTTCTTAGTCTTCTCCTATAATGCATGATGAGGTTGGAGAATACATGGCAATGGATCTGAGATCATTCCTCAATACAGAATCTCTCCTGATCCTTCAAATTTTGAGGATGACATTGGTGAACTCTCTCCTTCAGTCCCCCCTAAGTTTTTTTATGGGGTTCAAGTCAGGGGACTTGGATGGTCATGGCAGGATCTTGATTTTGTGGTCAGTAAACAATTTTTGTGTTGAATTTGATGTATGTTTTGGATCATTCTCCTGGTAGAAGATCTAACCATGGACCATTTTAAGATTTCTGGTAGAGGCAATCAGGTGTTCATTTAATATCTGTTAATATTTGATAGAGTTCAGGATGCCATGTATCTTAACAAAATGTCTAGAAGAAAAACAGCCCCAAAACACTAAAGATGCACCACCATATTTAACCAAGGGCATGAGGTACTTTTCCATATGGCAACTTATCTGTGTGCGCCAAATCCACCTCTGGTGGTAGTGCCAGAAATGTCTAATTTGGTTTCATCAGACCATAGAACTTGATCACTTTTGAATTCCCTGTATTTTAAGGCAAACTGATGATGGAGTTTGTTTTGGATGGCTTTTATTTTGAAACCCTTCCAGACAACTTTTGGTGATGTATGTGATGTCGGACTGTAGTTTTGGAAACTTTCTGACCCCAAGACGCAACTAACTTCTGCAATTCTCCAGCTGTGATCCTTTGAGATTTTTTGGACGCTCAAATCATCTTTTTTACAGTGCATGGGGACAACACATCCTCTTCCAGGTTGAATCATAACATTTCCAGGTGACTGGAACTTCTTAAATATTGTCCTTATGGGGGAAATTGGCATTTTCATTGCTTTTGCTTTTTTTTATAGGCACATTTTGTGAAGCTCAACTATTTTTTGTAGCACATCACAGCTATATTCCTTGGTCAAACCCATTTGGCATTTAATATTTTGAAAAAATAATTTAAAAAATTCATCCAAAAATATGAAATATTTTAACAGCTTATCCACAAACATAAAATTGAGGCCGTAGTAAGCTGTCTAGTAAAGTAAAACATTTCTTCCAATGATTAAAATATATCATACATAAAAATACTGTATTAAATTAATGGATAATTATAAACAATACAACATAAATATAGCACGTGAATATGTGAATTTCATTCATATTTCACACCTTAATGATCTTGAACATCACCCCTATGAACATTTGTCTGCTGCTATTCAGTATTAATTACTATTTTACAACACGGGCTGTAATTGTGATATTGTCCTCAACTGAATGTCTCATTAAAATTTTCACAAATTAAATCCAAATTGCAAAACTAAGGCTAAAATAGCTCATCTAGTAAAATTCTGTAAACCCACCCACACTTGGCTATTTTTGCAAAAAATCAAAGGACCTTAAGACACCAGATATTTTTGTATTACCTTAATACACATTGGACTTTTTCTTGTTCTGTTCTTGAATTACCATAATATTCCTTAACATAATGTTTGATCTATTAGTTTGATCAATATTTTGATTGTGTTTACAAACCAAAATTAATTCTTATTCACAAAATAGATACTCTTCAATTTTAGTATGGCTTATCAACTTTAATACAAAAGACACATTATTATAATGAAATCATCAAATAAGCCAAATATCAGTTTAATAATCTAAGCAGCTATATAATTACATATCAACTGTTTCATCAAATAAATTATCTTGAAAGGACTTATAGGATTTTAATCATTGCTCACAGACATGTGAACTTACAAACCTATTTATATACAGTTGTGCGCAAAAGTTTGCATACCCTTGGAATATTGGTAATATGTGTACCATTTTTTAAAGAAAATATAAGTGTGCAGGGAAAACATATTTCTTTTATTTCTTATGGGATTCATATTCAACTGTAGGTTAAAACAAAATGGCACAATCATAAATAGCAACAAAGAAAAAAAATGAAATGACCCCTGTTCAAAAGTCTGCATACACTTAGTTCTTAATACAGTGCATCAATGATAGCATGCAGTCTTTTGTAAAAAAATGTCTATGAGGCCTTTAATTCTTACAGGTAGTACAGCTGCCCATTTGTCTTGACAAAAATGCCTTCATGTCATGCCTCTTTGCTCATCTTGCATGAACCGCACATTTGAGATCTCCCCAGAGTGGCTCAATGATATTTAGGGTCAATAGACTGTGATGGCCACTCCAAAACCTTCACCTTTTTTGCTGTAACCACTGGAGGACTTAGGGTCATTGTCATGCTGGAAAGTCCAAGAGCGTCCCATGCATAGCCTTTGTGCAGAAGAATGCAAATTGTCTACCAGTATTTTCTGATAACATGCTGCATTCATCTTGACATAGATTTTCGCAAGGTTCCCGTGCCTTTAGAGCTCACACTCCCCAAAACATCAGTGAGCCACCACCATGCTTCACAGTGGGGATGGTCTTCTTTTCACTATAAGCTTTGTTGACCTGTGTGTGACATCTTGTGTGTCTGTAACAAGGCCAAACACTTAAGGGTATGTAAACTTTTGATGAGGGCTATTTGGGTGATTTATGTTATCATTATGATTTTAAAAGGACTCATACAACTATTTGATAATAAATGGCTTCATATGATCCCTATCCTTCAATAAAATAATTTTTTTGCATGATCAGTCATATTTTTTAAATCAATGCCAAAATTTCACAATTTCTGCCAGTGTATGCAAACTTTTGAGCACAAATGTATATGTGTAAGCATTTGATATTATTTGTAGAGTTGTAAAATAGCCAAGAGATTAAGGCGATATAATTTGATAATTGAAGATACTTGACTATCAGTGAACATGTTAGAGTAGAGATTGTAGCCGTCTTAGTTCAGTGATGCAGATCTAAATAACAGATGAAACTTGTATCTTGTAATAACTTTTTTGTTGGACTAACATAATTTTGGAATGACAAGCCTTTGGGAGAACCTCCTTTTCTCAAGTCTTAAGTCTAAATGTTTTAGACTCGAGAAAGAGAGGTTCTTCCCAGAGCTAGTCATTCCAAAATTCTACCAGTCAAAAAAAAAACAGATTATTTCCCTGAATAAGCAAATGATTGTTTAATAACTATTGTGCAATAATATATATTCTTCAAAATGGGACATTTCGTGGCTGCTGTAATATTGACGACGTATCCAGGTTTAAATTATTTTGTTTAGCAATATTTTACATTTGTGTGCATTATTATATTTATAATATGTTTATGTTTTTCCTTTCAGGGAAAATGTAGGAAATTTAGCATCTAACATTTTATTTTATTTTATTTTAGTTATTGGTTTATTTTAGTTACTAAAATATTATGTAGTAACAGACTGTTTCAAACAGAATATTCACATGCATTTAATCCTTCACCACCAGCTTGTAGAATCAGTCAGATTTTCATTTTAATAAAAATCTGACAAATTGCAATGATGTCATTATTTGGAAGGGTGCGGTTAACTCACGTGTCGATATCCATGTTTTAGCTGGTGGACTTGATGGTTTTCCAAATCATATCTATCTATCAATTTAATGATTTGTAATATTTCATAAAGTATATAACTTCATGGATGCAACACCCTAGAGTAAAATGGACAATTCTTGCAATATTGAGCGTTTCACTTCTAACAGATATAAAACACACATTGATGTGTTTCTCCAGTCAAATCATTTATCTCTTGAGCTATCCCTGTGGGCCACAGTACATTGCTAAAATGACACAACAGCATGAGGCACGAACTGGATACCATGTGAGAAACATTACATTTGAAGATCAAAGGATCTCCTCAAAGGGTCTTCGCACAAAAGCTTACACATGTGATTTGTGCAACTTGCAATATATAGACATCTGTAGAGACACTAAACTGGAGAGGTGAGCTTTGCCTACAGAAGCTAGTGTAAAGATAAAGGTAAGGAAAAAAAATAGAAATAAACTATTTTTACCTTGAGTCATCCATTGTGTGTGTGTGTATATATATATATATATATATATATATATATATATATATATATATATATATATATATATAAATATAAAATAACAATACATGTAAATACAGTGAAACTACACTGAAATATCAGGTTCTCAAATCCTAGTTTACCAGTCTGGGTGTGAAATCTATTTTATTTTTAAAGCTCTTTATTTAAAAGAAAAGTGACAAAGTTGGTTTTAATAGTCCCTATGCCCGAGGAAGAGGTGTTCAAGGCACAACTGATTGGGGAACTGGACCCCTTCTCCTACCTCTTCTCAATTTCAGCTTGGGAGTTGTATGCGACATTAATACTGATGGGTTTCTTTTATTATAAGAATAAATCAGGTAAGGTATATTAGATACATTAGGTAAGCGACAACTCTATTCAGCAAAAATACAGTGCCCTCCTCTGATATTGGCACCCTTGGTAAATATGAGCAAATAATGCTTTGGACATTTTTCTTTATTGTTTAAACCTTTGATCTTTTGTTTAAAAAATACACAAAATACTCTGCTCTCATGGATATCAAACAATTGCAAACACATCATTTATAAAAAAAGAAATCTTTGTTAAATATATGTGCGGCACAATTATTGACACCCGTATTAATTCATATGAAAAAATATATATTTGAGCTCTATTCCCACAGACATTTTACATTTTTATACACCTTGGTGACTAGGAAAAATAAATCAACCATGACTTTCACAGGGTATAAATATGAAGTAACACATATGACAAATCAATCATATTCTAAAGAAAATGCATACGTTTTATGACATGGCTGCCCAACAGGTAGCTCCCCAGATGTTGTAGAACTACAACTCCCATGATGTTTTGCATGCCTTTAGAATGCATTTAGAATGACAAAGCATCATGGGGGTTGTAGTTCTATAATATCTGGGGATCTACCTGTTGGGCAGCCCTGTTTTGTGATTTATATAGCACACTTTTCACTCAATATATCAACAACTGCATGATCATAATATTTATCAATGTAAATATGGATAAATGTTCCTGGAAATGATAACAAGCTCTGTTCTCACCGCAGCTTGCTATACATAGTAGAGATGCTTCATTTTAACCAGGCATCTATACTATGTGTACCAACAAAGATATAATACTTTTATATTTTAGTAGAATTTCTTTGGAAAGCTCGTTGTAAATACAAGGTATTTGAACTTTTCTTTGTGATTGTTTTTTTGTCCCATCTACAGCGTGTGCCAAATAGGATTTGTCTTAAATATGCCTGAATCACAAAATCAACCTGAAATTTTAAAGATCCTAAATACCATACAGTCTCTAAAACATTTTATCTTTACAAAATGTAGCTAAAATATAGAGGAATACATGAAAATAAAAAAAGAAATGCATCTATTAATGATATTCTTGTTCTTGTCTGGGCTTATGTGCAAGCCATTCACTACCAAAATGAAATGAGTTTGACATTTACAGGGTTATTCACTAAATGGCACTCAACTGAATGGGACAAAAACATTTGGCTGTATACGGGACCATTTGAAGTGCAAAATCAGGACATTGTTGATGGAATTTATCAATGTCCAGATTTTCTAATTCAGGCCACAAACTACAGAAATTTGGTCTGGATTTAAGCCAAACCAAATGCTGCCAGACAGCTGAAATCTGTACTCAATGCTGCCAATCCACGCTCAGAGAATTCAGCTCAAGGCCCGGATTAAGTAGCCAGCAGGTAAATAGTTAAAAAAATTGGTGCATCGAGGGTTCTGTGGCGGCTGGGCAGCACTTGCTAGTCTTGAAAGAAAGAACCTATCAATCGTTCAATAAGACCCCCATATTGTTATAATGGAGGTAATGTACCCATACGTGCTATTGGCAGATGAGTGCATGTCTAAACATTAAAAACTAGCAACTGGGCAGCCATTGTTATCAGTCACTAGAAAAGGCCTCATGCAGTGAGGCTATGGCCTGTGAAATAGCGAGGAGAATATAGTCCTTCCCCCCCACCCTCCATGGGCATCAGGTAGGAGCTACTTTAAGTTTAATTGGGGAAGACCTATTGTACCCTCTGCTCCTCCCTCCACCCCCCCCCCCCAGCTTGGGGTCCTATTGTCCTTTCTGCAGCCCCCACCTATGGATGACAGCTGGTGTCCGTAATATAAAAAAAGGGGGGGGACTTAGTGTTCCATCACTTGCTCCCACCCATGGGCATTTGGGTGGGGGGCCTAGAAAGGGGGACCCTGGCCCACACCCATGGATTGTGGGTGAGAGGCTTTATATTTATAATAGAGAGGGGACCTACTCCATCCTCTTTTGTTGTAAAGAATCTGCTGTAAGTGAAATCTCTTTTTTCCTAGTTTTTAGACTTTTCATATTAGCCTGATAAAGATCTGACCTTATTAAACAGACCTGTGTATAAAAAAGTCATGATAAAGGGGTTTGTATTGGCACAAGTGTATATACAAGTGTAAAATTTTACTACATTCAATAAATACTCTGCCGTGTTGGTTTTCTGTTGTAAACAACAGACACTTTTGTCATCTCATACTGCAACCTTCTATTTCCTTGCTAAATTTGTAGCTTGCCTTTTTCAGGCTCCATAATCCTCAAGTTGATCAAGGTGGGGTTATGGAGTATCGAGTGTTCTTTTAAGGATGCAATTAGAACATAGCAGGTTAAAACATAGTTGTTGATCATCAGAATAAATGGCAGCCATAAGGACAGTTATTCAGAAAAGGTGCTTTTGGTAATGGAGAACAATATATCATTAAAGGCCTTATTTAAGGCTGTCTCAGCAAAACGAATTGGTTTAAAATGATATACACATATACTTTAAAGGTAAAAAGAAATGAATCATATTTTATACCATAAGGTCTCTCTGACAGGCGTTTGAATGGGTAAATGTCACGTGGGTTTAAGTAATTTGACTAATGACAAATGGCTGAAAATGAACTGCTGTCACAGTGGTTTCTGTGATTGGACTATTGATATAAGAGATTGAATGGATTACTTTCAGTGGGGTGGGATTGGGCTACTGGCACTGCTTGTGAGGTGGTTAAATGAGATACTGACCTTGCGAGATAAGGGTAAACAAAATATTAATATTGTAGTTGTCTAAGGAGGCCTATTGACACTGAGAATGAAGACCAGATTAGTCTATAGGGCATGCTAAGAACTGACTTTAATGCTTATAAAAAGGAAGGAACCCAAGGGGGCGGAGGGACACACGTTTTTCTCACCCAGGGCTCTGGAAATCCATTTTGCAATGTGAAAGTACATCTAGTTATATATCCCCTCTGCTGTATAATTACCAGAGATCATTTTGTGTAAACTGTAAAATGTTCTGGTTAGCTCTATATGAAATGTTAAATACATTTCATGAAGTTAAGATTCTATTGCCTTTTCTTGCCACATTCCACATTCTACTGCTTTAACCCCTTAAGGACCAAACTTTTGGAATAAAAGGGAATCATGACATGTCACACATGTCATGTGTCCTTAAGGGGTTAAACTACTCCTAAAAGGAACACAACTAGCAGAAGGTCCCTGGTGCTAGCTCGTCTTTATTGGTTAATCCATTCACAAATTGTTTAACCTCAAAGGCTTTGCTCCAGTTCCAGAACTCTGAGACGAAACGTAGCTGAAATCACAAAAACTAAATGCACAAAGGTCGAGCATGTTAGTTTTAATTTGTGATTGGGAAATCTGTCCATGGCGCCAAAAAAATATAAAATAAAATTAAAAAAAAGAAAATTGATGGTGGGAAAAAGGTGACTGACGGCTAGGAGACAGTCACTATATGTTTGATTTTATTCATAGGTCAAGTGGAAAGTGTCCATGAGAGGAAAAAAAAAAAGAAGCAATGGTCAAAAGCTTTATGTACGTCATCCATTTAATAAATATATAATATATTTATATATAATGTATATAGATTTTACATGCTTCTCCTCGTTTTCCCTTTTGGTTACCTTTTCTTTATTGATTGGTAACAAAATGCCCCTATCATTTATATATTTGTAACTACATGGATTAGCCTAATTTCACACATTTTGGTTAGCATAATTTGTTGCTTCATTAACTAAATTCGGACAAGCCGAACCACTGCGTGGCAAAAATTCAGCCCAAAAATATCTTCAGCAGAAATGATTCAACGGAAACATTTTTTTCCCGCTGTGTCAGTCTACTCCTTACCTTCAGCCTCCATCATCTACATCTTCTGCAAAATTGTAAGCTTTTTCAAATAGGGATTTGCATTATTCTGTACCAGTATATAGCTATAAGAGTGATATGTGAAACTATATAAATATTAGCATGTCTATAATTATGTAATATTTTACAGTTCTACAGAATCTGGTGATGATGTCCCCCTGCCAACCTCCCAAAAAACAAATCCAAATTAGGACTTACTGAAAGATAACCAATGTTGAGTAGTTTACAATGTAATTTATGTGACGTTGACAGATCACATTGTCTACTAACTTCAAGTTGGGTATGGTTATACACAAAGATCTGTTCTGTAAAGAGCACAAAAATGAAAGTTAGGTCTGTTCTTTCATTCAGGTGCCCATAATGACATGACATGAAGAAGAGCAGCCTTTAAGTTCAAACGGTAAAAATAAATTAAAGGAAAAACAAAGTGATGGTCTCCAAGACTTCTGCTATAATTAATTGCATAGCTCCCTTTTGGTTAATTAAGGTTCAGGCAGATCAAGTTACTTCTGTTTTAGCATACCTCATACAACAGGTTGAGGTAAGGAGCAAAGGAGGTATCCACATGCACAATATTTTCAGCCCAAACCCCTACGCACCTGAAAATGCACTGGATTCCACTTGGTAGACATGGATCACAAGAGACCACTCTGTTTCCACTAACCTTGACATACATTATAAAAGAATGTTGAACATTTAGCTTTTGAGTTCACACAAGTCTTTAGGTCTCAAGCAAAAAAGGAGTTAGGGACACAAAATTGTATGCCTAATGCTCTAGTATGCACCTGTCCCTAACTTTAGGTGTCCTACCCAAGCACGAAAGGGGGAAAATATTATTTTAACATCTTAATTTACCCACAGAGATCCCATAGGATGGGATAGGTCTTCTCCTTCTGCGACATCATACCAAAGGACTTAATGTGCATGCACGGCTAGCAATGAATCAATGGTTTCCTATGGGTAGTTTGAAGACACTGGATGTCCTCAAGCGGGAGAATGTCCAATGGAAAACAGTCACTAGAGCTGGGATAGGCATCCTTTGGCACTCCAGAAGTTGGACTACAGCCACAATGCTAGCAAAGCACCATGTGGGATGTAGACCACAATATGTGGAATGGAAAAAGTTGCCTACCTCTGCACTAGAGGTTGTCTTAACCCTGCAATGTAAACATTGCTGTCTTTTCTGAAAATGACAATATTTTCACTTGCAGGGTTAAGGTGACATGAGCACCAAGTGGATTGGGTGCCTGTTGTGTCCCTTTAATCACTGGTCAACCGTATTTGTAGATGCTAACAATTATCGTTAATAATAATCATAATGTTATATAAGCATCATAATATGATCGTAATAACAGAAGCTTTTCCAGACTCTTGAGTTTATTATTTATGAAAGATTCAATCTTGCACTGTGGCAGGGGAACAATCAATTCCTAGGTTATTTAATATCATATTAACTTATCTCTCTATTTAACAAATAGGTGTGAAAAATAAAATTATATGTAGAAATTCACACCTCTTTATAACTGGGTACCTCCATGTTAGCTCACTGCCACTTGCACCAGGCAGTCAGCATAGAAAAAGCTTACAGAGACCAGGAGAAATGAAACAATGTTTCCAGGTCTTCTCTTCATCTGCATCTGCATGGTTTGCCCTGGATTTGCCTAATCTGAACTGGATCATGATGTAATTGGCTAAACACTTAACATATACATTTACACATTTAATATAAATTTAAAATTAAGCAGCATCTCATGAAAAAGTCAAACACATTATTGGTGATTTTAACAATGGTTTCTATACACTGACTGATTGCAATAACAAATCCACAATTATTTTCTGGTCTGACCTGTGTGATGTCTTTGATATTTGACATTATAGAGGAATGTGAAACTGAGAAATTAAGTCAGTGCTCCCCCAAGAGAATAAAATACTCACATTGCTCAAAAGATAAATCATGGACCCACTGACTGGACAATACCTCCGTTTGAGACATTGTAACCTTTAGTTTACACATTAAGTCTCACAATGCAGTCATATTGCATCATTTTATAATGAGACCAAACAACTAGCCGACCTTTTCAAATACATGACCTAACGGACGAGTTACAAGGACATTCAACAAATCAAGCCAACTCCACCTAAATAACATCCTATCACTAGAACTTACTATTAGGACAATAGATTCAGATACATCTGGCTAGCCCCTGAAAGCCCTGCTACACATTATATGCCCAATCCTCTAATGTTAAGCTCTCATGAACTATAATCAGTACATTGGGTCCCTATGTATACAGAGCTGTCAATGCTAATCCCATATAATTACAGCTCATCTACAGTAAATACAGATGTATAGAAAGATGCATGATGCTAATGACCCATGATATTTGACCACAGTAAATACTGGTGCATTAACAGAATAGCTATCACCTCTTCGTTTATTGTTTAACCGTAGATATATAGATCTTTAAAAATGTTGAAATACATTTGACTTTTATTTTTTTAATTTTTTTTAAACATATTTGTTTACTTAATTGGAAACTTTTTATTTTTTTTTACTTTCACACTTTGAGCCATTATGATTATAGATTTAAGGGAATCCACTGAAAGAACAAAGGATTTCTAATGCCTTCGATACTATAATGTTTAAAGAGTACAAAATGGAATTTGCAATTCCAAGCATACAGAGTCTCTTCCAATTTGGAAAAAAAAATTAACAAAAACAAAAAAAAGTTACACAATTCGACACACTTTCCAGACAGCATTATCCCGATTCTGTGGACAAATGATTAAGAATTGTCCCTGTATATTTTAATGAATCTCCAGGTGTAAAATAATGCAGTGCTAGCACACAGCTAAACTAACCTAATACAAATAGAATACAAATATTATATATATTTTTTTTTATTATTTAATTTTTATTATAAACGACTTTTTATGCACGGAGGACATTCTTTTTGTGACATCATCCAAAATGTATGGAATTTTTTTTTTTTTATAGAAGAGGGCTACAGTATGTGCTGATTAATCCAATGAAAAATATAGTTGATGGCAATGATTTACAGAGGAATAATATATATTGATATAAATCAAGCACACAAACAAATGGATTTTTAAATAATGCTGACTAGAGCTTTGTTAAATCAATAAAAAAAATCTTTCATTGTACAATAAAATGATAAAAATAATGAATAGTGAATATCAAAATAAAAAAACTAACATATTAGAATAAAAGCATCGATTTTCTCCTTTTTGAAAATTCAAATGTACAAATAGATAGCTAGCATTAGAACCGAGATGACCCTTAATTTCCAGCGCAGTGAGCAGGCTCCCAGCAGCAGCAGACAGCAGTTAATGTATTCGTCTGGCTCAGTCTGGTCTACCAGCAAGGAATTCATCGAATTGTTAACATCCCTCCTTTTTTGTATGCACCGCACATGATTCTCCAAGCATGCCTCCCCCTCTTTCCCTGACATTCTGTAGCTAAAGTTTTTTTTTAGTTGTAGCATGATCTGATTATCTGAAAGCATATATACATTTATAAGAGAAATTATATGCATACATAAACACACAAATGTGTGTGTGTTGCACACATGAAAATATATATATATATATATATATATATATATATATATATAAAGTGTATCTATATAAACACCTTAAATCAACCCCAAGCTACAGTGTATTTATATGTTACATGTATAAAGGTAGATAGACAAATTATAGACATTCTAACATACAAACAAATATTTATTTTCCAAATGAGCACAGTCACTTGAGTGAATTTTAGCATTAATAAAATAAATTTGTCTTTATGGAACATCAGTGTTCAGTTATATTCTTAAAACATTTTTTATAAATATAAAATATATAAGCTATGAATACCTTTGAGAACCGTAGTAGTATATATTGTACATTATTGATAATTAATGCTCTGTTGAGAAGGTTAAGCAGAACCTGATATGCTTATGCTAGGAAATATTTTAACTGTATTCTGATATTTTACATTTTTAAGGGTTAATATCACATATAACAAACATTATTTTAAATATCATGTATTAATAGTGTGAATAGAAAAAAAGACAGGTATTTGCATATTTTATTCACATTTTACAAAATATTTAATTTAAGCATTATGGCAAACAAAATTTAGGAATATACAAGAAATATTTTACATCTACAAAATTATTTCATCATATAAGAAATACATTATATTTTATTCTGCAGGTTTTTTTTGTTTGTTTTTGAGAAATTGGAAATCAAATGACTAGTTATCACAGGTAACATGATTAACCAAACAGTCTTTAATATTTTTTATAATTCTCAATTTATGTGCAATTCACAATAAAAGATGTTATTAAAATAACGTGAAACAGTCTTTTGTAGCTTTACGAGTATATGATCGATTGTCTGGATATTTTGTTTGAAAGGCAAGGAAATGGACAGTTTATACCAAAACAAAATTAAAGACAAAGCATTTTAGAATACAGCTCTTATCTCAGATTCGGTGACATGGTTCATTCCATAATCGCAGATACACAATCATTACAGTCCAAAAGTTGCTGGTTCCCCTCCGCCTAGGTCCCAAGAGCCTAACTTGTGATCATTGCTAAAAAATCCTCACAAGTTAGGGTCTCAGGGACTAGGAAAAGTCCAACATCATTCCAGAGAAGTCTTCTTCCAAAAATATATTGTGGGTATCCTTAAAGTTCTGCTCAAATTCAGCAACATACAGTCTAACAACATCTATTTAGTAGAAGACACTAGGAGATTAACCGTTTGGCTGACATGACAGGGAGACAATGCAGTGGAAAGCAAAGGTTTGCTCCCGCCAGTCAGTAAGCAAAGGGTTAAACTGGTTTCATGGTTACCTCGATTGATATCAATCCAAAACTGAAATTTTGCATTTTTGTACACATTTCCAAAAGATCAAACAACAAACATTGTTCGAGTGTCCCATAGTGTTTTTCTGTTTTTGTTTTTTTGCCCCCACATAAAAATCCATTTTGATAACTTGGGCCCCATAAACTATAACATGTAATAACAGCTTGTCTTTCGCTTACTTGGAATGTAAAAATAGTAATAAAACGTTTCGAGAGGAAAATAACAAAATTAGTATTTATCAGAGTTTAGATTTCAATAGATAAGCCCTTTTCTAACAAGCTGACTAGTAAGTGTTACAGCAGAAGGGATGTAGAAAACACACACAGGTTTAAATACTATTGACACAAGAAGAGGTAAAGTCAACCCTCAAAAATATTTCGCTATCACCAGGGGGCTTAATCTGTCTTTGGTTTAAGAAGGCAAACCACAATCCCAGGATCTCTGATTCCTTATAGCTTCTATACAGGAAAATGGCACAGAAGCTATACCATTTCCAATTTAATTTTTTTTTTTAAATCCTCGTTCTTTCACAGAAAATGAAAATCAATTTGGCCCGGCTTGTCCTTCTGCCAACTGGAGGATATAAGCAGAATCTTGTTTAGAATATCTTCAGCGTTTCACCATCTCATCTGCTTTAAAAAGAAATTAAAAACAGAGGGGGAAAAAAAAGAGAAATCGTTAGCAAGATCCGAATGCAACAAGAAATGGTTAATAGAAAACAAAACACAAAAACAAAACAGACATCATCTTGAAAAGCATAATAGAGGTGCGTTAAAAATAAAAAATGTTGATCTAGTTAACCATTTACCCAGGAATTCCTAAAGAATACAACATTCCATACCACTGTGCATTCCTCTATTACGTTAGATATTCAACATAGTTATGTTATAAAAAAGGTATTTAGCAATATTAATGTTTCCTTAAAAAGCAAGAGGCTCTTAAATGAGACCAAGTAAAGTAGCTTTTTCCATGCCAACTCGTCTCTTATCTTAAAATGATTTCACAAGCAATATTTGAACACAGTCTGCAGATGAACAATTAGAATGAGAAAAAAAAATCAGTCCCCTCCACAAAAATGGTATTAACATAATTACATCCCCCATCACATAGACCCATCCTCCTAAGAGAATACATCTGATGCTCCAAAGATTGAAATCAGTCAGATTTTAGCTGTTCGCAGACGTACCTTTGCTTCTAACTGACTGACTGGCTTTTACCTTCCTTAGACACACACACACACAGACAGGCTCACAGACAGACACACACACACTTGCAGACACGCACGAGCACACACACACACACTCACAAAAAGCAAGGCAAGGCAGCGGATGCTGACTCAGAACAGTTGTGTGTGTGGAGGGGGAGTTACCGGCTGGTATTTTCTCTCCACTCATCATTAACATCAACTCACTCTTTTAGTTTCCACCCTCTCTTGGACCTTCAGGACTGCAGTATTTGCATGACGCCGACAACCCAGTCCTTACAGGTCAGACGTCGGGATTTGGAGGGGGGACAAAGAAAAAATAGTAGCCTCCCATCAGTACTGCCTTCTTTATATTCCAATATTATCCTGTAACATTTCTACTTCCCTCACTTCCGATGTTCTAATCTTCCGCTTACATATCATCTTTTCAGAAGGAAATGTATCATGTTAAACATGTTTACTGCCAGCTGGTCTTTCCTTCACCTTACCCTTAAGCCTTGCTGTCCCCACCTTTTCCCCAAATCAATAATGATAAAAAAAAAAAGTCCAAATGCTATTGTGAGAACAGTCTCTGACATAAAGACTTTCATCCTCGATCCCCTGTCTGAATAGCAAGTGATCCAGGCACACACGTGATTCAAAGAAATAATGGCATCAATTCTTTTACACTCTTCGAGTTTATTTAACGCCTACTTCGTTTCTTTCTCCCTTCTCATGGAACAAATGCCTGTAGAAACAATGATTTTTCTATAGTCCAGCTCCCAGACAGTGCCAGGATAGAGCAATTTTATTGGTGAAAATTAGGTAAAATCAAATTCTTGATTTTATTATTGTAGCTGTATGAACTATAGCTTTTAGACGGTTCTGGTGACTGTATTAGATTTTAAAATAACGACAATATTTAGTTTCTAAGATCTCAGATGCACAGTTTGCAATTTACATTATATAATAAAAATAAAAAAGATAGATGTCTTTGAATCAATATTTATACTTTCAGGATTTTTACATTTGTCCTTAAGTGTATGGATATCTGCCTGTAAAATTAGTTCCTTTCTATCGATTTATTATTAAAAGATTTCTTCTAATGTACGCTTGGATACATGCCAATAGTCCCATTAACATCTTGTTACCTGAATCTTAGTTTCACTTCTATTTAAAAGCAATTTGCAAAGCACAGTCCTATCCTTGTATTACCCTTCCTGGTCCTCTGCTGTTAGAATGTATGACACACCTTTCCCTATAGGGAGCAGTCGCTTTCAGCTTCAAATCCATACAATGCTGTTCTCATACTCATTCATATTCATTTATACAGAGATTATCATACAGACAGAAAATTCTATGCTTTTGCCATATGCTGTGTCATAGTACACAATTGCCAAGCTTAGTTTCACAGGATAATCCCGGCATGCACTGCATTACTGCGGTACTTCCTTAAGTATCTTTATATTAAAATAACAAATTATATCCAAAGTATAATTTACCTATATGTATAAAAAAAAAAGTGTACATTTGAAAAAGGTCTGTACTCTCAACGACAAGCGAAAAATTTAGAGGGTACCACAACAACATCGTTTCAGACACAACATAGAGAAACACGTGAACATGGAGAACAATAGAGATATGATGCAGTGCATAGGTATGGTCTAGACTCTCCTCTCAGACAGCAGAAAAAAAGTTGGACGTGCGCAGAAGGCAATAATAGAAACGCTGATGTCAGAGACAATACATTAAAATTCACACACTTGCAACAACGTTCATTGTTCAATTATGGATGTATTTTTTTTTTTTTTTAAAAAGGAAAGAAAGAACTATATACATTTCAAAGCCTTCAATATTTTTTTTACAAATCAATATATACAAACAGATACAAGCTTTTTAATATATTATACGTACATTAGAGAGTCATCGCCTTTTTATCTCCTTAAGCTCAGAAACCATCCTTATTTTGTTGCTCCAGCTTCCCTGTCCATTGTGCCTTTCCCCCCTCTTTTACCCACAATGCCCTGGTTAAATAAATGTCATGACCTCGCTATGCCTATCAGATAAGAGTGAAGAAAAAAAAAGGGGGGGGGGGGAATATCCTATTTTAATAATTGAACATGCGCCTTTAGATAAACTGCCTACTGATATACTTGCGTTATGTGGGCTGCCTCTGAGAGAAGCTTTCGTCTGCTCTACAAATCAGAAACGACCAATGCAAATGCTAGCCACGTCTATTCACTCCAGTCTCTGGTTAAATTCTCTATGTGTAACCTAATGATTCTAGAACCGTTTCACTCCTTCAGTGCTGGCCACAAACACGCATTTCTTGCTAGTCGTGGGGAGACAGGTACTTCCAGGAAAATCTACAGCTACACATAACAGAAGATTTAATGCACCTAATGGCAATTTATAAAACAAAAAAACAAACCTGAAAATAAAAAGAAACCGCACCATTTTGTTTGAAAACACATCAATGGTTTTATATTTGGGAGAATCTTTGGAGCCATGGGGAGTTACATTAAAATCAATAGTCGTCTGCTAAGAGATGTTGTAATCAATCAAGTAAATTACCTGTGGTAGCAAGCATCTGACTGAAGGTCTTGTATGAATCTTAGGCAAGTCTTCAATTGTAATTAACCCTTACATCGTTTGTATATATAGCATTGTCATGTAGATTATTGATGGTTAGCCACTGCGACACAGCTGTCTGTAAATTATATTTCCCCAATGCCTAGGCAGCCTAACTATAATGCAACTGAATGATCAATCGCATTACATATAAAATACTATTATAATTACATTATTGTTGGGTAAGATTTACAAGCAGCAATTTTCTAAATATATAAAAAAGTCCATGATGGAGTAGTAAAATGCTTTATATTCCATTTCAATTGCCATGGAAACCTCAACATGACGGACAATTTAAAAATGTCAATACATTTTCAGGGTTACTAACTAAAATGCTATTTGCTGGGCTACAATAATATATATATATATATATTTTTTTTAATTTTTTTAATTTTTTTTTTAATTTTTTTACACATTAGGCAAAAATAGACATATCAAAATTAAATTCCAACGCGCTAATATTTACAGCTACGGTGTTTTGACCAAATATGTAAAATAGTCTGTTGAGCCCCATATAGTGATCAACAAGGCATCAAATGTTTCAAGACGGGATGTCAAAAATATGCACTTTAATAAAGATTTTGAAACAAAGAGAGGCATTTCACAAGCAAAGATTTTTTTTTGCCATTTTTAATATTTAGCCACATGATTTAAATCACCAAATAATTAAATGTGACAGTTCAACATGTCAATCAAAATAGTGTTCCTGTCAAAATGTGTAAATTTCACCCTTCATATTTTTGTAGAGCGCAGAGGAATAAGTTGGAGCTATATAAATGGCAATAATAATAATGTCAGAAATATTGTATTTAATGCAAATGATTGCTGCAAAATAACTTACAGATAACTTGTGACTGGATGACTCGAGACAAGGTACTACAGCAGTTAAAGAAAATTAATGTAAATAAAGCTCCAGGACCTGACCGTATTCACCCACGAGTACTTAAGGAGCTTAGTGTGGAAATAAGTGAACCTAAGTATTTAATCTTCCAAGATTCTTTTGTTTTAGGTATTGTACTGGAGGGTTGGAGGAAGGCAAATGTAATTCCTTTATTTAAAAAGGGTTGAAAATCCTTGTCTGGAAATTATAGACCTGTGAGCTTAACTTCTGTGACTGGAAAAATATTTGAAGGGCTATTAAATATTCAGGAATTCATTGGGAAGAACTTTGTTATTAGCAATAATCAGCATGGCTTTATGAAACATAGGTCATGTCAAACTAACCTAATTGCATTCTACAAAGAAGTAAATACAAGTAAGTAGAAGTATAGATCAGGGTGTTACAGTGGATGTGCAGTGGATGTGATCTACTTGGATTTTGCAAAGGCATTTGATACGGTTCCTCAGTGCCATCACAATTGTGCCCCACAATTGAAATTGAAGTCAGGAGCACTGCGACTCACTTCACAAGCTGCAGCAGCACTATCACTGTGGAACTGTGTTCCACCATTTTCACACATGCGGCCAGAGGGGGCACTGTGCTGGTAGGACTTCCTCGCGGGTCACAGAGAGCAGTGAGGGGAGAGACAGGGAGAGGAAGCTCAGCTCTGCAGAGAGGCATCAAGGCAGCTGCTGGTAAGTGTGAGACAGTGCGTGTGGCTCAGTTTCTGTGTGTGTGTGTGTGTGTGTGGGGGGGAGGGTCAGTCTGTGTATGTGTCAGTCTGTGTGTTCTTACAGTAAGAACTATAAGTGTATGGAATTCTCTGCCTGACTAGGTGGTTTTATCAGAGTCTATACAGATGTTTAAACAGCAATTCGATAAATACTTCCAAAAACATAACATACAGGAATATAATTTCTAATTAGTGGGGTAGTAGCTGCTTGATCCAAGGAGACATCTGACTGCCATTTTGGGGTCAAGAAGGAATTTTTCCCTAGTTTGTTGCAAAATTGTTAGTGCTTCAGACTGTTTTTTTTTTGCCTTCTTTTGGATCAACAGCAAAAACACATGTGAGGAAGGCTGGACTTAATGGACAAAAGTCGCTTTTCGGTTGTGTAACTATGTAACTAATAATTCTCTATGTATAGTAACCTACCATGTCCTCTGCAGTGTTTAATATATTTACAATGGTAGGAGTCTTAACATGAGATGTGAGATTTGAATTTATATTAAAAAAAAAGCCAATCTGATAACATACCCCACCCTGCTCATTACCTAATTTTATATATTAAAGGTAGCTGCATGCGCATTTTCAAATCTTCCATTGCAAGCACGTTACTAGCCATGGCTTGCATTTTCAGGAAAGCGTGACCTCTTGTTTTATCATTTACAAATGACAGGGATTAAAACAAAGACATGGTGAATGACATTTCTAATGGATACAAAATATAGACATGCATGTACATTAAGTTCCTATTGAAAACTATGGGAAGTCAGGGATTGGCTCAGTGTTCTGAGATTAATGAGAAATGAGACAAATCAGATTTTCACACTCAGGGGATATGTTCATCTGCTGATGGCATGTGGGCCCAGAAGCAGATGGACATGTTATCTTTACGATGAGCCCAGTTACTGAGAGTTTGCATTAAAGATACAATGGACACCACAAGATAACAAAAATGCTCATTTTTTTGGCACAATCCTCTCACCTCACCATATTTGAGGATCATCATTTATTCCTACCAGGCATATTACTAGATGATCATTTTTGTTTTTGTCTAGTACATTGGATTACGCCAGTCTGTGTATGTGCTTGTGTTGCTATTTGCACAGTACAGTGTATAGGTTGATGCACCTGAATGAGATGGTCTGCTATCAATGCCATTCTCTTATTACTTCATCAATTGTATATGTTTAAGGAGGTAAATACTTATTGTATTAAAATTAGATCTAAAAATAACTGTGCCCGTCTTAAGTACCCAACTGCTCATTTTCCCTCATGAGCGGTCTAGGGCAGTTAAGATTCGGGCGTGTTAAAAATACAGTATATCTGTCTCTAATTTTTTTTCCATTACAATAGATAAAGAGCACTTTTTGAAATCATTAATAGTGTCATTCACTAAAGTGAGAATTAAAGTGAATTCAAAGAGAATTTCAAATTCGAGGTAAAAATATCCTGCTGTAAAAAATTTGCCTACTTTGGCAATAAATTAAAAAATTCTAACTTTAGTGATTAACCCTGCAAGTTACCCCTTACGTGTCAAACTTTTGAAAGATTTAGGGTGCATGCGGCCATGTACATAATTAACAAAAGGGCAAAATGTACGGAGATTGTCCTCATCTTGAGCCTCACTCCTGGTGCCCCTGGTGTTTTTCCTTTCTAAGGACATCAGGGAAAAGTTTAATGTGATTTTCCGGCACAAAGGACATTTAAGAGACACTCTGCGTATGAGCCACCCTGCTTGTATAAGTTATTTTTTAAAACTATGGAAGGTAGGATATGCAATAAAATACAATACACATATATTACACACACCCCAACAACATTAGCATCCTGAGAATAGGGCCACCGGTGTGGAGAGAGGCATCCTGATTATAAAACAGGCCAGGCCACTGAGGGCAGAACTTGCAGTGAGCACTGTAGTGCCCTTCATGTAGCGCAAGGGTGTCTAATGATGCACTCGCGCTAAGCTTTTTGTGGTGAGTTCCCTAAGTCAAGAGGTGGGAATTAACCCAAAAAATTAAACAAATCGTGACTGTCCTGCCTATATCAGGACTGTTAAGGGGCATTTACATTTAAGATACAAGCGGGATTATTTCACTAAACAATGAGCTTTATAGATCTGGAGTGTCCCTTTAAGTTAAGTGGGTGTTCCTGATTGTTCCTGTCATGATTCCCTTTTATTCCAGAAGTTTGGTCCTTAAGGGGTTAAAGGGACCCTATAGTGCCAGGAAAACATTAGTTAGCAACACTATAGGTTTAATAGGTCAAACCCCCCCCCCTTCAGCCACTTACCTGAATCCAGCACTGATGTCCCTTGGCGCTGGGACAGGCTGCGCCCTTGCTCCTCCCCCGCCGTCTGACGTAATGCGCATGCGCGACAATAAAGGCGGGCATTAGACCTCCCTATAGGAAAGCATTATTCATCATTCATATCCATTATTATGCTTTCCTGTGCGGAAAATCTGACGCTGGAGGTCCGTGAGGACGTCCAATGCTAGATAACGGACCAAAAGTCAGTTTGGATTCCGGAAGCCCTCTAGTGGCTGTCTGGTAGACAGTCACTGAGGTCAGACTTAGAGCTGCAATGTAAACATTGCAGTTTCTCTGGAACTGCAATGTTTTACATTGCAGCACTAAGTGCAAAAAGGTCACAGCACCCAGACCACTTCAATTAGCTAAAGTGGTCTGGGTGCCTACAGTGTCCCTTTAACTTATTCCCACATTATTTATAGTTTCAGTGGAGCAGTATATTAGGAGGGATTAACAAATCCCTTACGTTTTGTTATCTAATATAGGCAAACTTTCAACCACATTGTTTCAATGATAGAATCTATATTTTAAGCAGGTTTGTGGAAATATATGAAAACGTGAGCAAACAGTATGTTATAAAAAGTTATTATTAAAAATAATCTATTTATGGAATTAGCTACCCCCTTCAAGGCAGATTTTGATTTATACTTCAAAGTGATACTCCAAGCACCATGACTACTTCAGTGATTTGGAGTACTTATGGTGCGTGGAATGAAACCTTCCACATACAAAGATATAGCTCTATATCCTTCCATCTAACCCAAATCCCTCCTCATCCTGTCCTCCATGAAATCCCTTCCACTCCAGCAAGTTGGGCTGTCAGTAGAACTTGGCTTTGGTGTGGAATTTCAGATTCTCATTAGCTTTATTCTTTATTACTCTTTCAAGGGATGAATGCATTAGCAATATGTAGATGATACCTCTTAACATTCTCCACCTTGATGCCGGGATGTTGGGAAGGATGTTAGAGGAAAGAGGTGCATCAGCTTATGTACGCAGTGCTGACCAGCGCCATGCCTTTCAGTTGTGCCAGGTGGGAATTCAGGACCTGGTTGGGTGGGCCAGAAATGGGTCAACCACCTGAGAGTCAATAAAATGGGGACTGACAAATGGTGGCATGCCATTTTGATGTGAATGCATGCCAGCTGACTAGCAGCGCCCCTGATTTGTCCTAGTACCCTGACAGCATTCAGCACACTGAGAGCACACCTAATGATGCTGTTGCGTTGCACTGACTGGGACAGTTCCTTCGGGACATACTAGGCAACCAACCTGGGACAGGACCCCATAATATGGACAGATCTGGGAGTGTGTGTATGTGTCCACTGTTTTGGGAATTTTCCAAATGCTCCTTGAATTTTAGAAATGCACTTCACCAGACATTTTAATGCATATTTGTGCAGTGCTTTGAAGATTATCTATGGTGTCCATGAGAAGGAGGCCCCTAGACAAATAACTCTGAACCATGGAACCATCATACCTGGTGGCATGTGTGAATAGCAAGGTTAATGTTGGATTATGCAGAGTACTAAAAAAGGAGTAAAACAAATACAGTGATACCACTCAATATTTCCAAAATAGAATCCGTTTTTGACGCAATGAAACTTTAGAAGGTATTCCTTGTAGATTAGTAGCATGGTCTTATAGTAACCTGGGAACATTAGTGGGTCATTAGCCTGTTAATCAAAGTCATGTAATTTGATTGCCTGGGGAGGCACGAAGAGCTAGGTAGCCATTCACAAGAAGTAGGACTGTCCCAAAAGTGAGCAGAAAATGTTCATTGTGCAGCAGAGATTGACAGGTAATGAGCAAAAATAAAGTTTGAGCCAAGGATCTTTCCACTGCATTGGATGCTCAGTGATAAGCTATTCTAATTGGAGCATTAGGGGCAAATAAGAAGCGTATTTAGTGATAATGTTACGAATACCAGAACTCCAAAATTCCACTTGTCCAGTATACACTGGCACTTGAAAAATCAGCCTCGGCAAGTAGAACTTTACTTTTAATTAGTGTGCCTTAGACCTTCCAGGCTTGCGGCTGTGATTAACTTTTATGCCTGTCTAGTAACATAGGACTTGACAGTCTGAGCCCTGATGAATGTATTACCAACCTTTCCTTTTTAATAGCAATTACCTTTATTAGGACTGGATTTAAACATCTATTTTTCATGAAGTAGGCCATGTGAGATGCTATTTTGGGGTTATATCCCCTGGCAAATGGTAACTAAGGGCCACAGATATGCAGTTTCTGTGTTTAACTCTGTATTGTTATTCCAGCCCTGTTAATCCGAACAGCAGGAATGTGAAGTCTGCTTGTTGTCTGGTATTTGCATGCCAGTTGGAAAGTCAGGCAGTCTGAACCTATTCTCTTATTACTACACATAAAAAAAGTCATCCAATTTAATTCAAAACAGCTTCGCAGCTTCATGTAACTTCAATTGGTTTAGTTACAATTGAAATAAAACTGAATTCTTGTTGATTTGTTTCCAGCACAAAGTCAACACAGTAAATATGTCTGCACAGTTTAATTTTGGCATTTTCTGCTAATGCATCCTGAAACAGAACAGCCAGATCATGTTTACAATATCTATTCAGTGGGCAGGGTTAAATGTTGCATAGCTCCATTTGCTTCCTCACTGACCACTTGTAAGAAAAGACCTCTTTTCGGTCAGTCGCAATCTCTTTTACAAAAATTTCCAGAAAAGTGGATTGAATGTTAACCAGAGATGATAATTTGCTGTCACCATAATAGCTGGGATGGGGAGCTTTTCAGGAAATCACAACTAAAAACATGCATCTTATGACCCAGGTTTTCTAATTTTTAAAATTTTTTTTATAAACATGATGATAGACACCGATTATGAGACAAATGCTGTGCCATTGGTCTAGTCAGGTCTTGAGTAAATAATAATAATAATAACAAATTATTTAACCAAGGAACGTACATTCAGATTACCCAGGTTACCACGTATTTCCTGGGGATGCTACCGTAGCCCAACATCCAGGGGTTGTTACTATTACCCAATTTAATGGTACTCATTTTATCTACCTCGGAAGGATGAAATGCTGAGTCAGTGCACATTGTTTTGAAAATACATGCTTACCGATTTCACACATAAGTTTAGTCGGTTGTTTTGTGCAGGTTCAGTAATGCTGCAATTTATTTAGATTCGAGTGAATTTAGCATCACTTGTTTGTTCCTGTGAGATAAGCACTTGACTGTGGGCCAAAACGTGCATATGTGCAATGATAATCCAGGTGTTTTCAAATTGATTGGGTGGAAACGCTCAACCTCATCCTAGTTGATCTGTATTCTGAACAAATCATATTAAAGATAAGGAATACAAGCAAAAGGAGCCATTAAAATGTAACCCTATGGAACAAGCGCAGCTTAGTGGAATAGGGGGTTGACAGAGCTAGGAGACGGGCATAGGGGGAAGGCCCCATGTGGGAGTGGAGTGAGAGTGTAAAGGGGGGTTGGCCCAGTATAAATAGGCAGCCATTTTAGTGACAAGCACTTTTAATCTGCTTACCTGGCCTAAGTTGTAAGGGTAAGGGGTGTTAGCTCCCGTTTGATCAAAGCGGCGGGGCTAGAGAGAGAAAAGTTAGGGGACAAAAAGGCTCTGGGGTAGTGTAAATAGAATAGGGCAGTTAGGCTGCTGGTGAAGAGCTTGGTTAAACGGTTCGTTATGAACCTTGGTAGGTTTCAAGCTCGGAGGTGGCTCAGAACCTGGTGTGTGGTAGGGGCATCCAGGTATGCCCCTACCGTGGCTATTTAGCAAAGTTTGGCACTTATATTATGTTGATGACGTTTGTTATTATGGTTGTTGATGTTATTTATATTTACAGAAATAATGGGTCATTGCCTTTTATTTTGGGGACATATGATGTTATATGGCGGGATGAGGGCTGGGCAATGACTTTAATTTATTGTTATCAATATTAATAAAGCTGTGGACATATTGACCCATGCATCAGTGTCAGTGTGTTTTTGGGGTAAGTTTTGGGGGGAATTCCACCTGCCAATATGGCGACCGCGCCTGTCAAGAGCTGTGACAAAATCTGAAAAACAATATAGGGGGCACGTCCAATGTCTGAAAACCAATGTAGGTGTCTTGTCACATTTACCCTGGTCCCCTTTTGGAGGACAGGATATTTCTCTTGCATGTTATTCACTTTTGCCATACCTCCCAAAATTTCAAATGGACAAAAAGGGACACTTTTATTTTAGAGGTGTGAGTGGGGTTGTGGCCAGGGACTGAGAGTTTCGGTAACTTACTAATAATTTATGTAACTAAAATATAGTTTAAAACCAGAACAATGCATCTTATATACACAAACTGATTTCGGAACACATTTATTGTAGTTTTGTCACGTATTCATCCGCTTATAAAAATGTGGTTAATGGCATTTACTGTCCACACATGAAAAGTTGTGCCGAGCAGCAACCAAATCCACAGAAGGGTTAATGCTGAGCAGCAATTATGCAAATAGGAACCAGGTAACTGCCTTTGGGGTCAAAAGCTGTTTACAGCCTATCAGATCTAGAGGAGGGGTATTTAGGCCCAGTTCTCATCCTGCTCAGTGCCCTGTCGTGGTTTCCCTTGTGGTTGTCCGAGAGCACGTTATTGATTTTGGTTATTCTGGTTATTTGACTTTGGCATTGTTTTTGACCTCCCTGTTTTCTGGCATCTCTGACTCCTGGCTTTTCCTTATCGTTGTGTCTCTTTCTGTATCCCTTGGCCTCGGCTATTCCAGACTATTCTAAGGTCCGGTATACGTTACCTATCAGTCCTCTGTGTTACACAATTCTACGTGCTGGATCATTCTGTAATCCTGACAAGTTTAAAGACACATTACTGTGAGTATTATTGATGTGGAGCTCTGTTATACACACAGCCACAGAAAGAATATGGATCTCCAAGAAAAGAGGGACATTAGGATAGAAAGAGGAACATATGAATTTGGGATCAAAATAGGTACTGTCCCTCCTAAACACGGACACTTGGGAGGTATGCTTTTCAGTCAAAGATGTATGTTTATAAACACTGCAAATGTCATTCTGAATCTGTATCCACCCACACACAAGAAACAAATACTTAGCACATCTTTGTATTAGCACAATGCGCTCTGTGTAAGGCACACAAATTCAGTCCATTGTCTGCGTCCCTTTTTACAGCTGATTTTAGAGAATGTCAACTATTCAGTCAATGCTTTCTGTACTCTGGTCTCTCCATTTGAAATACCCTGAGATAAGTCAGACAAATTCCATCCAGAATAGCTCAAACATATTAACATTTATACAGAGCCAACAATTTACAGTGTTCGATACAAGACTTTAAAGAGTACCAGTCACTCCAGAACTTTCATAGACTAAGAATCTTTATGCATCGTTCACATTTTGATAGTGAATCATTGACTCTGTGTCAGGTGGCTGTTCAGTGTCCATGACATTAGCTCTGCCCAAACATCATAATTTCTCACTACGCAGTGGGTGGGGAGGTGGAGAGACTCATAACTGTGGATTCTTGTACGTTTCATGAACTCCTTCCTGACTATAAGGGTGTTCTGCAGACCGTTTATTGATTTTATTCCCACCAATTTTAACTTAGTGCCCACTAGCAGCTAATAAAGTCAGTAGGTCTATACATTAATTTGGGAAATAAACTTCATGCAAACTTTTATCCTAGTCTGAAAAAAATTGTCTACAGTTTGATATAAAAGAAATATTGGAGGAATAAAGATTTGAGACCAGGATACACCTACAAGCTAGTGTTTTATCTTTTATCCCCTTCAGGAGTATCATTTAAAAGTCCCAATGGCGAGTTTTTGTGCCTCTTGTCGTTCAGTGTTTATACCACTGTCTCACTATCCCTAGATCAAGGTAGACAACCTTCGGCTAAGCTGGTGCGGTGGACGACATTTCCCCAGACGCTTTGTCAGCAATGTGGCTGTAAAAGCATTATAGAAGATGTAGTCCAAAATATCTCAAGTGTCAAAGGTTTCCTACCCATGCTGTAGATACTTGGAACAAGGTGGTGTGATAGTTGGCGCTATGTAACGATGAACCCACTACGAGTTTGGCATCTTCTGGATCTTACATGAGACAGATATATGCGTTTGGGTGACAGTTATACAATTGTCAATACAGTTGCTTGTTCACAAGGTACCATGATCTCATATCAAGAAAAATATATAGAAATGGAGGGAACCAGTGACCTAATGGTTGGTTTAAGAACAAATATTGTTGTTTAGAGCTAACATGTAAAAATGAAAGGTGGGGGTATGACCCATCATGCAAACCTTCAGACAGGAAATATAGCATGGCAGCAGCAATAGCATTTTTTGTCATAAATTTATTCTACCAACATGTTCATTTAGCTTGGTTACAGAGATTTGTTAGGAACCTCGTGGTATTTTGGAGAATGCAACTACCTAAAATATCTCCAGAATGTAGCAGTAATGCCTGTACTTTACTTTGTGTAACCCCAGAGAGTGCAGCACAACACATTGTTTTTGCTGAGGCAACATTTCGTGTCTGGTTTAAAATCAATTTTTGCATGAAAATCCTATATAAAATATGTTTTGATTTACAAATAACTAATGTAAACTCGATCTTGAAACACAAATCCAGTAAATAAACTTACTTCCTATGGAGTAAGTGAATTTACAGAAATTCAGACTATTTACCACCAGCAGCAGACACAATTTTGGACATTGATACATTTTGCAATCAATCGATTTTGTAGTCCAAAGACCCCCGTATGCACTCTGACACTTTGTGTAGAATTCCAGCTGGAATAAAGTAAAAAACAGTCCATGTACGCAGATTACAGTTACAAAGTTTTTAATCTTTAACCTACTGTTACTATCATGACCAATATATAACAAAGTTCTGAAAATCAGTGGAGAATATCACCATCTCAAAATAAATACATTAAAACCTTTTTTGGGGATTAAAAATACTGTAGTCACTACAACTTCATCTAAATGAAGTTATAGTGCCTACAGTTGTTTTCCCCCCTTCTTAGTGGCCCTAAATATTTTATTAATTAGAATGCGTGGAAACATGAGTTCAAGCCACGTCTCCAAGCCATCTGGATATGACAGCCATGACTGTTACCTCCTCCCTCTAATGCCTTAGCATACCCTGACATCATGGTATAATTATAGGCGCATCAAAGCAAGTATCGTGCATGCGCCTAAGGTCCTCTATGAGGCTCATCGGTTTGGTCAGTCATCCTGCACACATGCTCTCAATGTGACATCAGGAAAGGAGAAGCTGCAGCATCACAGAATAAGACTCTGCAGTGCAGGAAAGGTGAGCATTTTTTTTCGTTTTCATTCAATCTAAAAAGTCTAACACCAGCCCTCAACAAAACCCACTAAAATGCAATTTAACACAATATTTGCTACGAAGTTTATTCGTTCTGTGAACCCATTCCTTCTGTTACTATCATTACAAAGAGAACATTCAAAACGATACTCATTTGTTCATGCATTCTATGTTCTAAGCTACACTACTCTACGTACTACTAAAAACATGGAGTCGTATGTATTTTGTGCAAGCACCATTAGTAAATACTGTCACTTAGAAAGACGGCCAGTATTTTTGAAAAAATAAAAGGTTATTTTATTCATGGTTTGTCTGCAAATTTTAGAATAATAAAAAACAAAAACATAAGGATTACTATAGTTCTATCTGAGATCCGTGACTGTCTTCTAGGAACAGCTAAGACAACCATCAGACTCCCAGGCCTCTGTTAGAGAACCTGAGAATGAGTAATAAATATACCACCCAGGAGGGGTGAGAAAATCTAATCTATTTAATATATGAATATATAAATATAGATTGTTTAACTGTTCCTCCTGTTTTTCTCTATTAGGGTGCATTATAATATTATTATGTATATATTTAGCAGTACACTGATTGGCCTACTTGTGTGCCCTTTTTTTACGTCTGATTCCATTCCCAAACTGGGTTTTTAGTACCAAAATTCTGCTGAGCCACACAGACTGAAAATCAGGCATATCGTGAAAAATGTTCTGTTTTCGGAAGAAATGGTTCAGCTGAGGACAAAACTTTCTCTCAAATATCAAGAGAACTGATTATATTTGCTTTATCTATCCCTTCCATAGATGGACAGGAGCTAGGAAGAATGTTATTTGAAGAGGCCATTTTTTTCCCCTTGTAGCATAGTTTGTTTTATCAATGTATGAATCGAGAGAAAATGGTTATGGTAATGGAATTGCTACACAGTCTGATACAATCAAAGCCAGCGAAAATTGAAACAAATTGAGGAAAATCACAAAAGTGTTATATATCTTGCATAAAAAAAACAGATTCAAAGAACTTGCAATGGTGTTAAAAACAGAAGAAAGTAGGTGAGGAAAATGTATTTCCTGATCAATCATGGCACCATTTACTTATGGGTTAGCTCCTCCCCTAACAGCAGAAAGGAAATAGAACTCTGAAACTGGTATAAATAGATCCTCCCCCTTCCCATCAGGCAGTCTTTTTCCTGTCGTTCACAGCAGTTTAGAAGGAGTCTGCTTAAGCAAGCCTAGAATTCTTTTTATGCTCACCAGGCCAATATATTTCTGGCCCTGCCAAAGTTCAGCCTCTAATCCCTGAAGACTCAGCAACAGCACATCTCTATGAGTTCGCCAGCCTGGGTACTCCCTTTAGTGACCAGGAGTTGGACCCAATCTCTCCCTCAGGAGATGAAAGCGGTCCACTGCATTCATGCCAGGGTTCAGCCTCTTATCCCTGAAGACCCAGCAACAACACATCTCTATGAGGTGCCAGTCTGGGTAAACCATTTAGTGACTGGGGGTATGACCCAATTCTCTCCCTCAGGGGATGAATGTTGTCCACCTACAGGAGGCCCAGCCAGGGTGCAGCCTCTAATCCCTGAAGATCCACATTTCTATAAGTTGCCAGCCTGGGTACCTCCTTTAGCAACCAGGGGTTTGACTCAAGTCCTTCAGGGGATGAAAGCGGTCCACTGCATACATGAGGCCCAGCTGGGGCTATGCCTCTTTTCCCTGAAGACCCAGCAAACAGCACTTCAATAAGGTGACTACCTGGGTATGCATCTTCTATGTATTCCACCATAACCGGGGTTTGTTTTAAACCTTCCCCCACTAGTGATGATCATTTTGGCATATGGGGTACAGATAAAAGCCTTCAGTTTAAACAGTTTAGGCTGTCAGTTGTTCAAATCCCCATATGTTGTTCAAATTTATGCCTGCAGCTGTTCATCTGTCTCTATGGCTGTTTAGTGTGTTTTCCCTCCTCAAGTGAGTGCATTAGTAATTTAAACTAAAAACTAGTAGAGGCACCTGGGTCTTTCAGTCCCTCCCAGTTGCTTACATTAGGCTTCCTTTTAACAAATTGGTCACATTTAGGAGGTTTGTGTGGTGAGCAATTAGGTAACTTTATAAATGCAATGATGCAATCATGCATTTTCTAAAAGAGTGTGGATAATGCAAGGAAGCATTGACAATGATATCCTGGCTGTATAAAATCTGCCTGAACCCCACAATCCTGAAGTATGTGAAGACACATGGTAAGAGAAGGCTTTCCTAACTGAATGATTGAATAACACAAAATGTATGTGTCATGGATTTTACAACCTGACGCATGGTCCATGCAGAGACTTGTTCCTATCAAGGCATGAGACAATGATTGCTGTTATCTGTGCTTTGTAGCACATAAGCAGGCGTTTTCAGAGTGGACTTTAATATATTGTTTGGATCCTCCTGCTTCTCTAAATCAGCATATGAGACCAAGATTTCCTCTGAATGAACTGGTGGGAAGACCTTTTATAGGTTGGTTATCATACAGCCTCAGTATGTGTTACCGATATTATCTCTGTATATGAGCTGGTATAAGGAGCATAATCTCCGTGTGACGCACAGCCTCAGTGTGTACACGTTCTATGTATGAGTTAGTCTGAACACTCAACCTCAGTATATTTGTCCACTATATGCTCTATGTATGAGTTACTATGAGGACACAGCCTCAGTGAGTGTGTGTGTGTATATATATCCAATAAATGCTCTATGTATGAATTATTGTGAGGACACAGCCTGTGTGTGTGTGTGTGTATGTATGTGTATATATATATGTGTGTGTGTGTATGTATGTGTATATATATATATAAATGTGTGTGTGTGTGTGTGTGTGTGTGTGTGTGTATATATATATATATATATATATTATCCACTATATGCTCTGTGTATAAGTCCTGTGAAGACGCCACCTCAGTATGCATTCATGCATTGAATGTTAGTGTGAAACATATTTGAATGATATAAAAGACACAACCTCTGTATGCAAGTTGTTGTTGTTATTGTGCAACCCCAATATATACACATGCTTAGTATATTTAACCCCTTAAGGACGGAGCCAAATGTACACGTTGTGAACAAAACAAAATGTAAACAAAACCTGGCATTTGCGCTACATGTCTGTCCAACCGTAATACACCTCTTTCATAGTAAATGCACCCACCCTTATTATATATCATTTTATTCAGGGGAAACAGGGCTTTCTTTTAATATCAAATATTTAGCTATGAAACATAATTTAATATGAAAAAAATGGGAGAAAATACGATTTTTTTGGATTTTTTTAGTTCTACATGACATTTTAACGGTCAGTGTCATAATACTGTTTGCTTTTACTGCAATAAAATACACATATTTGTATTCAGCAAAGTCTCACGCGTAAAACAGTACCCCCTATGTACAGGTTTTATGGCGTTTTGGGAAGTTACAGGGTCAAATATAGCACGTTACATTTGAAATTGAAATTCGCCAGATTGGTTACGTTGCCTTTGAGACTGTATAGTAGCCCGGGAATGAAATTTACACTCATAATGGCATACCATTTGCAATAGTAGACAACCCAAGGTATTGCAAATGGGGTATGTCCAGTCTTTTTTAGTAGCCATTTGGTCACAAACACTGGCCAAAGTTAGCGTTAGTATTTGTTTGTGTGTGAAAATGCAAAAAATGCCAATTTTGGCCAGTGTTTGTGACTAAGTGGCTACTAAAAAAGACTGGACATACCCCGTTTGCAATACCTTGGGTTGTCTACTATTGCAAATGGCATGCCATCATAGGGGTAATTTTCATTCTTGGGCTACCATAGGGTCTCAAAGGCAACGTAACCAATCTGGCGAATTTTAATGTGAAAAAAATGAAACGCAAGCCTTATATTTGACGCTGTAACTTTTGAAAACACCATAAAACCTGTACATGAGGGGTACTGTTGTACTCGGGAGACTTCACTGAACACAAATATTTGTGTTTCAAAACAGTAAAAAGTATCATAGCAATAATATTGTCCGTTTAATGCTGTTTGTGCGTGAAAAATGCAAAAAACGTCACTTTTACTGGCGATATCATCGTTGTAATACATTTTACTGTTTTGAAACACCAATATTTGTGTTCAGCGAAGTCTCCCGAGTAGAACAGTACCCCCCATGTACAGGTTTTACGGTGTCTTGGAAAGTTATAGGGTTAAATATAGTGCTAGCAAATTAAATTCCCTATACTTTCGGCATGGGTTGTCAGGCAGGTCCTGCTAATTGTAATTAATTAAGATACCTAATTATGTAAAAATATTACATAAATATATATGTAGAATCAATATATGTATATATATATACGTATGTGTATATATATATGTATATATCTATATAATTTTTTTAAAATATTTTTATTTATATATAGGTATATATATAGTGATATATACGCATATATTTATGTGTATAAATATATATATTATTTCGTTCTATGTGTATTTTGATATATATATATATATATTAATTTCACAATACAGTTAGAACGAAATAACACATCTATATATTTTTTAATTATTTATTTTTAATTATTTTTGTAATTTTATTTTTTAACGTATTTACATTTTAATTTTTTTTATAATATATATAAATATATATATAACAATAATTATATATATATTTAATCAGTATCAGTCTACGTGTATATATTAATAGTAAAATACACCTAGACGCTGTACATGTGTGTATGTATATGTGTATATATATACTTAGATCATATATATATAATATATATATATGATCTAAGTATATATAATTTTATTTTTTTACACTTTTAACTTATTTTACTTTTATTTTCAGCCAGCAGGGGGACCACCTGTCATTACAGGCAGCCCCCCTGCTGGCAATACAGAAGCCAGCTATCCCCGGCCATGTGATTGTGGGGTCCTCGCTAGGACCCCACTCTCACACGGCCGGGGGGCTTCCTGGAGGACGGTCGCGCCGCGGGGGGCTCCCTGGGAGTCCCCCCCACCGCGATCGCCGGCGTGGGACCGCCGGCGACCGGGTAAGTACAGAAAGACCGGAGGGCGTACTATTACGCCCGGCGGCGTTTAGAGCCGCCTATTAGAGGACGTAATAGTACGCCCTGCGGTCTTAAGGGGTTAATATATGCATTGGATCTAAGACCTGTGTTTAAACTGAGTAATTTTGCCCAGTTCCACCAAAACAAAACTACCTATTACAAACTGTTTTTTCTACTTCAGTTTTCTGAATGAAGGAGATAAGAGAAACATGCTACTTTTTGCCTTTGCATTAGTGTTCTCCTCCCACACACGTGTTTGAGGATTAGTAATAAACCATTTTAGTTGGACTGCAGGTGTTACTGAACCTGTCTGAATATCCCTCCCACTGGAGATAACCAGTCAAGATTTCCAAAATGGTGGCTGGTAATGTTCAATAACAGTTAATAGTGCATATAAGAGATATGGTGTTGCCAATGTGTTTCTCTTGCCAGGTACCACTGATCATGATATTAAATGTTTTTTCGTTTGGTTGCATTGTTTAACCTTAATATGTATTGCTGACTTAAGATGCACAGCTTAGTAGATCCTGTTTGCAAGTACACTTCTTGGCTATATATTGCTACCATGAGTTGGTAACTTTGAAGCAATTACCCAACTGTTTTCGCTAGTATGCTTTACTGTCTCTAATCTAATTTTAAATCTGTTGATATTGGCCTTTTGTTTTACCTGGTCACAACTTTAGTGATCATGTTTTATTTTATGCACAATTCTACTTTGAAAAATTCACTCACCCTGGTCTGGTTTATATTTTTATTCAGATTTCAGCTTAATGTTCAGGTTTAGAATATTCTTTAGAACGGAGTAAATTTCCTTAACGCTTAATCTTTATAAGTTGAAGAATGTGCCATTTGTTATATTCAGTATTCTGCAATTTGTATCCCTTGGGGGCCTTGAGTTTGGCAATCCATTTAATCCATATTAATTCTCCTTGACCTCTCTGCTGCCTTTGACACCGTGGATCATGCTCTCCTCCTTCAAACTCTTCAATCGCTCGGTCTCTGTGACTCTGTCCTCTCTTGGTTTTCCTCCTATCTCTCCCAACGCTCATTCAGTGTCTCCTTTTCCAAGGATACCTCCTCCCCTCATCCTGTCTCGGTTGGAGTTCCCCAAGGGTCTGTCCTTGGTCCCCTTCTATTTACTCTTTATACTGCCTCTCTTGGTAAACTTATTGCCTCTTTTGAATTCCACTACCACCTGTACGCTGATGACACTCAGATATACCTCTCCTCCCCGGACCTCTCCCCTGCCGTCCTGCAACGTGTCACTGCTTGCCTTTCTTCCATCTCTGACTGGATGACCTCACGCTTTCTGAAACTTAACCTCTCTAAAACTGAACTCCTTGTCTTTCCTCCTCCTAATACTGATCCTCCTCTCTCGCTCTCCCTTCAAGTCAGTGATATCCACATAAGTCCATCCCTGCAAGCGCGCTGTCTTGGCGTCATACTTGACTCTGGTCTCACCTTTGAGTCTCACATCCAGTTTGTTGCCAAGTCCTGTAGGTTCCAACTCAAAAACATAGCCCGCATTCGCCCCTTTCTTACGCAAGATGCTACCAAGGAGCTTGTCCATGCTCTAGTAATTTCCCGCATGGATTACTGTAACCCTCTCCTGATTGGTCTCCCCAAAAGCCGTATTGCCCCGCTACAGTCTGTAATGAATGCTGCAGCTAGACTGATTTTCCTCTCTAGTCGGTCCTCTCACACCTCACCCCTCTGCCAGTCCTTACATTGGCTCCCTGTATGCTATAGGAGTCAATTCAAAGTGCTAACCCATACATTTAAAGCACTGAACAATTCTATCCCCACTTATATCTCTTCACTAATCCATAGATATGCCCCTCCTCGTACCCTCCGCTCTGCCCGTGACCACCTCCTGACCGCTGCTCGCACCCGTACGGCCAACTCGCGCTTGCAGGACCTCTCGCGGGCGGCTCCTCTCCTATGGAATAGCTTGCCTACTGCCATCAGACTCTCCCCTAGTCTTCAATCATTTAAGAAGGGCCTTAAAACCCATCTCTTCAGGAAAGCTTATGGTAATCTCTACCTTACATACCTGTCTCCTGCTCTCTCCTATGGGACAGTGCTTTGCTCTCTCCTCCAGCTCTGCTTCACTCCTACTTGATATTTCTCGTCCTAATGTTTCAAATACCCCACCTCCTATAGTCTGTAAGCTCATTTGAGCAGGGTCCTCTTCAACCTATTGTTCCTGTAAGTTTTCTTGTAATTGTCCTATTTATTGTTACATCCCCCCTCTCAAAATATTGTAAAGCGCTACGGAATCTGTTGGCGCTATATAAATGGCAATAATAATAATAATAATAATAATGTCCGTTCTGGCATTTGTTTGGTTCTTAAGGGGTTAAGTATCAAACTTTTCCACAGATTCCCCTGTTGTGAAGGGGAACATTATAATTTCCTTTCTGCAATAAAAGGTATTATTTTGGGCTCATAACTCCATGTAACTTTGATGCTGGTTATTACAAGTATTTTAAATGACATTTGAAGGTCCTTCAGTCACCAGACCATTCTACCAGGTTTACTATTTCAGGTAAAATTTACCTGCTACCAGAACAATAAGGGAAATCGCTGAACATAAGGTCCCATTACTGACCTCTGTTCTGATATTCATGGAGATTGTTTTGGGCGTACTACTATCTGGACTTCGCAGCCAATGTATGGCTTTAAGCTGTTGAGCCATCCTGCATAATATAATATCATAACTTGTGTGTGACAAACATTTGGCTGATATGTTTCACATGGTCTCTGTACCTAGATCCATATATATGATGGTCATTCCAAACATTGCATTGTTGTAATTCTTGTGGATTATATGCTTGGACTGGTGTTGATATATTTGCAGCTAAAACAAACTGCAGAATGGTTTTATCACCATAGGCTCTACCGTAAGTACTTTATCACTATCTGAGATAAGATAAGGTCAGTGTAAGTATGCAGTTGCTTGTTCTCATAAGGATAACTGAATATCCTTTACTATCCTGCTTATTATGTGTCTGTTGCCACAATGAATGCTGTAGCTCTGGTTACCACCTTCCATGGTGTCCTGCCTATAGCCTTTCTTCTACTGACATTGCACAACAGTCTCTAATCAATTTGATTCTACGGTTTGAAATAATTAGTACCATTTACAATAATTTTAACTTTGCATGTAGGTTCTGACGTTGTTAGCCTACATTGCCTACTTATAATTTAGTAGTTGCCACAAATGGTTCATACTGGTTTTTTTTTTTTTTTTTTTAACTAATCTGGATGATTTGAGTCTTCATGACCTTGCCTAGTAATATCTACTTTGTGTTATTGGTTTCTACCTCTCCTGTCACGGTTTATTACTGTATCAAACAATTTATTCACAGTGTGAGGTATTGTTGAGAGTCTAATTTTTGCAATATATAATCATTATTGCTGTGTTTTTAATAACAGACTCTCTTATTTCTCTACTAGGCTCTGCATTTCTCTTACAGGTAGATATTATTTTGTTTCCTGTATCTACAAGTAAGTAGTTCACTAAGCAAGACGAAGCGGTGTGAATTGTCTTCAATAAATAATTCCAGAAAATAGTAGAATTTTCAGTTTAATTCTCACCTTGCTATAAAACAGGGGATGACTGTTTTCACCCAACACTATATCTAAAATTTCATGGATTGTTCCCATCAGATATCTGGAAGTTATGTCTTGGTAAAGTTTCTGTTTGATACCACCATCCATTTGGTATTTAATTTATATTAGAGAAGGACATTATAGGTCGATAATTTCTAGACAGTGATTGGTTTTATGGAGTTGATCTAATTTTTATTTTATTATCCATAACAGGACGGGTGTCTTCATCTTACAGGAGCCTGTCTTGTATTAGTCTAACCTTGTTTCTTTAATAGGTTTGGTTATCATGGCCTATCTGACTATTTATTTCTCCAGGATATTTCTGACATTTTAATACCAGGAGGCTGCTGACCTAGCAGCTCCTAAGGTAAATTTACTTGTCTGAATAGATTTTACAATTGTTGACAATCCTATTGATTACGGTTTGGCCTTAAGTCTTCTAAGGTTTATGCAGCTCAGTGATGATTTTTATAACTTTTAGCTGTATTTGAACTCTGTCCTATATATATATATATACACACACACACACACCCCTCCCCCCTTGGGTATTGCCCATGAGTAAATGCTGCCATGATTGATCAGGAATAAGGAAAATTGTTTCATACTTACTGTAACTTTCTTTTCCTGATCATTATCCATGGCAGCATTACGTTCCCACCCATATACTATAAGATGTGAAGCTAGTTACTAAGACTGCCTGATGGGAAGGGGGAGGATTTATTTATACCAATTTCAGAGTTCTATTTCCTGTCTTCTCTGCTGTGAGGGGAGGAGCTAACCCATGAGTAAATGCTGCCATGAATAATTATCAGGAAAAGAAAACTACGGTAAGTAATTTTTCATAATAATGAAACTCACAAACTCCAAACATATCTTTAGTGCTTTTTGTAAATGTATTGCTTTTTAAGCTAGTTTATTTTATTTATTTAACACACTTATTGACAATTAAAATAATAGATTAGTTAATAGAACACATAATGGATTTTGCATTAAGAAGATATATATATATATATATATATATATATATATATATATATATATATATATATATATATATATATATATATATATATATATAAAACAAAAATCCTGATGAAAGTCTGTGATACAGACTGAAACGTTGATTTTTATTTTGAGCTAATAAAAGCTAAGTTTTATTCATTCAACTTGGAAGTCCCTGGAGTGCTATCTTGTACTTTTGGCTGTATATATATATATATATATATATATTCTCTCTCCTTCTCTCCCTCCCCATGACATTGTGAAGGAAGTGGCAGAGAGATCAATAAATTTGTATCTTAAACTTATTGAGAACCTGTACAAGTATGTCCCAGAGGTTTATAAATGAAACGAATGAAACTCAATCCTCATAAATAAAATTGTGCAATATTTGTTTTTTTACAAATATATTCCATGTTAACTGAATTTTTAAAAAGATCCAATGATCTGATGTTTGACAAACTGCAACTCTGCTTTACATAGCTATGCACATAAATAGGGTCCACACATTAATTTGTTTATTACATTCTTGTAATTGTTGGTTCCTTACAATTATACCCTAACATTAAAATTATATTATAGCACTTAGCGCTATATAAAAGACAATTAATAATATATGTTGACTCAAATCCATAAAATGCAACCTTTCACATCTGTCACTAACTATTTTGCTCTGTTTTAAAGAGATGACACATGATACATTTATATGATATTAATGAAATTACAATTTTTTTTATTTTAAGAGGAACACTACTTTTAGATTATTTTGAGCACATAGAAAACAAAACACAGACAGCGTTATTTGCTAAATTGTAATTTATTCTTTGCCGAGAAAATTTTTAGGTCAAAAAAGACAAACTGAAAGCTTGTGGACTAAATATTAAACTTAATTTTGAATTAACTTTGATCCCTTCCTCCCAAAAAGTAATAGCTTCATGAAAAACCCTTGAAAACCTTTATTCTTCAAACAGTTAAAGGGATACTATGAGAACCTTGACCACTTCATCTCAAAGTTCCCCTCTCCTTCCCCCTGTTTTTAACCCTGGAAAGGAATATAATGCTGAATTTATGTCCTCCAATAATAGAGGTTGTTTTTTTTGTTTTGGTTTTTTTGACACTGAACATGTAGCCCAGTTCCATTTCTGTTACTTTGACTGCAGGTCCTTTTTACGGAGCACCGACAGCTTGGAAGGAGCCCTAATACTTTCCAGATTTCCTGGTACATTTGTATTTAGGGCCTCAAATGATGTCCATTACATGAACACAGAAACCCATTCTTCAACTGCCTGTTCAAACCAATGGGAATGTCCAAAAATAGAGTCTTTAAGAGCCGCAAGCTTAAACAAACTCCAGTTGTATTTATACAGTAATGCCCAGTTCCGTCTACAGATTTATTAATTGCAAATCCAGAATGACTCTGGACAGTGCTACTACAACCATTAATGACACCTACGAAGCACAGCAAGTATGCCTAAACAAAACACTTTTATACAAAAATACCCTCTAGATAGGCTTATGAAAAATGATGAGTTGTCACTCATCTGAACACCGATGGAATTGAAATCATGGTCAATAGGTCGTAAGTGCACAGATGAGCATGAACTGCTGACAAGTGTAATGTCAGACAAAATAAAAGTAAAAAAAAAAAAAAAAAGCAGAGGTCCATCTACAATATGTAAACTTTTTTTATTTAATGTTTTTATTGAGGCCTCTGTTAAAACAGCTGAAAACCATTACAATAAAAGTTATAGCTTTATATAGGTTCTGCTGGGTCACAAAAATTTGCAAAGACTCTCCCTTTTTTTAGAGTATAAACTAGCAGTGAATTAAAGTTAATATATCCCGTTACACCTCAAACAAAAACCAAACACTTGAAATGGTAATAGTTAAGATTGTCAATTGACATGTTCATTTAAAACGAGCTAGAGATATTGGCGCTAAGCTATACACTACTAGGAAATGGGACTGCTGTGTTGTCAAAGGCACATCTTATCAGTAGGTTTTATAAAATAAAATCAGATATGTAAAATAAATAAAAACTCTGTTATGTACTGCAGTAATGGGGCATGCATTTTTACTAGCAAGAACAATTTGTCATCCATGCATTAAAGTGATGCAGTAAATTGATGATATCACAAGACTAGGGGTGTAAAGGTATACTATTGAAAGTTTTTTTATATAGGATAAACGTGATGTTGAAAGAGGCTATGGCCTTCACACAACCAAATCACTGTGAATGATATAGGGGGTACATTTGGAACATGACAGCTTTTTTTTCTTAAACAAAATGTTCAACACTACACCAGTTTCAAATGGTGAACTGCTCAACAAACTGGTCTGAAATTAAACAAAGGCCAGAGCATCAAAATTCACAAACAAACAAAACACATCTAATTGCTCTTTTTAGGAGAGTCAGGGCTAAAATTCAAATGGTGCTAATCATCCAAAGCTTTTCTAAATTACACTTGGGGCCCCAGCTCAGGTCAGACTCTAGCAACACCAATGGCCGAAACTACAATTGAATGGCTGTTCTGAAAATGTCAACAGCGGATGCTCTCAGCCAATCACTGACTTCCCATTCACTAAACTGGCTTGGGAAGAAACAATTTTTTTCTGAGCCAGTTTTGTGAATCTGGGGTCACTAATTGGATAAGAGAGTCAGCTGACCGCTCTTAGAATCCTTTGTTTGGGTCTCATAACACGTGCTGTGATGTCAGATGGGGTGAGCAGTTCTTCGTTTTGTTTTTTTTCCAATAAAGCTTTACTGACATGTAACAAACAATACAGAGAAAAGTACATTAGTGCTAAAAGAAAAAAAATTTTTTTTAAAAATTGAAACATTTTAGAATATTTGAATTTCACAACATACTCATAATCACAAAGGAAATGTTCCCAACAAATAAAAAAGCATTAATCAGGAAAAACACTAAATTGTTATACGATCCAGCCTTTGAATCTGGATGTAGAAAACAGTCAGCTTGAGCGAACCTTTCAGACAGAATGTAGCTGGTTACCAGGTTGATGGAGTCTTTTTACTCCAGATACATAAAGTTTCCAAGCAAATCCAGCCCTTCAGACAGGTTATAGAAAGTTGCCAGGTTGATCGAACAGCAAAAGTTTCTGACAACTATTTATTTTTAATCCACCAGCTATTGGACAAGACGGTCTGGATTTTTGTTTTGCCACAATTTAAAAAACAAAACAAAACAAAAAAAACACAACATCAAAAGCAAGTCAAGACAGAAGTCATATACCACCAACAAAATTCATCATTTGATCTAGTTTTTCATCCAAGATATTTCAAGTCTGTAAGGAATTACCCTAGCCAGCTTTCTGTCCACTCTTTGGCCAATTACATGCCTCCACTAAAAATCAATTTAGCACTGTGCTTCCCTATAAGTCTTCAATAAAAGTTTTCAAGATTCATTTCGGATCTGGACTGCCCGTATGGGTGGGACCAGTCTGATATGCTTCAGATATGTTCTCTCTGTAATGGCACAAGATGAGCTAAAACCAGCTTGAGTTCTGAGCGGGGACCCACCGAAGGGCAGGCTATTCTAGCTGCTGTCCGTTCTCAGAATACTCTTGCGACCCGTTTTTTGCTTGCCATGATGAATCACCCTTTGAGTCTTGGTGCAGAAAATTGTCAGGTTGATCCAGCCTTTTAGACACTGTATAGAAATTGCCTTGTTGAGCTAGCTTTTCGGTCCAAGGTACTCACTGTTTGAAAAACTAATGAACTGGAGAGCCATGAATATTTTTATCACGTTTCTTTTCCCCCCCCTCATTTTGTTTCTTAATGATCATTTTTGCACTCTTTAATAATTTATAACTGTTCATACATCTGTATTACACGTACAATGGATCAAGGATATGCAGCTGATGGTAAAGCAAAGAGCATGATTCTATCGTAAATATGACAGTGACATATATACAAAATATATTTAAATTTAAATTATTTTAAAGACAATAAGCCCAGTAACAGAACTTGGATAGATATGTAGGGGCTTTTTTTTGTTTTAATACAGTTCTGTCAGGATAAGAGCTTTGGATCTCTAGAAATTGGGAATTGTGGTGTTATTTTGAACTATTTAAGACCTGGATCCTGGGTATTCCCGTAGTCCTATTAATGGTAGTGTTTTAATAATATTAATATTATTAGGTCTACGAGATTACCACTATATGATCATGTCATGTGGTCATATTACATATGAGAAACAGGGTAATGGGTAACACATGGTGAGGTTATTATTGTGTTAGGGGGCTTGGGAGACCCCAGTTCTGCTCATCTATTACCTTCCACCCCATCAGTAAGGGAGAAGAAAGGTGTTGAGTGTTCACCGTAACCTTTGATATTTTACTCTCCCCATCCATTTGTACATGTAATAGGTAGGGCAACTCACCAGACCTGTACACAACAGGGGTGCCACGGTCACACTTTTAATACTGAGCTGAAGGAGTTCAGCTACAGTAGTTTTTTTTTTTCAGATATAGTTTTTATAGATATAATAGTTCTTCACAGTTAGTAAATCACATGGCACAGATGCTAGAGCTATTAAATAACACGGTAGAGTAACTTTTCAATGAAGGAAATAAAAATGCAGACGATGGGCTCTAGTTAAACAGCCACTATGTGTGCATTAAAAAGAAGTTTGCTGGTAAACCTTAACAAAATTTAAAAAATACATATAAATCCGGTTTTTAGGCAATGAAAAATAACATTTTAAAATCTAGTAAAATACTTCAAATACAGATGTAGGGAGCTTAGTGATTTGATTAGCATACTTGGCACTGGACAGGTGCAAGGGTACATAAATATAACTTTCTAAATATTTGTTACAACTAGTATGATAATGAGGTTCTTCACTTTGTTTGTACATCATAAATTGAAAAGCTTTTTAGAAATATACTTTTATACTAGTACTTTTACTATACTTTGAAACTAGTACTACTACTTTTACACTAAATACTATTACTTTTAGACTAGTACGAACAATAAAAATGAAACAAATGTTCATGTTGACATATCCAACTATTTTTTTTACCTGAGGTTATATGAAGTGGAGTTACTTTTTATCTGTGTTTTTATTTGATATACATTTTTGTGTCATTGATTTTAACTCATTCATCTCATTTTTCGAAGCGAGACATATATACATCGGATCGATGTGCGCTGGTATTTTTTGGTTTTTAGTAACCTCAAAAAAGAAAAAGGACAACAAAATAGTGCAATATGTCACAGTAATTAAAATATATACGGTACAATCCCCGTCTATGGATGTATGTAGCTCTGTTGTACTTGTCATCCAATATAAATGGATAAAAAAAAGCAGAGAGATGTCTTATGGTGTAGTATATCTATACACAAGATAAGTGATATCCTACTTACAATATACAGAGCAATGCCCTGCTCTGGTATGGAGAGTGTTGGTGGTATTATCCCCACCTAAGAATAATTATATTCTGGTGTAAAGAATTAAAAGGTGCATACCAAAACATAATTAAGATAAGCTTTACAAAAAGTTGAACAAATTGAAATAGGCATTAAGTCCATTGGGATGGAGGGTGTCTAAATAGTAAACCCATTCCATTTCCTTTTGGCAAAGTATTTTAATAATATCATCTCCACCTCTCCAGTGTTGGGTGAGTTTAGCAATTCCTGTAAATGTAAGATTACTAGGATCTTTATGGGTGAGAGAAGAAGTGTGAAGATAAAAGATGGTTTTTACACACTTCCTCTCTCACAATAAAGATCCTAGTAATCTTAAATTACAGTTATTATGGCTCATATTTTGCAATTCGGTGGACAATCCGTAAATAAAGCCCTATGTTATACAAGACAAAGGGTTGATTCCTTGCACTGGGAACTGTTGACAAAATTATAAGATTTAGGCCACAACAGTCATGACAATCAAATAGTGTTTAGTAACTAAGACTCTTATTTCTACTAACCCATACAATTATATAGAAGCTCTTCACCCCCAATAACCAAGAAAATCAAAACAAAAAACAATAGTTTAGACATATGCAACTATCACATTTCAACACTATATAGAATATAGCGCACGTTCTTTACCTCATTCTAAATGTCGTAAATTACCCACATTCATCTGGCACATTGGCCATTTTTATGCAGCTGCATTGGGAACGTAGGATAAATCAGTAGTTTAAAAACTAATATTTGAGTTGAGGAAAAGTTAAAACAAATAAATCTGCTTGTCATTCTTATATATACCAAATCTTTTGAATCACTTTGCATAAACAAATACACTTTAGCCAATTTTCCTTGCTTGAAATTACGCCATTAAAATGCCTCTGCTTCCAATGTAACAGATATTCTATCACAGAATGTTTTCCAGTGCAAGCCGGCAACATCAATGTCAGGAAGTCTGTCCAGACAATAATTATTGTATTCTTTTCATCCTTAAAGTAAAGCACATTAAACAAGCAATTACTGCATCATTCATATTATGATCTAATTATAATTGGTAATCAAGCTGTTTACCTCCAACGCATGAAAGATCGAGTATGCCCCACTGAGATTTGAACCCATGACCCTCATGTCACACAGATGTTTCAAACATGAGCTTTGCTTGACTGCCATTAAAAAAAAAAAAAAAAAACCCGCAAAGTGCCTAGAAATTATTATTACGAAGTAAAAGGTAACTTTTGGCATTTTGACACACAGAGTGGCAAACAACTTTCTCTGGTACGGTGAGTCTCCTGCAACTGTCAAAAATAACCTACTAAGTTCTCATTGAATACTTTTCTAACAACCTATTTCCTTACCCCTACTTAATACCCTTTGTGTCACTATACCTCTAGAATGTAAGCTCTCAACCCCTCTGTTCTTGTGCGTCCATTTGTCTGGTTACAATTACGTGTCAGTCCACCCACTGTACAGCGCTACAGAGTTTGCTGGCGCTATATAAATATAATAATAATATATGTAATATTAAAGGAGCACTAAAGTCAACATATAAAAGCAAGAAAGACAGGTCCACTAGCCTTCTTTCTTGTTTTTGTATTAATTTCCCCTTAAAAAAAATAAAAAAATTTGAGTCCTTATTATAGCTAAAACTTACCTCCGTTCCAGCGCCGAGCTCCTCGGCAGGCCACGCCTCCTTTTCCATCAAAATGAGGAAATAGCAGGGCTTAGACGCTTCTCTTGGAGAAGTGTCATAGCGATCTGGTGCGCCTGCGTGGTTTTGCGCTGCACCAATCACGTTCTTCATAAAGTGGCATTGAATACCATCCTATGAATGAACACTTAACGCTCTACCGCGCATGTACACAGTATGCACGTTTCCAAGCTGAGCTGACTGACAGCTCTGCTCGCTGTTTATGCCTGCCCCCTCCTACCGCAGCCCTCCTAAGCCAAAAGTTTGTATGCAAACACACTATATAGATCTCTATAAATAGTGTTTGTATACAAACACACACTTTGTGAATATTGTTAAACATACACACACACACTCTATCATCTATCTATCACTCACACATTTTTAAAATAAGTGTACTTACGGTTTGAAGTCAGTATATCTCTGCATCCTCTTGATCGGTCTCCTGCCTTCAGCCTGTCAGCCCGAGCCGACGCTGTGTGCAGGAGATCATTATCTCCCACACGGTCGGCTCTGATTGCGGACAGGCTCCAGGTTACTAAACATGATGAATGCAAATTAGGCAGCACTTAACTCGGAAGTCGTCCTGGTTGCCGTCTGAGTGACTGTCACTGGAGATGTTCTCACCTGAACAACCCCATTAAGCTGAAGTTGTTCAGGTGACTATAGTGTCCCTTTAACTAACTGAATAAATCACTAAACCAAAAACAGTTTTTTATTTTGTCATAACTTGGACATTGTATCTCTTATTGCCATGGGACTTTCCTGTTTCCACTGGGCAACATAAGGATTGTCCAGGGCAACTGGAGGCAACCCCAGCCTAAAAAAAGATGGACAGCCAAAAAGAGGTCAGTTGACCATAAATGTGTCAGGAATATGAGTGGCGATAAAAATGAGTGAAAGTGCTGCCTGAGCCAATAGGAGCTGCCCACTGACACCTTTTATTTTATCCAGAATTCTAGATTCCAAATCAAATTCTCTCAAACACCTTTGTTATCAGGCCTCTGTGAAGGCCAGTCAGTCTTTGCAGAGGTGCGTTTGTGGATATAAAGGAGAATTTTCATGGTTAGGGCATGTACTTTGTCCGAACTAAAACATATGTGTATCAGAAATTATGAGGGGGGGAGATTGAGAGTGAAGTGGTTAAGCACTGTGGAATTTGAATACATGCATTTTCTATATATAGAAATAGGCTCTATTTATTTTTTTTTTATTTTTTTTAAATTCCACCTCCCTCTAAGTGAACTATTGTGTACAAAATACAATATAGAGGTGACATATGTATGCACGATCATTACAAGACTAGCAAACCTATTTTCAGAGCTTTCATTCAATGATCTTCAGAATGTTTTTCTGTTTATTACATATAATATGCTAAAAATATATTCAAGGTAAGTGGAAAAAAAGTTTATTTCAAAAGAAGCTATGCCAGGCTGTGGCTGAGGTTTCAATTTCCTGTACTAGAATTTCAGTCATCTCTTGCACCATTGCGGGATTTGCATAGTTATTTTGCCTTCCGCTGGATACACAGAGCTAAGGGCTTAGGTATAAATTGCTCATAATCTGTTTGGCCACAAAACACATTCTCTTCCCCTCATGAAGCTATTTTTGGAAATATGTTTTGCAATGTTCCAAATATAGATTGAAAACAAACTCTGGAAAAATGCATGATGCAGTTTATTTCAGTTATTTTTGTTGAGTCTACCAGGGGCTAGTTGTGCTGAACTTCTAAAATTATTTATTTTTCTGCTTTAACTAAGTTCCATATTGTTACCCAAAATTCTTCATGTTTACGCAATCAATAAAGCAGATATTTTCAAGGGTTAAGGGGTATAGCTTGATCGGAGAAACAATTTTGATATGGATGAAAATCCTCTCGATCCATAGAGATCCTTTGTAGAGACCATGGTCTTATATTGAAATTCTAAGATTAGTTACCATTTGGTATCATCGATTTCTTATTTATAAACACATATATAAGAAAGGGAATTTCATGTTACACGATGAGGATCATCGTTGAACTACATTTCCTGTAATTGTCTGCTAAGCTGTAACAAAAAAATTGGGAACTGTAATGCAATAACAACTCAATGGTCAATGTTGCAGTCACCACTTCTTTTTGTTTGTTAAATGCATTTTTGTATTTTTTGTGTTGTGTTCATTGAAAAAATTTATTAGTTACCAATGCTTCATTCAAACAGCAAGGTGAAAAGTATGTATAAATGAACCAAGCCAAGCTCAAGCTCATATTCTTCAGCTAGGAATTGTGATATTTAACTCTTGCTATTTTGGGGATTTCTGGACACCTCTATTGAATAAATTAAGGTGTACACCCAGTTTTGGGGTATTGTTGGTCTTTTTTCCAGAGGGCCACACCCTTTCTATGTGTAGCCCTATGCCCTTCATAACTTGGTCTTCCTTGGAGAAGATCTCAGGCAATGATCTCAGTGGGGTGGAAAACGAGAGGATGCCGATAAACATGCAAAGCTCTCTTTATTGTAGGTCATGTGGAACCTATGGTCTGACAAAAAATCTTCAGAATTATTAGCTAATTGATTGCCCTCTAAATCAAACCAACCATCGAGAGGTCTATGGAACCACTCATTTAGATGTTAATCCTCACAGTATTGGACGTTTCGAAAATTCTCTGTAAGTCAATATTTATCTCTACATATACCACATCGATACTGTGTTCAGCAATGGCTGCCCAGTTGCTTTTTAATTTTTTTCATTTTTTTTTATGATCAGCTTCTGATTGTTCACTATTTAGTAGATATGCCTATGCAGCAGGTGGGTGCACTAAAAGGGGTCTACAACATCCTTTGTAGTAATAGTCATATTGACCCCAGAGAAATATATATATATATATATATATATATATATTTATTTATTTACATTTTTTTTTGTAATTTTACTTTACTTTAACATGGAGGCTGGCTAGCCTGGTAGGCAGATACATGGTTAACCCTCATACTGCGGACTGTCATTTAACTTTTTGTCAGCTGGTTGCTAGTGCCATCAGCAGGAAAATCATACTTCAAATTATTGCAAAAAGTAAGTGAATAATAATAATTTGCTGGAATTCAAAAAACCGACGTGTTGTAAAATATTGTGCATCCTATGATTTGTATAGAGTTCAAATGCAAAAAAGGTCTGGACACCGTATGCATCTGGCTAAATGGTGCAGATTTGGTTGGGTTGACTTAATTCCGAATTCCAGAATTACCTTTAGTACATATGAGAATTGCCATTCTGATTGGAATTAGGCCAATTTCACTGAAAATGTGGTATTTAATGAATTATCCTGTTAATATTTTAAACACATTAATAATTATAATTATATATCTTTTTCACTAAAACAGTGAAATTGTGGTGAACTGAAACCTATATTGCAAAAACATGACTCAACGAGCTGAACTAGAAAATGGCTGCCGTTGATATTTTAACAACCCAACTATTTGGACACAACTCGTTTTACAGTTCACCACAATTTACCGTTTGTTAATAAATGAACCCCATCGTTAACAAGATTGACAAATTAAGAGTCAGGGCATCTCCAGTTTGTGCTCTGTCAATCTGAGAACAATCTGAGCAGTCATTTGAGTCTCAACATATAATTTTCAACTCTATGGCTTTTGCTGTAAAAATATGCTCCATTAAGTTATCTTGGATTTACAACGTTTCATTTTACTCTGATAATCAGGTAAGATTTGTAATCTTATGACTATAAGCCACCCACTAAACAGTCTAAATTAGACCGTTTTGTGCTCGACTTCCTATGCCACCAAAGGAACAGCTTGAATCAAAAGCAAGCACCTGATTCAAAGGAGCTAATTTGCCAAATTCTGAACTGTAGCTAACTGAATTTCAATAAAGTTTAGACTAAAATAAAGGTGATTTCAAAGTACGAAAATCTACTATTTTAGCCTGCATTTTGTCAGTTGAATTTCAGCTCACTCCTACTCGGAGTTCATTGAATAGTCCATAGCAAATTTGGATATATTATAGCCAACAATTGCAGGAAATTGAAAATAGCTCAACGTGTGCTTTAGTTAGTGTGTGTGTTTTTGTGTCTCTGTGTGTGTGTACATTTGTAATTGTGAGCTCCCTCTAGTGGAAAAACAATGAAATGACAGCATAACAATGGTAATAGGAAAACCATTCCGATCAGTACTTCAGATCTAGGGGAGTCTCTTCCCTACGACCATTAATCTGATTTGATATAAGTTACTGCATCATAGATGTACAAAATGCTGTTTTCTTCTAAGCACGGTTGCCTAGCTATCTGGTGTTGAGTTAGGAACACTGAATGAGAGCTACAAGACATTTATATTTTATCATATAAGGTCAATAGACTAACTGCAGAAGTAGCAATGATTTTGTTATTAACGCACATCGAAGTAGTATCTAATAAAGTACATTAATATTGCTTTTATATATAGGTTTTTTGTGTGTTTTTTTTACATGTTTTTTATATGCTTCTCTAGGTGGTGAAGTCAAGCTAAAGGAATTTTATTTACTTTTATCATCTCCTTGTTTGGGTTATTAATCTGTGAACTTTAGATTCTAATTCCTTTATTTGAAACTGGGTTCAGCGTTCTAACTTTTTTATATAAAACTTTTTGTGCCTGTGTGAATATACAATAATGAAATGACCTGATATGACATGGAAAGCATGGAATCCCACTTTAGCGACTAAGATTTTCTTTCTGTTCCATATGGATTGGCTCAACAAAGGAACATTAAATAAAAAAGTAACCCACTCATTATTTCAACCACAGGAGTAATATATTTTTACAATGAACAGCAGCTGTTGAACACTTTAAAAAGGCCCACTTTGTTAAGGCGATAAAGAGTTGAGATAAGTGTTATCACGCCCTTGTTTTGTTATGGTCAGTAATCATTACTAGTAAAGACCACATTTCTTGAGATCTTCTAATACTGTTACCTACGATGTCCTTTCTTGTGAAAGCAGTGTAGCATGTAAAGTCATTTAAGGGAGTGAGATGAGACATAGAAAGGTAAAAGCAATGTAGCTGCAGATGTCCTACTCACAGATGTAAGGGACACCTGATACATCCGTGATAACCCAACAATATATACCTCATTGTTGACTCAAGGCAGTACGTGATCTTATGATCTGGAGTTTGGGGCCATCATAGAACACCCATCTATTCCCCATTCTCAATGCTTGAGTGGAAACATTTTGGTACTGGTCGAGAAGGTGTTTAGTCTTTCAGAACACATATCCCGGGCACATAGACCAAGATATGAGGACTTTTCTGATGACCTTTACACATGTCCCATAGACAATAAAGGTGGACTATGGCTATTGCAGCTGTCTTGAACTTCTGGCTCAGAGCAGGTTTAAAACTTTTTCCTGCAAAATTGTATTCACCAAATCCGCTTGGCTATTTTACAATTCTGTCTTCAATTCACTATTATTATGTTATTTATATAGCGCCATCAAATTCCGCAGCACTTTACAATGGGTGGAAGAACAGACATGTAGTTGTAACCAGACAAGTTAGACACACACGAACAGAGAGGTTGAGGGCCCTGCTCAATGAGCTTACATGCTAGAGGGAGTAGGGTAAAATTACACAAAAAGGTAAGGATGGTATTAGACTAGTGACAGTTGCAGAAGAGGAATCAGTCAGGAGGTATTAATAGTTTAATTGATACGCTTTTATGAAGAAGTGCGTTTAACGATTTTTTGAAGGAGTGGCGACTAGGTGAGCTTCTAACGGAGGAGGGAAGCGAGTTCCACAGGAACGGTGCAGCCCTCGAGAAATCTTGAAGGCGAGCATCAGAGGTGGGAGTACGGACAGAAGATAGACGTAAGTATTCAGCAGATCGTAAGGGCCTAGACGGGACATACTTGTGTATAAGGGAGGACAGATAGGTGGGAGCAGCATTATGAAGAGATTTGAAAGCAAGAACCAGAATTTTAAATTGAGCTCTATATCTTATAGGAAGCCAATGTAGGGACTGACAGAAGGGTGAGGCATGGGAGGTGCGGGTGGACAGGAAGATGAGCCTCGGCCCCGCATTCATTATGGACTGTAATGGCGCAATCTAGTATACATCACACTTCAATGTGATGTATACTAGATAAACCCCATTATCTTACATGTCTATGTAATTACCCATTGTACAACACTGCAGAATATGTTGGTGCCTTTAAATAAAGAACTGAGCCGTTTGCCTGTCAGCTACAATGTTGCCAACCTCATCTCCTTGTCTACACCAGCTTTACTGTCCTGTACTAGTGTGCATGTACCCTACTATTTTATCCCAATGCCTTAATCACAATCTAGAATACAATTATAGGTATGATAAAGGAAAATGAACAGGTCAAACCCTACATCAATTTCAGACATATATGAAGTCAACAGAACCAAAAGTACCCAGCTTTAGCAGGAAAATACCAGATGCAAGTTCTCAAGGCAGCTGTTGCAGAATCATAAGTTATCTGAAGTTTTCTGAAAATTAAAATATGCCTTTTTAGGGAAAAGATTGCTGTATAATAATAAAGATTCTTCCTACAGTGAACTTGCCTTTTCATGCTAATTACAGCATTCTTAAATCTGTTTTCACTTAATAATGTACTTTTTCTGAAATCAATCTCATCTAGCAACATCCGTTCTGTTCCTAGAAAATTAATAACTTAATTAGCAGAGCAGTATTGGCTATATCCTATGGTGGTATTTCAAAGACTCCATTACATATTTTTTTTCTTTATATGAATGGGTTTTTATTTATTTTTTTATATTTTTTTTTTTACAGCTTTTATATATGAAATTAGTGAGCCATGAAATAAATAGATTCATATGATTTTTAAGTGCATGTTTTCCAATCTCACACAGCTCCAAATATTAAAGGTCCCTAATTCATAGGGCTGGTCTACGTGAGATTAGTAAGAATTTTACTCCTAGGTAGCAGAGGTTATTTTTCCAATAATGATGTGGTGGGTGAGGAGCTGAGGATCTGCTCTCCTGGTATATAATGATCTACAGTATGGCTATATTAATGGTGGTAGTTGCAAATTCTACCTGTAGAACAGGAGTATGATTCTCACAAATCTTTAATTGCAAAGTGTATCTATGTCTCCGTCTGTCTGAGATTGTTGCGGGAGGTACACATTTGCATAGCTCCCTGTTTAATTCAATCCCTGTCTTGTTACTGGATTGTGGTAAAGGAAAGGGGGAGCCAGAGACACCCCCCCCCCCGGCTCCCTCCTGGCAATCGAGCTAGGTTGATTTTAATCCCTTCGTGACCGCTTTCGTAGGTGTGCGCACGGGGTGCGCCGGGTGTACCTGCGCCATGTGCTTCCATGGGCCGGTGAGGAAGATCAAATAACTCCCTCACGGGCCCACAGGCAGGAGGGAGGCAGGAGAGGACAGCGCCATCACACACACCCACAGCACCCTCACTCTCACACACAGCAGTGTGTGTGTGTGTATATATATTTATATACATACATACACGTGGCATGTGTGTTTGTGCTTTAGGGTGCACACCCTTATGCAATAGGCTGCAAACGCCTATGACCGCTTTTGAATTTTCTTACCGTTTGGGACCAGGGCTGTTTTAAAATTTCTGCGGTGTTTGTGTTTAGCTGTAATTTTCCTTTTACTCATTTACTGTACCCACCAGGCCCGGACTGGCCATCGGGCACACCGGGCAAATGCCCGGTGGGCCGCGGTGGCCATGGGCCGAGGCCGGCAGGGGAGGTCCCAGAATCTCCCCTGCCGGTCTATGCAGGACCGGCGCTATCCGAGGGCCGGTGGGGAGATCAAAGATCTCCCTCACCGGCCCATTTCAATAGACCTGCGGCTGGGGAGGGAGGGAGAGGACCCGGCGGAGCTCTATGTTGTAGCTCCGCCCGGTTCCTCTTGCGAGATCCGGCGCGTTGCCATGGCAACGCCCCGATCTCGCGAGAGTTCACTCACCACTGGACCACCAGGGATGATGTCACCGTGCCGGTCCCCCTCCTCCCAGCTACCACGTGCCTGTCCCCCCCTCCCAGGCTAAAGGTAAGAGGGAGGGGGGATTTAATGCCTACTTAGTTTTTTATTTTTTTTATTTCTTTATTTACCCCCCCCATAGCTTTTTATTTGTTTATTTACCCCCCCCAACACACACATTTATACACAGCACTCTCACACATCACACTCTGCACTCTCACACACATCATACACAGCACTCTCACACACATCATACACAGCACTCTCACACACATCATACACAGCACTCTCACATACATCATACACAGCACTCTCACACACATTATACACAGCACTCTCACACACATCATACACAGCACTCTCACACACATCATACACAGCACTCTCACACTCATCACACTCAGCACTCTCACACACATCATACACAGCACTCTCACACACATCATACACAGCACTCTCACACACATCACACTCTGCACTCTCACACTCATCACACTCAGCACTCTCACACACATCATACACAGCACACTCACACACATCATACACAGCACTCTCACACTCAGCACTCTCACACACATCACACTCGGCACTCTCACACACATACACAGCACTATCACACACATACACAGCACTATCACACACAACACTCTCACATACAGCACTCAGCACTCTCACACATCACTCTCAAACACATAACACTCAGCACTCACACTCAGCACTCACAACACTCTCACACACATCATACACAGCACCCACACACACAGCACCCTCACACAAATCAATCACATACAGCACCCACACATACAGCACCCTCACACAGCACCCACACCTCACACACAGGATCCATCACACACACATACTGCACCCCTCACATACACACACAACCCCCCGATACACTGCATCACACACATACACAATACTTCCAAACATATTTATATAATATATATACACATATAAATATACACACAGCACTCCTCACACACACACACACACAGCACCCCTAAACACATTTCATTCCAGACACACACTAGATCCTCTACCCAACTCTGGATCATCTACACACATACACACACTAGATCCCTATATACACTCTGAATCCATTATATACGCACGCTCACTAGATCTCCTATACATATTCTGGGTCCTTCAAACACACACACTCTCGATCCCCTATACGCACACTAGATTCCTTGTAAGCAAACACATACTACATTCCCTGAACACACACACTCTACAAACACTACATCATGTACACACACACACACTATAGCCTGTATATACACACTTGCTACATCCCCTAAACACACATTCTCTAAAGCCCCTAGCCATATATGCATTACATTACACCACAAACACAACACGACTAAAACCAACCTTATTACACAATACCACACCACGACCAGCTCACTCTGCACACACGCAATACCCCAAGCAGGCTCCAAACACATGCACAATACTCTTTCCTGGCCCTTTTGTCTCCTGGTATCCATTTATAGAGACACCAGAGACAAGTTGCAAGGAAAAAGTGCAAGCATGTTATTAAATTTGCTTGCACTGTGCAGAACAAATACAGGGCTTTTTTCTCATGCTAGAGCTCTTCAGCAGAGCTCTGCGCATGGTCTACCCTGGGAGAGCATTGAACCAACATGCTCACTTTGAGAGGGGGCGTGTTTGTCATGAGTGATGACAAAACACACCTTCTCTGCCCTGCCCCCTTCTTAGTGGGCCGCTGTGATAAAAAAATGCCCGGGCCGAATTTTTTTCCCAGTCCGGCCCTGGTACCCACACATATTATATACTGTTTTTCTCGCAATTAAATGTGCTTTCTAAAGATACCATTATTTTAATCATATCTTATAATTTACTATAAATAAAATTATAAAATATGATATTTATTTATTTTTAATCCCACTTTTTCTAACTTTGACCCCCAAAGTCTGTTACGCATCAACAACCGCCAAAAAACGTGTGCTAAATAGTTTCAAAATTTTGTCTTGAGTTTAGAAATACCCGATGTTAACCATGTTCTTAGCTTTTTTGGGAAAATTATAGGGCTATAAGTACAGGTAGGACATTGCGGTTTCAAAATATACATTTTTAAAGTTTATCAATAGTGACATTGTAACACTGTTATCTGTCATAAATCTCTGAATTACACCTCACATGTACATAATTTTTAAAGTAGACAACCCAGGGTATTCAATATGGGGTATGTCCAGTCTTTTTTAGTAGCCACTTAGTCACAAACACTGGTCAAAGTTAGCATTAATATTTGTTTGTGTGTTAAAAATGCAAAAAACAATTATGGACACTAACTTTGGCCAGTGTTTGTGACTCAGTGGCTACTAAAAAAGACTGGACATACCCCATTTGCTATACCTTGTGTTGTCTTCTTTTGCAAATGGTATGCCATCATGGGGGGAATTCTCACTCCTGGGCTACCATACACTCTCAAAGGCAACATAACCAATCTGGCAAATTTCAATGTGAAAAAACTGAAAATCAAGCCTTATATTTATTTATAAAATATTTTACCAGGAAAGATACATTGAGATTTCTCTCATTTTCAGGTATGTCCTGGGACTTTCAAAAACCCTATAATACCTGTACATGGGGGGTACTGTTATACTCGGGAGACTTCGCTGAATACAAATATTAGTGTTTCAAAACAGTAAAACATATCACAACAATGATATCATCAGTGAAAGTGCCGTTTGTGTGTGAAAAATGCATAAAATATATCACTTTGACAATATCATCGCTGGCATATGTTTTACAGTTTTGAAACACTAATATTTGTGTTCAGCGAAGTCTACGGAGTAAAACAGTATCCCCATGTACAGGTTTTCATTCATTCTCTGAGACACCGAGGTCTATAATGACTGTGAGATAGTGGAGAGCAGGAGAACCCACTTACACATGGTCCTCCCTTTCCTTTACACAGCCATGTCTTGTGATGGCTGTTGGGATGTAAGCTCCTCCTTTTGTCATATATTGTCTACCTCAGGCTTGCCCATAAGACAAAGTCTCTACATTCATTTTTATTGAAATTCCAACGTAGTCTTGATCAGTATTTCATATCTTTAGAGATCCCTCGCGGCCTCGGATGCCAATACAGCTGCACGCCTCACAGCAGCCCCATTGGACCCTTAATGACATACCCATGCAAGATCTCCATGTAGGGAGGCTGGGTGGAATATTTTTAATTATAATATTAATAATTGAGTGTGTCTGTATGAGTGTGTCTGTCAATGTGTGTTTGTGAGTGTCCGTCAATGAATGAGTGTGTGTCAGATCAGTGAGTCTGTGTGTTTGTCATTGACTGTGTGTAACTGTCAGTGTGTTTACACCACTGAGTGTAGCATGGTCGAGCGGAGAGGACCGCGGTACAGGAGCTTCTGTTTCCTGTACCCGGCCGGACTAACAGAAAGTCTGCTCGGTCGCGCTACAAGAGGCACACTCGGAAGGGGAGGGGACCACTAAGGGGGAGGGGGTTGCACCAAGGGACAGGGTAGGGAGGGTGAGAAATCCTAAAGGACAGGGAAAGGAGGGGAGAGGAACACTTAGGGACAGAGAAGGGAGGAAACCAGTAAGGGACAGGAAGGGGAGAGGAGCTGGATGTGAAAGAAACACATATCGGGGCTTCAGAAGAGGAGAAAGACATACGGAGGGGCTGGGGGGGAGACAGATGGGCTGGGGTGAAAGAGACACATGCAAAGGAGCTGGAAGAGTAAAATACACAAAGGGGCTGGGAGGATACAGACACATTGTGGGAGGATGTAAAAGTCATAAAAATAGGGGAGATAAGAGACACACAAGGGGGATGTAAGAGATACACAAGCGAGGTGTAAGACACACAATGGGAAAAAATAGGAGATAAGATGCACTAAGGGGGTAAGAAATTTAAAAGAGGGGATAAAAAACATAAAAGGAAGGATAAGAGGCACACAGGTGAAATGTTTTTTTTTGGGGGGGGAGTGTGGGCGTTGGAAAATGCATTGTCGCCTCTGTACCCAAACATCCTTGCACCAGCCCTGATTAGGGTTAATCACTAGTGTCTTAATGTAGTTCTAGTGCAGTTTCAACTGTCACTTAAGTATAAATTACTTTATTATCATTGCTAGTATGTCCCCAAATCTACCGACAGCTGAATTATGAGTCTTGTTTTTAGGGATTTGTCTGATGTTGTGACCAAGGGGAAGAGAAATCATTGGTATTTTTTTTTTTTACTATAGCTGTGCTAAAACAATGCACGGGTGTTAGCAGCTACGGTACCTCACTGCATAGATGTGGACAGTTGTGGAGACCTGAGAGATTGCTACATTTTGTTTAGATCTATGCCCATAAAACCGCACCTTGATACATAAACCAAGAGTATCATATCACTTGACACAATTGCCTCCAATTATTTACATTTACAGTAAACCTCACATGTTTGTTAAATTAATAACTCCTGGTTAATATGGATCCTAAATATATCAATATCCAAATCTTTGAAGGACAGATATGGCAAAAACTTTGGTAGAGGAGTGCTCTATATCATGGAGTAGTGTGCAGGTCACCATATTAGTTTACTTCTCTTGTTTGAAGGCATCCTCCTTTTATTTGATTAGCCCCATCACACAGCATGACAATTAAGAACAATGGGTCAGATGTTTTTTTGCTTACTCTCTCAGTTCATCAAGCGGTTAGCCCTGGCATGAAAGAAGGGGGGTTCTGAAGCCCCCTCGTGGTTATAATTGGATATGGGAATCCATGTTTTGTTTTTAGCTTTTTTTTTTCTTATTATAAAGATTGATTATATTTTAATATTTACTTGATCCGCTAATAGGCCTGTTTATTTAAAATATTTACTACGAAGCTAGTAAAGGGTAATATTTTAGCTATCTGGAAAAAGTAAGAGGTATTTTTTCTGATAAATTCAGACAGGATATAATTGCAATCAACCAAATTAATTAAGTGTTGGCTTTGCAAAATTCAGAGCATAATAATGAGAATTCCCGGCAAGTAGTGTACAAATAATTGCAATTTACTGTGGAACTGCTTATCAGTTCTAGTATAAACTGCACTCTTTGTAAAGAACATGACATACATTAATGTATCAACACACAAACACATGTAGATCACCTCTGTTTCTCAATAAACACAAAGATATGTCTGACACTAGGAATTGTTCGATGTGTATGAAACAGCAGACATACAGAAACGGCATATTAAATGTGTCTAGAAAATGTGCCACTTTTGTATAACCGTATAAATTAGATACAGATGCAGCCACTGATTTTGCACCTGCTGGTGCACCACAGTAGGCAAAATAATAAATTCCCCTGCCTCCCTCCCCTATCTATCAAAATGGGTAGCAACAGGACGGGAGCACGTGTTAAGAGAATTGCGGTAGTAAAAGAAGGAAGACTGCTCTATAGCGGTGTGTGTGTTCCAAAATGGAAGGGGGAATTTGAACTTCCCATGCAAATATTTCTTAAAATACAACAGCAATAAACGGCTCAAAAGAATACTCAATCGGTTGCCAACCAATAGACCTTGAAGCAGCTGTAAACCATTTAAAAAAAAAAAAAAAAAACAACCTCAAAATATTCTTGCCATGACACAATTCTAGCTTTAATTTGTCTTGCTGTGTATCTTATCCGTATTAGTGAAGACAGCATTCTACCTAATTTTATCTCGAAAAAAATAAAAAAAATTTTAATTCAGAGCTCATTATAGAGAATTGAAGATCTGTGTACGTCTGCTTACAGAGTGTAGTTTGCAAAGAACACAGTCCTTGCAGAACAGCTAAACAAAGAGTCCTCTTTCTGGCCATTTAATCTGCTAATTTATTTTTTCAACCAACACATAAATCGAACCACAGCTGTAACCAATGACTTGCAGGTCTAGTTCCCTGCCAGCTGGATCCTGTTCTGCTGAAACAGCAAGATTTTATACATTGTTCACTTTTGTACATCTGGAGAAATCGTTTAAGTTCAAAGGTGACAAGAAAAGCTCTTTAAATAAGCTCAACCAACAGTGAAGACACCCGAGCAACGGCTAATCCACATCACGGGGATGCTTATTAAAATAAAGATTCCATTGAGAGGCACTCTTTTTGTGTATTTTTCAATGTATCTGACTTGATGTTTTGCTCTCACCCAAGGCTTTTTTGGAAGGCTTTTGTGCTGTATATACCATGTATCGAGGATAAATTATTTTTATAGAAGGTGAACATTATGCCTTATGTTGAAATTTATCTTAACATCAAACAGTTTAAAAGGTGTGTCCTCTAATTCACTTTTAAAGAATACAGATATTGTTTCTTTGGAACTCATCAGAACTTAACTTATAGTTTGATATTGTCAAGACAATTTCCAGCATTGAAACAAAACCAGCGCCACGCTGACGAGTCCCAAAAGCGTGAAAACAATGTTGGCTAGATTTAGTTCATTAAAATCCTAACCCATACACTGTCCTGAGAATATGTGTTTAAAAAAAGGTCAGTGCATAAACAGCCTACAAAAAAAGTCAAAATCTAAAAAGAGTGAGTGTTATTATGTCTGTTCTTATTTGCAGATTTTGTACGGCATTCTGGGAGACTGGTGGAAACAGAGTTTCAGAAAATTTGTGCCATGCACAGGTTTTTACATTTTTATTCCAATATGTAGATGCTGTGTATTACTCTTAAGGAAATACAAAACTCTAACTCCAAGGCTTAAACAGGCTCACTACCTTATAGCATTTTTATAAATACAATACATTAATTTAAATGTCAGCTTAATAATAACCATGCTCCAAGCACATCTCCAGAATATCCATTTTTTTTTTTTTTTTTAGCACATACAATCTGATAAATATTAAGAGTATTTTCCCTTTAACATCCTGCTGCTTCTGTATTCTTGAGATGTTCTAAAGGTACTTTATATTGACAATCTAAATAAAGAACAATGGTTGAGATGACCAAGGATCTACACATACACATTTGTATTTCAGTGTTATACTATAAAATGTAATACGGCGTATATTTGTTTTAGACACAACGTTAATGTGCCTGTACTATCATAGAAACTGTGTCACCTTGGCCATGAGGTTATTGATCGATGCATTATGAGAAGAATGCAGATGTGCTTTCTTTGTGTTTATATCTGTAACCATCTAAAACATCCAAGCACTTGTAATCTTTTAAAAGGGTACCATGACATTCTCCTGCCTTACTGTGCGCAGATTTGCATTCATTATACATTTCAAGATCAAACGATGTGTGCAAGAAAACCCCCCCCAAAAAAACATCTGAAAGGTAAATATACATACGTCTCAATGAACAATACTACAAATCATTAATATAATGAATTTTGTTGCATAGCAGTGATTGCCATCCTTTCCATAACCATTTTGGGATCTACATTTACCAGAATGCTCAGCCAGTCATAATGTAAAAAACAAGGAATACCAGCAAACCACCATGTAGATATTTGTGCTGATCCTTTGTGGAGTCTGGTAAAATCTGCACAATTCAAGTGCCTGGAAGACCAAGTTGGCCAACACTAAACTATGTCACTCTTTCCTAAATAAACTGCCATATTAAGTAATGTACACTTACCTTTTTTTCCCAGTTATGTTGTGCTGCTAACCTATCGTAGAGAGAGAGCTTGAGATCTTGCTATTCCTGGTGGGAACAAAGAATAATATTAAAGTTCTAAATATGTTGTGAAGATTTTCATCAAAAAAGTTACACAAACGTAAACAGCGTTATAAAATGTACATGGTGACAGAAACAGTAATCCATAAAGTATGGCATACCAATACAAATGGAACAAAAGACAACATGTGTCCTGATATTGCAATGTAGAATTAAAGCACTTTTATTTGAAAGGACCCTCTAAAAGGTCGAGAGCTGTAAACAATTCTGGAACCATAATACAAAAAGGGAACAGTAATCACTCATTCTATAGCTGGTATACTATAATTATTGGCATTTTGACATGTACTAACTGCATTTATAGCTAAGAACACTGTGATATAATAATGGTATAGGTTTCCTTTTTGATGGCACACTTGTAATGGCCCTCTGAATCTGAGCCACCCACAGGGCAAGCCATTGAGTTTGTTTCTTCCCAGTGATTATGATATAACAAGAGTGATTGTATTTCAACAGGAATCATCATTTATAAGAATCTCTACTTAAAAGGTTATTATGAACACCATAGAGTTTGAAACAAATCGCCAGCTGTATGAAAGAAATAAAAAACATTACATTTTGTATATCGTATTTTGTGGGTGTTTTATTGGATACCTGCCATCCAAGATAAAAAAATAAAAATAAAACAAATGTCAAAAGGCGAAGCTCTATATTTATGGTCTTAGTGATTTTAGATATTGCAACTATCACATTTAAAGCAATATCCCCTCACAGACTGCAAACAACTACTACGTGAATCTTGCGGTATTCATTTAAGATATTATATATATAATTTTTTTAAACTGCTCAGATTAAGAAGAGAGAGAGAGAATCCTTTTAAACAACTAAGCATATCACTTGCTTTATTGTGATATGTAGCCATTTATTTTTTGTTGCATGCACAGGACCACGATTTACTACAAGGGTAGAGTGGTGCTTTGTATGGGTGCATCCCCTCCACCTCCCATCTGTGTGTTAAAGTACTTAATGCTGTTCACATCTTCTACCACCTGAGAGAGCTTTAAATCTGGCTTAACTACATCACTAGGATCAAACGTGACCTTGCTCAAGGTTGCATTAAAAACACATTATCAGAGTAGGTCGGGGTACTTCTAGCAATGCATGCTGTGAAGATATGTACCATTTTCTGCAGCAGCTAACACATTAACATCTATCCTCGGCATCCTAGCACCATCTTTAATTGGTCAATTCCTATTATTGAGAAAAAAAATGAAATAAGCTCATTCTGTCATCCGTCTCAAGTTTAGTGTTCCCAGATGTGCATAGATGTTCGCGTTCAACACCCTTTCACATATGGCGTTTGCTCTCTGGCTGATAGGTGTCCGCATTCTTTCCCAAATTGTGTGGGTTTTTCTAGACACGTGTTTGGAAATTACATATTACACAAACTCCAAATGTCAATGCAGTCACTGTTTGTGTATTATACTGTAATATGTTGTGTTTTGCAAGTCAATATAGTTTCATGATTTCCACCGAAAACAATGTACCCATAATAATCTAGCAGTATAGTCGATTTCATGTTAGATCAACCGGATAAGGACATATCAAGCACAGGTTGATCAATGACAAAAATATTAAAAGACAACGGTCACCACCAAATTCATTTTTTTTTTCAATTTGACAATTTTTATTGTAAACATTCAGAATCACATTGAGTAGTCATTGCAAGGTTATGAAATGTAGCCATTACCTAACAACATAATCTGGAATTCCACACAGGGACCATCAGGACATAGTATAATTTATTTACAGGTTACAGGCATGGTAACATAAGTTTTTCCTTGAATATACCTGCAGTAGCAACATTTGAATTCCCACAACCTTTTAACATAACGGTAGAAAGTAATAGGGTGGGGGATAGGTAACAGCGTTGTTGCAAGTGGTGTAACTTGGGTGTGTGGGGAGGGAGATCGAAAGACAATAGGAGAGAAGGGGAGAGGGGGTTAAGATGGGTTACTTGGGTGCTTTCCCACTGTTCTCCATGGCAGGTTTTGTTTTTGTTTCTTTTGTTCAACTACATGGTTCTGTTTTTATAAATGTGGCCCATGTCTGTCTGGCTTTCGTGATCACCTTACTGGGACCGAATTGTTGCTTGGCCATGGATTTGTAGCGCAAATACAACTCAACCTGTGAAATTAAGCCTGCCCAACAGGGGAGAAGTGTATGTTTCCAGTGCCTGGAGATTAACAGGTTTGCAGAAATCAAGACCTGGTATAGGATGTCTCGTTTGTGTACCAGCAACTCTGCCGGGAGAATGAATAGCAAACATGTATCTGGGTTGTCTAGTCTGCTGTGTCCTGTGATTTTGGTGAGCAATCCGACCACCTGCAACCAAAAGGGTCAAAGCGCCCTGCATGACCACCAGATGTGAAGCATGGAGCCCACCTCCTCTTTGCATCTCCAGCAGGTTTTGGATGGAGAGGGCCATATCCTATGAAGTTTTTCCCGGGACCTGTAGAGGATCTTACGTTGCAGTTTAATATGTGTTGCGCATGAGGTCAGGCCCTTATGTGTCAGTAAGGCAGTTTCCCATTTCTTATTTATTGTGTAACCCAACTCTTTTTGCCATTGGTCTCTACATTTCTGGGTTGCATCGGTCTCAGTTTTGTTCAGCAGGGCTGACCGGGAATGGGAGTAATGATCTCCCTTGCATATTTAGTGTAGGTGAGATATCCCTTCACTTATCCAAATCTCACTGCTGAAGGTAGGTATGATGAAGCTCAGTCTTCATTGGTGTGGCTAGTGACCTGCGTGGACCCGAAGTTACCTGATCCCTGATTTGATCCCATATATGGAGCATTTGCTTAGTGATTGGGAGAATATTGTGCATGGGTTGGCGTAGTGTTTTCAATACCCATAAAAGTGCTCTAAGTTCCCTTTGGAGCATCCAATAGGGTCTCAAACTCAACCTACTGGTGTGTTTTTGTTCCCGTGTTGAGTTGTGTGATGTTGTGTAGGGTAGCAGCTCTGTAGTAAGCAACAAGGTTTGGCAACCCCAGCCCCCCGTTCTCCATTGATTGTTGAAGTATTTGTGTTGCTACTCTAGGTCTGCCCCATCCCAGATAAATTTCACAAATAGGTTTTGGACAGTATTTAAGTAATGTTTCAGTAGGGGTATTTGTAATGTCCTGAACAAGTATTGGATTTTTGGCAGGAGCACCATCTTTATTGCTGCTATCCATCCCACCCAGGAAAGAAACCTCCCTTTCCATACCTTGAGCGTCTCACTAAATTTGTGTAGTAGCCGAACATAGTTGTCTCTAAAAAGGTGCGCCATATTTTTGGTAAGTGTCAGGCCCATGAAGGTGATATTGTCTGAGCGCCAGTCTAGAGGGAAAGCCTCTCGGAGTCTTCCGAGAAGGTTAGAATCTATGTTGACCCCCTTAACCTGGGTCTTGGCTATGTTCAATTTATAGTAGGAGTGTGTTCCATATTCAGTTATCAGGTGCATAAGGTTAAGGAGGGATATCATTGGTTGGCTGGCAACAAATTATTTTTAATATATCCTTTCATCAAGTTTTGAAAAGAAATAGAAAATGAGAAAAGCTACAGTTCGTATAGGACAGGATTCTACAACCATATACATGCACCTTGGGTCAGACAGTGTTTGAAAACCAACAGTTGGTCTCTATGGTCTTCTCTACTTCTATGCAGTGAGTGAAGCAGGGAAGATCAGAGAGTAACTTACGGTCTTCAAACATAGTTCAACCTAAAGTGCATGTACTTGGCTGAAGGATACTTTTATATGCTAAATGCAGGGATGGATTTTCTCATATATTTCATTTAAAAGAAATCCTTATTTTTTTTTTTTTTTAACAACTTCAATAAAAGTATTAGTATATTAGAAAATAGTTGAGTTGTTAGGTTGTTTTTTTTTTATTCGTATATATGTGCAGTCAGGTGAAACAATAAGAGGTGAAACCACAAATAGTGCAATAGCCATATGAACAATAAGAATGTGCCAATGGCCATAATTTTATAGAAAGTATAAAATAAAATAAACACCTTTGGTGCTAACACACACTGTTAACAAGATAAATAAGATTTTTTTTAAACGGACAAAAAGAGTAAAGTGAAAAGGGCACAAGTAGAGGAAATTAAACTAAAATGCTTTTATTTATTTTTTAAATTATTAAAGGACCACTATAGTGCCAGGAAAACAAACTTGTTTTCCTGGCACTATAGTGCCCTGAGGGTGCCCCCACCCTCAGGGTCCCACTCCCGCTGGGCTGAAGGGGGAGGAAAGGGGTTAAACACTCACCTTTCTCCAGTGCCGGGCTCCCTCGGCGCTGGGAAATCTCCTCCCTCTTCTGATGTCATCAGCTGAATGCGCATTCAGCCAGTCCATAGGAAAGCATTCACAATGCTTTCCTATGGACGCTGGCGTCTTCTCACTGTGAAAATCACAGTGAGAAGCGCCTCTAGCGGCTGTCAATGAGACGGCCACTAGAGGCTGGATTAACCCTAAAGTAAACATAGCAGTTTACAGCAAGCAGGGTTAATCCTAGATGGACCTGGCAACCAGACCACTTCATTGAGCTGAAGTGGTCTGGGTGCCTATAGTGGTCCTTTAAAGCGGGTCACTGGACTTTTACAATGTATTAACAAACACATTGAGTGTGTAAATGTGTGTGTGTATAATAATGGTTACATACATTATCTCCTCTCATATTTCAAATAGACAAAGAGGGATATTTTAGGGGTGTGAGTGGAGGTGTGGCCAGGAGCAGGGCTCTTTTGAGAAATTGTAGGTTGTAGGTGACTTACTAATAAAATGTATGCAACGAATATGTAATTTAGAACAAGAACAGTGTTTTTTTTTTTCACATACACAGACTGCTTTATAAACGCCTTTATTGTGATATTAAGACGTATTTCTGGTGTTATACGTCTATAGAAAAGTGTTATTGCTGTGGAGTTCTCTTATACACACACCAACAATATGAGCTCCTAGAAAAGAGGGACAAAGGACCCAAAATAGGGACAGTTGAGAGGTATGTTATATAGAATCTCAAAACTATCACATGGATAGAAAATGGGGTTATAAAAGAGGCTTTAACTCTTGGCAATAGCAATCTCACCAATTTGAAAAGCTGTGGCTTTTGACATTATTATATACATTGATGTAAGAATTGTCAACATTGCCCAATAAATAATATTTGTAAACTAAAGAACATGTATTCTCATTGATGTGTGTACATGCATTTTAATGTGAAACAGCTACAAGGATGTCTGTACCTTAAAGAAAAAGAAAACAAGGAAGTATAATAACAGTGAATAAAGCTAATGCTGTGATTAAAACGGTTACCATTAACTGCATACCAAACATCTCCCTACAAATCTTGGAGTTGTGTCCAAGGGAGGTTGTCTGTTTGCGGACTTGTTTGTATGTCTGCACTGAAAAGATGGTGCATAATGTAGGAAGGATGTCAGCGTGGCACACATGCTCAAAGATAAAAAAATAAAATAAAATGGTTCGGCAGTGAGCAACCTGGTCAGCATGTGCAACCAAATTCTCCAGAAAGTTCACAAATTTGGAAGAACAGACTAAAAAAAACGGAGCACTTTTTTCCAATTCCAACCTTGTTGCTAAATAGATGCTTTAAAGAAACACTTGAGTGTTAAGAGTACAAAACTGTATTCCCAACACTAAAGTGTTCTGCACCCCGATCCCCTCTAGAAAATAAAGGGTAAAGCTGGCTACATCTTAGTCTGATGTCAGCACAGAGGGGGAACCTAAAACATGCACATCACATTAGGCCTTTCCCATAGAAAAACATGGATTCAAAGCTTTCCTATGGAAAATTTGAAGATGCTGGGCATCCACATCCAAAACGTGAGAACGTCCAAAGTCATTTTACAGAGTCAAACTCTCGAGTGGCTGTCTGGTAGACTGCCACTAGAAGAAGTCTTAACATTGCAATATAAACATTGTGGTTTCTCTGAAGTGAAGGGTTAAGGGGACAGGGACAGTGCACTCAGACCACTTCAATGAGATTAACTGGTCTGGGTGCCTATAGTGTGCCTTTAGGCAGTGATCACTAACAGCAGCCAGTAGATACAAATTACCACCATTGTCCCTTTTTTTACTGGCCGGCCACCAATGATGTTTGCTTGCAAAGCCGCCACTTGCAGATCAGCTACTCCTCAACAAGTTTGGAGCTCTCACTTGGTTCTGATGACTCAGCAATGGGAATACTCTTCACAAAGAAATTTTCCCTGAATCATGGTCTATGTATAAAGGGGAAACAAACATATTATATACTTTTGGATGAACTTCCCGAGTAACAAATTTCCCCACGGACTTCAATAGAGGATTTTCTATTTTGTAAGCAGTGCAAAGGTTGGTATTAAGGTTAGTGGTAAAATTAATTTAATATTAGGGCAGCACTGGGACAAACATGATTAGTGAGAATTGCACCTCTGTTTGCCATTAACCCCTTAAGGACCAAACTTCTGGAATAAAAGGGAATCATGACATGTCACACATGTCATATGTCCTTAAGAGGTTAAAGGGACACAATAGGCACCCAGACCACTTCTTCTCAATGACCATACTAGCGGCACTTCAGATGGAATAGCAGAGTAAAATTCTTTGCACACTAGACTCCCAATGCTTTCCTACGGGAAAGCATTGGTTTGACAGAGATCACCGGAGACAGACGCTGGGAGGGAGTACAGGTCAGCAAAATACCTTTTTTGCTCCCTGCAGTTGGGGACTGGGTACCAAGATGGCTACCAAGGCACTATTCCAAACACTACAGTATTTATTTAATTACTATATTTTATTACAGGTATATTTAAAGCACAACCGTCACCTCAAAACTATATTTTAATATAATAATAACAACTTCATCAAGTTTTGAACAGAAACGGTAAAATGTGTTATATGTAAAAAAAATTGAGAAAAACAGAATCTCAAGAAAACACTTGGGTCGGACAGTGTTTGAAAAGCAACAGTTCGTCTATGAAAACCAAGAAGTGAAGATGACAAACACCATCTGATACATGGGTACAAGCATGAGGATTTCTCTTTTTACATGTACTTCATTAAATTAAAATACATATACATATATATATATTGCCTTACAAAACAAGATGAATGGATTATTCTATCAAAAATTTGTATTGAGGTGACAGTTCTTAAAAACATATTCCGCATATAAACAGATTATTATAAGGTATTCTTTGCATTGATATTTTCTACTGACCACCTCTGTTTTATTCCATATACAAAGGAGGATGGTTCCTATCTCCACACAGTGCCATAGGTTTTAAGGAATACATTTTTTTTAGGAACAAATAAAATAAGAAATTACACGGATGACAGGCAGCCTGATTAAGGACAACAGGAGGGTCAGAAGAAACCAGCTCAGTCCGCAAACAATTGTAACATTATTGCTTTGGATTCTTTGAAATCTACTGAGCTAAAATGTTCACAAATATGGAAAACTGCAGGCTGAAAAAAGGCATATGGAAAATATCCAGTGATGGTAGTTCATAGATGTTCGATCTTGACCTTACACCACAAAAATATATAGATCTGAACATGTTTTTACAATATACAATTTCTCCAGAAACGTACTGAAAGCAAAAAAAAACAAACAAAAAAAAACACTCTCTGGAAATCTGTTCAATAAACCACCATCAAGAAAGGACATGGGTTTATACATATAGATATTGATATATAATGCATTATGATATTTAAAACTAGCAATAATTGCTAAACATGTTTTGTATGTGCGTGTTCCTTTAAAAGCATCTTCTGAACACTGTGCAGACATCCATTAAGCTTTGCATTTTTTAAAGTCATTATATTTAATGACCGAGAGCTGGTGATTTTAGGTAAAAAGTAGAGGGCAAGCACGTGGTCCAGTAATTTAATAAAAATTATTATATGAAATCACATTTTAAATGAAAGTCAGTCTCAACAAGGTGCTCACTGACCAAGTTTTATTGAAGGTTCCCACCAATCAGACTAAAAACCTTGTCCATGCGATTAATTAATGTTGGTAATTGTAAAAGGTCCCTGGAATGTAAGCTATTCCCAAACATTGCCACCATTTAAGCAGGTATCTGATCCTTGGCATGACTACTCTTGCTAAAGAAGCTATATTTTCTGTGTGAGGCTCTCTCAGGTCACCCCAGTCATACACCTTAACCAAATACCTGTCTGACTCTGGAAACATGATGCAGATTCCGAAATTTCAGCAGACACATTAGATTAAAAAACGAGAGGGCATTAAAGGCATATTGGCCTTGATAGGGAGTCCGTATTACACATTGAAACTATTCCAGTAATGTGCAAGATCCCTTTGTAACTGAACATAAAGATTCTAGATGCATGTAACACTCATTTTAAAGGGGGAGGGAGGGGTGACAGTGCCGCTTTAATAGACTTGTGCATTCGATTTCAAATTAATGTGAATTTGTCCAAATTTTGGGCAATTCGTTAATTAATTTTTTTGCACATCTAGTGTCGGATACATGTGATTTCACAAAATTCTGAGATCCCCCAGTCAAGCACTGGGCAACTGGGGCTGAAGCATTCCATGGTCCCAGAAAGCATTAAGGAAGCGGACTGGGCAGAGATACTCTATTTGAGTACGGGAGCTCCGTCACAATTGACCATTTATACGAGGTCCCTGAAACATGAAACTTTTTTTTTTTTTTAAGTCAATATATTCATTGCTTAAGCTGGATGTTTAAATTAGTAAATGTAACGGACTTACAGGCACCAAAGCAACTTTAGCTTAAAGGGATTCTACAGTGTAAGGCATACAAATCTGTTGTATGTAAAAATAGCACCCTCTGCTCCATCTCCATCCAGCATGGAAAGGTAAAAAAATAAAATAACCTTACTGGACTCACCCGATTTCAACGCCGATCTCCCTTGGCACTGGGTTGGCACTTTTCCTTCTCAGACGTCATCCGACAGGGGGGCTAATGGGCATGTGCGACGAGCGCTCTAAGCCCTCCCCATAGGAAACTATTGAATCAATGCTTTCCTATTGGGATTAAACTGAACACAATCTGCCTAGCAAGCCGGAAGTGCCTCTAGTAGCTGGCTGTTTCTCAAAAACTGCACCCAGCCCACATCAATGAGCTGCAATGGTCTGGGTGCCTATATTATCCCTTTAATAAAGCAGTTTTTGTGCATAGATCATGACCCTGGAGCAGTGGCATACATACCGGGGTCGCAGCTGCAACCGGGCCCGGCCTACCAGGGGGCCCGCCCGCCCTGCGACCCGGTATGTATGCCACTGTGGCCAGCCTCTTATCCTGGGGGGGCCCAGGAGCTGGCCACCTCAGGGCCCCCTGAGGCTGGCCTTGGTATCACGTGCGAGGGAGCACGCTCCCCTGAGTGCTCCCTCTTCAACTCCCTCACGCACCACACTGATACCGGAGCCATCTTCCGGCTCCGGTATCAGTACGCGACGCGTGAGGGAGCTGAACAGGAAGCACTCAGGGGAGAGTGCTCCATCGCGCGCGCGCACCAGCCTGCCTGCCGGTTGATACCACTGGACCCCAGGGAATTCCCTCAGCACTCCCAAAGGTAGGGAGGCTGGGGGATTAAATTTTTTAAAAAGTGTGTGTTAGTGTTAGAGTGTGTGTGAATGTTACAGTGTTAGAGTGTGTGTGTTAGAGTGTGTATGTGTTAGAGTGTGTGTGTGTGTTAGTATTAGAGTGTGAGTGTGTGTTAGAGTGTGTGTGTGTGTTAGCGTGTTACTGTGTGTATCTGTTAGTGAGTCTGTTTGGTGTCTGTTAGTGAGTGTGTGTTTTGTGAGTGTGTATGTGTCTGTCAGTGAGTGTGTATGTATGTCTGTCACTGAGTGAGTGTGTGTCTGTCAGTAAATGTGTGTGTGTTAGCTAGTGTGTATGCGTCTGTTCGTGAGATTGTGTGTGTCTGTTAGCTAGTGTGTATGCATCTGTTCGTGAGAGTGTATGTGTGTCTTCAGCACTTATCTTTCTCCAGCGCCAGACTCCCTTGGCGCTGGGGATCTCTCCGCCCCGATCCGCCTCTTAGCTCCCAATGCACATGCGCGTCAAGAGCCGCGCGCGCATTCAATCCGCCCATAGGAAAGCATTATTCAATGCTTTCCTATGGACGTTCAGCGTCTTCTCACAGTGAGAATCGCGGAAGCTCCTCTAGCGGCTGTAAATGAGACAGCCAATAGAGGCTGGATTAACCCTCAGTGAAACATAGCAGTTATCTGCAACTGCTATGTTTTCATCTGCAGGGTTAAAAGTAGAGGGACCTGGCACCCAAACCACTTCATTGAGCTGATGTGATCTGGGTGTCTGTAGTGGTCCTTTAAGTGTATGTGTATCTGCATTCACTGGCGTACATACCGCGGTCGCAAGGGTCGCAGCCCTGCGACCAGGTGCCCGAAGCCATATGTTGCGGCCCCGGCCCGCGCAGAGTAAGCACGGAGGGGGGAGGGGGCCCCACGGATCCGTTTTCGCACTGGGGCCCCATGGGTTGTGTGTACGCCACTGCCCTGGAGTCTCACTGTTCAATTCTACGGTATTTGGGAGTTTAATCACTTTGTTTATACAGCTTATATAATATTTAGTTATATAAGCTGTATAAACAAAGTGATTAAACTCCCAAATACCATTCCTCACTGCTGTAGTAACCTCTATCCTGGAACTAAATGTATTCATAGTGCCTTATCATAATACTAATTTCTGTCATTATACTTGGTAAGTGGAGGGAGAGAAGGCGAAAACAAAGTTTATTTTTCTCCTCCTATACAATCTGTGCCTTGGCAGTGCCAGGATTAAACTGGATTGTGATGTCAATATTTAAATCTATAATAAGAAGTTTAAATAAAACAGCATCATAAAAAGGCTAACATGAGTTATAGGTGCTGTTCAGTTTTTATTGATGAGATTCAGACAAATTAACAGTTTCCCTTTGAAGCAATTTTTTTTACTTTAGAGAATATTCAGACAAAACAAAAACCTCACAAATAAATGTTACAAATTGCAAAAAAGAATCAATTATACTAATATAAATATCTAATTATTTTGTTATTTAAGTTCATTCCATTATGTCCCCCTATGGTTTGTCCCCTCCATAAAAAACAAAACAAAAAAAAATAAAAAAATAAAAGTATTCTCGTCATGCACATAGATATTTAAAAAAAAAATCTGACAATTACTGTATTCCCTACTATAATTTTTAAAGAACAATTGGTGTATAATTCAAAAATCTATGCTGTTGCTTGGCAACCAGAATTCATTGTAGTTCAACTAAGGAGACCAAAAATTACTAAAATTCTCCTTTTTTGTGATAAATCCCAGACAAGAAAGAATTCTTTTTACAGCACAAATTGAGAAATCGGCTATTTGTATACACAGAATATGCATTGAAGGGAAGGACAAATAAATGTGTTTCTTATTCCCTGACAAGGTTTATTTGAGGTTATTTATTTTAGGTGTCTTATCCAAAGACACTTACTGATAAGACTGGTGGTCTGAACAGGATTTGATGTCTTGTAATATACACACAATACATTTTACTAAACATATTTTAACATAAGTATATTTACTTTTTGATATTTTTGATATTTACTTTTTGATCATTTCCAAACTGTCAAAATACAGAAGTTAGAGAACTGATGTAATTAAAAGTAAAGAGTAAAGGAATAATTTAATGCCATTGCTACAATTCACATAGATTTTAAGCAGATTTTACATCAATTATTCTTTACCATAAATCGATAATGATATTTTCGGCAGACAGGTATTATTTTTATGTTACGAGGCTAAATTAAAGTTAGCTGTAAATTTTAAATGTGAAAGGTGTACTCCATGCTCTAAAACAACCCCCTTGTTTTAGAGCATGGAGTACACCATTCACATTTAAAAGGTAGATACCCAGATGTTTTAAAACGACAACCTCCATGATGCTTTGGTATTCTATAGGCATTTACAGCATCATGGGAGTTTTAGTTCTCCAACATATGGGGATCTACTTTTGGGTACCCCTGCACCACAGCATGGCTTGCACAGTTAATAACAAAAAGATATGGTAGGGCTGCGCCAAATAAGGGTAGATAGTCCATTAAAGTATTGCTAGGGTGCCAATAGATGGTCTAGGATACTTGATAGAGTTCCTCTGTGGATGCGGTTAATGCACACTTATCTTTGCCACCCTTCAGAAGGTACACGGAAACCTGGAACCTTAGTTCTACTTGTCCAGCAACCTGAACTTTAGTATTGCACAACCACCCTTCAACCACTAGATGGAGTCATAAATAGCTCTTCCGACTTCATTCCCATGTACAAGATTATAATAAAAAGGAGTCTATAGTTGCATAGTGGAAACCAATTAAAGCCTTTTACGGAGGCTCTATTCCCAAGTACTCCTGCCTTGAGAAAGTAATTTCTATTGATTGAAATTACAAATGAAATGTGTTGACACCAATGTTGAAGTGAACCCCTATTGGAGAACAAACCTGAATATTGTTAAAATAAATAAGCCGTAATGTGAACATTGTGGATGTAAGGAAGAGTGTTAGAAGTATTAATTTGAAGTATAAAAGTCCTAAAATAAAAACAAAATACACACATAATCGTTACACACAGAGGACTGACATGTAAACACAGAGTACACTGACTCACAAACATATAGCTTTGCGGCAACATATATAAGATGAAGCAGAAAACAGTACTTCATTTTTATGTATTTGAAAAACAACTAATTCTTCATTCCTGTGGAATTTGTCATTCCTGCGCAGTTAATTGAAAGCTTGTATAAGATCTACATTGTATCACCACTGCTCAAGCTACCCAAATTATCCTCTCATTAGGGTCAAAATCAAACAACAGGAGATGTCACCAAACACCCATGTGGTGCTGTGGATACAATTTGCAGTAATCCAACCCTACTACATCTGTTCCAATTTGAAATTTTGGAGGGACCCAAATACAAGCTAGTGTAAATACAAGAAATTGACTCAATTTGCTATAGATATACCCAATGTTGGCGGACTGCCTAAATAACTTGGTTTGGTTATTACTTATTTAAGACATCCTGAATTAAATTTGTCCCTGTATATGCAAATATTGGCTGGCTGGCAGGCAGAAAGCAGAGCAAAACCAGCCAAGGTCTGTGTAAGGCTGGCCTAGCCCAAAATCGTCCTTTTCAACCTCCCAGGATCCAACACATGGGTGGCTTCAGAAGAGGTCGTCAGCGCCACAACAAATGCAATACCCCATCATAAAATGCACTCCTTGTGGTTCTTCATTTTCTACAGACATTAATTCTTAATTATTACTTTGATCTAAAGTGTAAAGTCAAAAATCTTCAAGTACTTGTTCACAGTGTCCATATGTGTTAATTAATGTAACATGAGTAAGAGTATTTGTGTGCACATACACAGTTAACTCTCCATGGCTCGTACATCTCCTTTGTTCGTTAACTCATACGAAGCTAAAAGGAGAATCTTTCATCACAAGGGCCATAGACTCTCCAGGAAGATTTTCTGTATGGCTCCATTACACATATATTTTTAAATTTTATTTATTTTTTGCTGAAAATTATTATTATTCCTCATTTTCACCCCTTCTGTCACTCCCTCTCTAATTGTAACATTTCCATTTTCACTTCAAAAGTACAGCTGCACATGACATCACATATCACTCCATCATCCTGAGAGGCCGCATGGGTTCACTCATATTTTATTCATATTTTACTTTGGCGTCCGGACAATTCTCCATTTAGTAAATAACCCTGTATGTGTCGATTACCTTGCACATTAGCTTCATTCATGGTTTTTGCGAATGAAGTTAATTATGGCCAGAGCTGTACAGCTCTCCAGCAGACCCAGGTGCAATTAGCTGGTTTTATTTAAAAACATTAAACAAAAAATTTTGAAAAAATTAAATAAGCTATTTGTGTCGAGGAAACTCTTATCACATACTTTACAGTTGTTATAAGAAATCTGACAATAAAACTATAATCCCATAAACTTCTGCTGTGCAAGTGTTTTGGAGGTGTGTACAATGCTCCATACTAAGGTATGGGAACACCAGAATTGACAGAGCTTTGAGTCACTTCCCAACCTGTTGAGAATGTATTTTAACCTTTTGATTATTATTCATAAATAAGAGTTAGTAAGCATTATTGAAGTTTTGGCATGATGACATATGCTGGTGATGTACCCCCTCCCTTCCCCTACACACACACAAGTTTGTGCAATGAAGAATTATATGGATTTGTAAAATCATAAATAAATATAATGTATAGTAGACATGTGAAATTCGTTTTGGTCCGAATTTAAATTTGGCCGAATTTCGGCAATTCGGACATTGGGATGCTTCCGAATGGGTGAATTTCTGAAGTGCCGAACCGAACCTTATTGCCAAATTTTCTGAAGTGCCGAATTTCTGAAGTGCTTCGGATTTCTGAAAAGTTGCAAAACAGGAGAGGGAGGGAAAATTAAAGGAATGATGACAGGAATCTAACCCTACCCCTACTATGGGTAGGGTTGGGGTAAGGGTATTGTCGAAGTGCATAAATCCTGAAGTCCTGAATTTCAGAGGTGCCGTTCTGAACTGAACCAAATTTTTTGCCCATGCACATCCCAAATGTATAGTGTATATAAATACAATTTATATAAATTTATACAATATAAGCATGTCCACACACAAAAGGAAAATAATTTGTACATTTTAATATGCATTATAATACACATGTTGCTTTTTTTTGTTTGTTTGTTTTTTTTTTATTCTAAGTAAAATTAGGGATGGGATTATTTACCAAAGTATTTTTTTATTTTTTTTTTTAAAGTTGTTCAAAGTTGAACTGCAAATTAATCACAAATGAAATGTGCAGACAGGTTTATTGGTTTCCATAGTGATTGTACAATTTTTTTTAGAACTGTACCCACTTTTTAAAAAGATGGCAGTTTGATAACTCCCCTCCCCCCATACTATTCAACAGCATGATGTGAACACTTTGATGTTATGAAACATTGTCTGGGTGACCAACATGTTGCTTTAAACATACCAAAAACTGCAAGCATCTGAGAGTATCAGTTTAACACTTATTTTTTTTGCAAGCACAACCAGTAAGTCTAAACACTAGGCATGTGCATGGGGAAAATTTTTGGTTCGGTTCGGCATTCCGAAATTCGGGACTTCCGCAATTCGGCACTTCTTTTGCAGCCGCTTAGTAGATAACTCCCTAATTCCCACGGTATTAGGGAGTTATCTACCAAAAGGCTGAAAGACCTGAATTGGTCTTTCAGCCAAATTTACTAATACTAAGTAAACATTACTTAGTATTAGTAAATTTTGCCCCTACTCGCTATACCGCAAGTAGGGGCATGTCTAGTAAATAGTGAGTAGTCTGTGGCTGCTCACTGTTAAAAATAAATAGCGTCCCCCCTCCCTATTGACTCCCCCGGCCCCCACCCCTGAGCGGCGGGTGGGGACCCTACAGTAAAATAAGGGTGGGGACCTAATGTCCTCCCTCCAGGCCCCCACCCCTGAGCGGCGGGTGGGGGCCCTAAATACTAATTAGAGGGGGGACCTAATGTCCTCCCTCTGTCCCCCACCCTTGAGCGGCGGGTGGGGGCCCTAAATAATAATAAGGGAGGGACCTAATGTCCTCCCCTCTGGCCCCCACCCCTGAGCGGTGGGTGGGGGCCCTAAATTATAATAAGGGGGGACCTAATGTCCTCCCCCTGACCCCCACCCCTGAGCGGTGGGTGGGGGCCCTAAATACTAATAAGGGGGGGGGACATTACATTGACAGGCTAAGTAACTTACATTTTATATGAATGTGTTACACTTGATTGTTGTAAGTGTTGCAAATGCTTACAGCTGAATCCTGGCTATGTTTGAATACTTTTTATTTAAAATTGTATACAATGTAACATTCTTCTTCTTTCGCTGGGTAAGTATATTAGTACTTAGGCAATACTGTGTTTCGGCAACTTCGGAACTTCAACACTTCGGTAATTTCGGAACCTCTGCAATTCGGCACCCGAATGTACAAATTGCCCAAAAATCGCCCAAATTCATATTCAGACCGAAACGAATTGCACATGTCTACTAAACACTTTTTTACCAAGATCCATAAAAAGATGGACAGATTGATAGATGGATAGATTACACCTTCCAACTTGGCATCCTGTGAAGCGTGACGTCTGTGGGCAGTGTAGAAGGGGCAGGCCAGTCACGTGTATTGTGTTACTTGCGCACACAGAGGGTGCATACCAGTCCACAAAAGTGCCCAAAGAATTGACAGGGTAGCCTAGCATAAATACACACCAGGCTGTCTTACAATCATAGAGGCAACACACTGCGGCAGGGGGTAGAGGAACTGGGAGCACTGTTTTAGTACTCTCCGCTGGGACCTAGAGCCCTTAGTGTCATAAAAGTGCGGCTAAAGATGTTGACATGCTACCTATTTTGGAGACAGTTCTCTGGTGTCCCCAAAAGCGGGACACCAGGCAACAAAGATGGGTCAAAACCTTAAAATCGTAACGGTCGCTCTGAAATCATGATGGTCTGGAGGCATGATAGATGGATGTAATAGAGAGAAAGATAGACAGACAGACACATATGTGGGAAGAGTTCACAAAACGAAAGTCATATTTTATCTTTGATACCTATCATTATAAACAGAAAATGCCTATGTGCAGATCTATGGATTTGTGTTTCACATGCGCTATTTTCCATTTAGGTTACGCACTGCCTTGTTTCCTGCCTTTAAGAAAGGTAATCTTTTCTTGACTTGTAAGAGCTTTTATATGTGTGTTTTTTTCCCCGCAGAACTACATGTACTGAGACCTTTTCATTATTTAGGATATTTCTAGGAAACTCTGCGATACATTGCAAAGTTTGTGTTGACATGTTTTTCTGCTTTTTATACAAAATCAAAAGCCGGTTTGTAAAATTGTAAGAAAAAAATAAAAAAAAATACATCAGTGCTTTGTTCATATTTTGAACAGTGCCTGTGTTTTACCGGCTTTGTATTCAGAGATACATGCTTTGGTTAAAAGCTTTACCAGAGACTGTGTAAAAATAATAACATGGTACTAAAGAGTAAGTTATCTTTGCTCACAAAACCATCCTAACAAACTAAACGTAAACGTAACTTGTTTTCATAGAATAATACATTTAGATGATTATTAATTGATGTAGCTGTTGATAGACTCAAGTTTGCTACATTCAAAAATTAAAGAAAAAAATAATACCATATGTCTATAAAGGCAAGAGAAAATGGAAGTAGATTACATTATGTAAATTATAATATTCTTGTGCTTAAAGGAGAACTGTTTATTTACCTATAACTCAGGTTAACCTTTTTTTTTCCATGAGATGTCCCATTTTATAGTAAATTTATATTAGAGATTTTGCAAATTACGTAATATCACAATCTAGTTCAACCAAGGCACACCCAGGGCATACATTGCAAATGAGGAGGAGAAATTGAAACATTGTTTCATTTCTCATCTTCTTTGTATACTTTGTCTATGTGGATTGGCTGCCTGGTACAAAAAAAAACAGAGCTTATAGGGATGATTGACAGGCATGAGTGAGCTAAGAATCACTGTCACCCGAGATTTATGGATAACTTAAACTTAATTGCTCTACCATTTCCACATCTAATGCCACCCCCTTTGTATGCCACTAGAGGTGCTTCCTGCAGTTTCACACAGTTTGACTCTTTAAAACAATGCTGGACATCCTCACATCTTAAATGAAAAACATCCACCATAAAGCAAAACCCCATAGAAAAGCATTGATTCAATGCTTTCCTACGGGGAGGGTGTAATGTTTGCAACTTGCTTGCCACACTTGTGCAACAGGTCCTCCCGTTGGCTGGACTCTGGTAAGAGAGTTAAAGGTTATTTTTAAACCATTGCATGAATGATGGGTGGGGGCATGGGGCCAGAGTGACATTTTAGTGTTACGAATACAAAGGTGTATACCGAACACTAAAAAGTGTTCCTTTAAGTTTTTTGGGTTAGCAGCTGGTTGAGTAACAGAGTTACTATCTAGTCTGGAACCAGTCGCTAAGTAGTGGTGTTCCAAAACAGTCATCTCCTTAATGGTTACACCTGCAGGTACACCCCTTTATTTTAACAGTGCTCTCTGACTAGTTAAAATTCTAATTATAGGTATGTACCAGGCAGGCACACTCGTGTCACAATGTCCCATTGTTGGGAAACACAGAAAATCCAATGCAGATACAAAAGATATATTCATCAGCTTTACAATGTACAAAAACTGTCAGAAAAGCAGAGGGAAAAAAGCAGACTGAAAACTCAACAGATTAGCATTTTATCCATTACCTATTCAAGAAGATCATTAGTAATTTACATCCTCATTAGAATAGCTATATTGTTGGCAAACGTATAGACGAGAAGCTAAAAGTGGTTTAAAATCTGGTTGCTACACCTCCATTGTGATTTTGTCAGTGTGAGCTCATGTACAAATGGATTTCTTCACTGGGGATTAACTGGTGTGTATCAATAGCAGTTTGTTATTAAAGAAATAAAGAAAAGAACGCTCCAGACACAGAACACCATATTTGTTTTCCCGATCAATATGTTTTCTGTAGACACGATGGTCAAATCATTTTTTTGAGTGACAGCTTACCATTAGGACACATAAATTAATGAACTGTTTGAAGGATATTAAACCAAAGTGTAATCCCTTCTGGATTATAAACTCATTCTTCTAGATTGTAAACTCATGTGAACAGAGCCCTCTTCACCCCTTGACTGTCAATTATTTTGTTGCATTCTATCCTTAGAATGTCATTCGGAAGCATGATGGAACATGTTGGCGTAATATATAGAATACATAGCTCAGTGCATTCCATCCCAAATGAGATACACTCAAACGTAGGTGGTACTCCACAGAATGTTATTCCTCCCAATCTCTACTGACTTGCATCATACCAGGAGTCTCTGGGTGAAGACTGGAGAATTTCCAGGTTTGAGTATTGACCAACATAATGTTGATTGTCTTTTATACAGGAGGATAGAGGCTGCCTACACTGAGTTGATAGATACCTTGAACTGGCTCTGATGTGTACAGCTCTTTTTTCTTCCAGTCAAAATATTTTACTGAATGTGTTAAAATAAACTAGTATATATTCTGAAAATTGGCCATTTCTAGAGCTAAACATGGGCAAAGGAACCTGAAACAGGAATAAATCTAAAAGTGAGAAGATTAAAAAAAAATCCCTCTTTATACATTAGCATGTCAGGTATCCAACTAGTTTAGAGAAAGTGTATATTCAAATAGGAGACACCTCAGATCATCACACAGGTAAATAATACTACAATTACTGTAGTTATATGCATAACTACACAAGACTTAACCAAAAATTACTACAAACATTTAAATACATTAAAGTATACATTTATGATGCCAGTTAAATTACTAGCAAATCTAAATAAATTTACTACTTGCCTGCAATTTTCTTCCTGATCTGTGTATTATGCATATATTTGCAAGGCTTTCCAAAATCCTATCAGTTATGGAAAAGCCATTGATGAATATAGCCCTTTACTTTGTACCTATGGTTAAAGGGACACTGTAGGCACCTAGACCACTTCAGCTCATTGAAGTGGTCTGGTTGCAATATCTCATGTCACTTAACCCTACAGTGGTAATTATTGCAGTTTCTAAAAAACTGCAATAATCGCCTTTCAGGGTTAAGTCCTCCTCCTGTGGCTTTCTACAAGACAGCCACTAGAGTGGCTTTCAGGTGCTTAGACGACTTTTGGTTGTCTAAATGATGCATAGCGTGAGGACATTCTGCATGAGGACTTCCACCGTCGCCGGAATCCCCATAGGAAAGAATTGAATGCATGCACATTAGTTCTCCCCCGCCTGACCCAGCGCTGAGGGACATCGGTGGTGGATTCAGGTAAGTGTTTAACCCCTTCAGCCATGTGGGATGGGTGGTGGGAAGGAGGGGGGCACTGTAAGTTTCAACGTTGTCAGGTAAACAGGTTTGTTTTCCTGGCACAAGAGAATCAATTTAAGTGGTGATACAAGCATGAATGAATAAGATGAACTAATGGTATGTTTGTACTTTATGGGCTGTTGTAATTGTTGGTCTTTAGTGTTTTTGCATGGAGGCTTTTGGGTCTAAGCGTTTTGTAATAACGTTGTAAATGAAATAAAGGCTAGGTTTTATACTTCATACATCATATTTATACTTTAAGCAGAGCTAAAAGTAGGCAGGAACATATGAAGAAAATCTATCTAGGAAAGCATAACCTGATCTGTTTGTTATAATATGATTTCTAGTTTTTCTCATTAGAAATGGGTTTTCTCATAAAACGTGACCTATTTTTAATCTGCTGGTCACAATAATCTTTTGAGCAAGAATAATAATGTGATATAGAATTTTGGTAAGAACATGATTTTCTAAACAAACTTTTTGCAAACACAATCTCTTTAAAACGATAATGTATTTCAAGCCAGAGGAATTCATTAAAACCAGCGTTCAATCATTACTTCTACTCATCAAAAGTCTCCAATAGAACCAGGAGGCGACGTGTTCAGACTTTAAAGAAGCTCCATGAAAAGTGAGTCAGAAACTCTTTGCAGCAGTAAGGAGCTTAATAAGAACAATACAAAAAACTTTTCTTGTACTTTGATTCAAACCAGGGAGTCGATTCCGGATACTATGGCTGTTGATTATTTTAACCCCACTTGCTGCTTTCAGTGCCATAGGTTGAGGACCCAGCTATTGCTCTGGCCTGGACTATAAGCAGTGTAGGCATGAAAATGTTAATGTACAACTAGATGTCTTGCTACCATGACACAGTTACCCACCTGGTAGGCAACAATGACCCTCAACTCCAAGCTCTTCATTCAACCACCCATAATGTAGCATTCTGCAACACAGAACGATGCATAGATTACCCAAAACTAGAAGCATACGCCCTCATTTAGAGATGTGTAGTAGGATTCTACACTTCCCCATGCCCATTTAGAAACAACTTATTCAGTATGTTGGCAGACCAGCACTATGCATATACTTTATTGGGGGTAGGCAACCATCGGCACTTCAGATCTTGTGGACTAAATCTCCCATAATGCTCTTACACCCATAATATTGACATCAGGGAGATGTAGTGCACAACATCTGGTGTGTTGCAGGTTTCCTACAACTGCTATACATAGTCCTACCTCATCTTTAGATTGTAAGCTCACTGGCTAAGTAAGCACTTTGTATAAAAACTTCAAATTGTTAGATCTCAGCTCACAGGCACGGCCCTATTAACCTTTTGTATTGGTTTGTGTATATTGTACCTTTTTTTTTGTATCCCCTAATTATATGGTGCTGCAGAATATATTGGTGCTTTATACGTGCCAATAATAATTATAATCTGATTCGCTGCCTCTATGAAGCTTGGGAAACCGTTCAAATAATGTTTTCTGCATAATGGAAATGCATTAACTTTATATTCAATAAATCTTTGGTAAGCAGGGTGTTAGGGAAGATGCGCCTACTAAAATTAACGGGAAGGCAAAGATGGTCTGCCAACACTTGTTTGGGCTATTTAATTGAACATTCATTTTACATCCTGTTTCTGCTGTAAGTTAGACGTGTGGCTTGGAATGCCATTGGGGTCTTTGTCAGTGGTGGAGGCAGGAGCGGTGTCTGGCAGATCCCCAGGTAAAAAGTCAAACCATATTAAAATGGCATGACAACTTACAATGGGGATGCAGAGCAAGCTGTAGTGTTTATGGTGTTTGGAATGCTACCTTAATTTGGTGTGACCTTATCAACTGTAAGATGGATTAACCTGTGGAGTGTTAACCAGCTATTAACTTCTTACACCCACTATCAGGACTTGGTAAGAAGTCCTAACTATGATACTCCTCAATCCAATGTGGTTTGTTAGTCCTTAATCTTAGCATATGTACTCCTAACAATCATATGGTCCTAATGCATACTTTATTTACTTTTAAAATACAATTCAAAACTGTAAAATGAACAATCTCATTAGAAACAGACTAGACTTTATATTAAAATTCATAGTTATTCTAAACACCTTACTTTGATTTGTTTATTTTTTCCCCCTCATTATGAAAAAAGTAAGTTGTATATTTTTATATTTTATTTTTTAGCTAGTTAATAGATCACCTGAATCAAATCATCATGTAATGGATAATGCATAAGGCCGGCACGTTTCAAGAATACGATAATCATTTAAATCACACAAAACGAGAATCAAAGCACACTGATATACATCTATGATCAAAATATAGAATTTTATTTCTTGATCTGGCTCATGTGAGGAACATCATCTCAGGAATAAATATGCATGTGTCCTCTATGAACCCACAGTATGCAGTGTTTTCCCAAATCTCTGCCAAATTTCAAAAGGGAAAGTTTTCTAACAGAGAAATATCTTTTCACAAAGGAAGCCTATAATGAATGCTGATATTTTTATTGTATTGCATAGCCTGCCTGCTGACAACATTCTTGAAATTCTTTAAATAGCACAAAGCATTTTGTAAAACCATTGTGTTACCCTGTAGAGTCTGATTTTATTTTTTATTTTTTTAATCTACATTTTTCTAAAAAGGTACATCTAGTATATGTTCAAAGAGTTCTCTAATAATGCAAACTTTGCAAGTACTGCATAATGATTCCCTTTTTTTCCCAATGAAATACAAATAAATGATATTAAACAAGCACCATCGTGGCTTGTCCTTTTTGCATTGGTAATGTGCAAGGAATTCTCCTTGGCATCTAGAATTTATCTTGCACCAGCAATAGGTCACGTCACAGGTAGAATCTATATGCGCCTACCCTGTAATAGTAACAAAACACAGGAAATTGTCAAACATTTAGAAGTGGTCATGGTGCAAGCTTAAAACACTTCTTTTACAGATAAAATCAGTAAATTTTTGCCAGAGTATAGCACATGACTTAGTGAGCCCAGAACTCTGTTCAGAAATAAGCATGCTCTTGGATGCCAGCCCTCCTACCTCTCCTGTCACTCTGCTCATCTGGTTGCTCATGCATGCACACACCGCGTGCATAAATGGTGTAGTGTTCACTGCTTCTGGTAGAGAAGCATTGGATTCAGAAGAAGCTGATCAGTGGGTCACCACCCTTCCCACGCATGCACCCAAGGTCCAACAATGCTTCCCTTTGAGAAACATATGACTGAAAACCTTTTCACATCTTATTCCATATTAAGAACCATCGCTTCTTCATGGTTCATACTACTTAGACATGCTAGATTCAAGGTAAGTTTTTACTTTTTTTTTTTTTTTTACCAGTTATTAGAGAAAAAAATAGGGAAGGAGGTTAAGTGAAAAGTCTACCATAAGATATTTAAATAAAATAAAGAAGCTTTAAAAAAAAAAAAAAAGGGTTGGAGTAACATCTTAAAACAGATGTAAAAGTAAGTAAACATGGTCTTGTATGTAGAGAAATGAAAGTTTTGCTACAAGGACCATAAACCACTACAAATTATTTTTATAGTTCCGATGCAAGGAGTTGCAAACAGTCCAATTGTTGAGCAATATGACAAAAATGGTGCTCTCCTTGGACTGAGAGCCCTCCTTCTGATGTTTTTATTCGGATTTGGATGGCAATTATTGTCTGGGGGTGTTGGGTATAACTTAGCCCCAGCTCTTGCTATGTATCATTTCTTATCATCAACCTTGAGCCTTCTCTACCTCCTTACTTTATTGATGGATAGAATGCAGTAGTAGTTTCTATTTCAAACGACCTTACTGGGTGGTAGGAGGGAAGCATGCGTATACAATTTCCAGCTCTCTTGCAGATATTTATTGGGATAGACTGATCTTTCCTAGAGAAATGTGTCTCTTGAAAGTCCGAACAGATTTATTTATTGTCAAAAAGGAAAGTGAGACTTTATGGGCTACATTTCATTAAGTTTGGGGTTCAACCATGGGGTTCAACCACTCATTAGCGGTTTAAAGCCTTCATGTAAAAATGGCGCCCAGGACCTCCTTTAACTAGAACAACTTAATTGCAAAGAAGTTTTTATGGTGCTCGGATTTGTCCTTTTACATGGTAAGAGCTCAAGGCATATATGTGTATACTTACATTTCCAGAAAAACAATCTAACAAAAATATGACAAAAAAGGTAAAAATTGATTTTTTTTTTACCCAATTCTAGGATACTACTCCACATAGACAAAAACAAGCTTTCTTGTTCCACATAGAATAATTGTTTAGGTAGGAGATCTGTCCTTACTGAGATCTCACAAAAGGGACGTATTTGTAGTAAAACAATTCACTACAATAAAAAAAAAAAAAAAAAAAAATCATGGTGTTTACTTTTACACTGTAAACCGAAGTTTTTCCAATGGCCCTCAAGCACTGAACATGACCACAGCTGCAGAACCAGTTAGCCCATCACTATTCTATAGAGTTCTCTCTCAGGGTTATTCACGAACGTGTAAATTGTCAGGGATTTAAAGTGAATTTTAAAACGTCAAGAACCCATTTAAAAACAAAATACTTAAATAAAGAAGTAGACATTAATTCAAATAGGTAATTGGACCAAATTCAATAACTATAGTTTAACTGCACAATACGGACATAAAAATCTCACTGGTGGCCTTTGTTGTGCTTTTGGAATTGCAATTTCACATTTTGCAAGTACTGAACATGCAGGTCGATCCATAAAATAGATCTCACTTCCCTTCTCTTGTGCCTCCTTTCATTAAATATTTAAACTGCATTTATGGCTCACAACCGAAATCTGACAGTTTCACCACTGCTTCCAACATGTTATAAGTAACAGATGACTGGAAAATGCTATACTGGTCGAATGCCAGTGGTCTTTGCAGTGCGGTGCACGGTATAAAGTCAGGATTAAAGGGTTTTAAATAAAATATGTACTTAAATTGGATTTATAAACTTTATTTTAAAGGATTTGGTGGGCACTGAGCATTCATTGTTGGCAACTTTAAGATGATAATGAATCTTTGTGACAGGAGGTAATGTACGTAGAAATATAGCCCAAATTATTGACATAATGTGAAAGGCTGTTTGGCTACACTGTATTCCCATCATTCTTTGCCAAACCAAGAAGGGATTAAAATGAGAAACACCTGAGCATCATACTCAATAGACACATCTGTACCTGCAGCAAAACACCATGGTTACCGCCACTGAATCACATAACGAAAAGTAAATCCTTTGTGTGAACAATGACTCAATGCAGGCCCTCCCATATAGCATGTTGTAAAGTAGAATCGATGTATCACTCCTGGAGCATTTTGTATCACATCGAGCTGCCTCAAAGTGGATGATAACTTCACGGAAAATAACTTTTTACAGGCATAACGAAAGTCATAAAAACCCACAAGAAACCAAATGCTTGGAAAAACAAAGAACCTGTTTGAGTCTCTAGATGCTAAGAAAATATGTTGAAATGTGCTGATTAGGTATCGTCTGTTCTTCCAGATAAGTTAAACTTTACATTTGGTTCTCTATGCTACTCATCACCACAAACACAGAAGATTTTCTGCACTAACACAACAAACAGAAATGAATAAATAAAAATTAAATGTAAAAGTTAGGCAACAATGGCCAATATGGAAAAGTTCTCCAACTCAACTACAGGCACATCACAGCTACTTTATCTAAATTTACCATATCTGGTTTACCATATCTGACTTGTGCATTTGGTTACAGACGAATAGCGTTTCAGCGGCATTTAAGGCAATTGGCAGCCTTATCTTCAAAGCCTCATCTCCAATAACCAAGCAAATGACCAATGTGATGGATGAGCAAGCTCATATGCTTTGGGATTTGCAATTATCCCGGTGGAAATAAAAAAATTAAAAGATAGATTGATGTGAAATCAACATGTTTGGTGGCTAGGGGGACAGCCAGTAATTTTTTTCACAGATCAAGAAGCAAGCAATAGAGGAACAGTAAAATAAATATATATAGATCTTAAAAGAAAATATAGTAAAATATTACTGGTGTTCAGGTCTTAAACTTCTGGCTCTGCCCTTGACCTGCTTCTGTCTGCTGACATCATCAGGAGTGGTGGCCTGAGCCAATCACAATGGTTACCCATAGGATTGTCTGAGAGTGTCAAGGAGGCAGATCAGGGGCTGAGGAGCCAGCACAAGTCAAACACAGCCCTGGCCAATCAGTATCTCATCATAGAAGTGAATTGAAACAATGAATCTCTATGAGGAAAGTTCAGTGTCTGCAGGCAGAGGGTGGAGACACTGAATGGCAGTGCTGCTTACTCTGCAGCACTGCCCAAGGAAGCACCTCTGGCAGCCATCTGAGGAGTGAACAGTGGAGTTTTCACTAGGCTGTAATGTAAACACTGCATTTTCTCTAAACAGACAGGGTATACAGTAAAAAGCCTGAAGGGAATTATTCTACTCACCAAAACAAATGCAGTAAAGCTGTAGTTGTTCTGGTGACTATAGTGTCCCTTTAAGATAATGAGGATTGCAATAAATGCTATCTACATGTTCCATTCATGTAACCTAGAACAGACGTTGAAATCTCAGAATGTTAACTTGCAGCTGATCGGGCTTCCCTTCATGGTGGCAAAATATACAACAAAGGTCTTTCAAAGCATCAGGGGAGGTTAATTATATGCACGTTGTAAATGACACACAAGTAATGGGATCCAAAGCAAATTCAGAAGTTTTATTAAGAATAAATGTAAAACCTGCCTATACAACATAGAAATGTTTTTTTAAAAGTGTTCGTAAAGACAAACGTTTTTGTAAGGTGAGAAGTTCACTTTAATTTTATAACTGGCAGCTGTGATCCAAGTTCCTAACACTTTTATAGGCCCAATATAATGTATAAAGGCTAAACATTAGCAAAATTACAATACAAGGAACGCATGAGCGTGTTTTTCGTACGGCCAACAGTAATATATTAAATATTTACAATGGTTTAGAAGATAGTGGTACATTTAATCCAACTCACAATTTAATAAGCAGTCTTGGTCACTTCTTTTTATGTCATTTCAATTTCAGTGCTAAAAGCCACTGCATCGTTCACTGTAAAGCACATTAATCTGTCACATCAAGCATGACAAATCTTTACATTTTGTAATACAGAATAAGCGAAGGTCAGAGCCAGATGAACGCAGGTCACCACAGCACATTGAAATTGTTTTAATTGTTAAAACAGCTTTTTGTATAGATTGCCCAAAATATATCAGAGCCTAAATCAAGAGCAAGTAATTCCACTGCATCCTTTGAAGTATGACCTCACCCTTTTTAATTAAGTTCACATTTGTAAAGAGCTTTTGTTAATAGCAAAATGAACAATGACTTTTCTGTTTGCCCTGGGTGTATTAAAATATCAAATTCGGGGTAACCGATTATCAAGAGAGAATCACATTATATCTGGTAAGTTTGTGATGTCAAGGTTAATGCACCGATTGGCTTACCACCGTATTCCAGATGTTTGTAGATAGGGCTTTCATAGAAAATGTCGTTTTCCAAATATCTAAATTTGTACTTTTTCTGGAAAAATAGTAGGAGATGTTCCGACTTTTTCCCCCAAAAATTGTCCAGGAAATTGTCATGTTAAGGGTTTGATTATGCAGGATCTATAAGCTGATAGAAACTTGATCCAGAATATGAAAAAAAAAGGGGGTTGAGTTTGGTAGCGGCAATAGAATGGAATACAATGATGTCATTGTGGTGGATTATGAACGATGATGGCAAAAAAAAACATGAAGAACTATAAGCATATGCACATAGATTGGTCTAATCCCCCAGGACCTGCTATTTCCTAGTTGCAATCTTATCTTGACTATAGATGTGCATAATTAATAAATGTTATTGCAACCAGGCCCAGGAGTTCTGCCAGTGAAGGAGGATCTGGCCAGTCAGGGGCCTCCGGTTTCAAAATAGTTATTTAATATTTTGCCTGTGACAGATCATGTCATCCAGGGTTGCAGGGTAGGGCTTCCTCCTGCTTGGGTGGGAATTTTACAAGGAGCCTTCGTTTCATGTTAGAATTATATGGAAAAAATGGAGCCGAGCATTTGTTTGTTTTGGTAGGGTTGTTTTCAGCAAGAAAAAACAAGTAATTATGGGAAGAAGACTTGATGGGGAAATTCATGTACTGTTTATTACCGTATTGTATGCAAATATCCCTCTGTGTGTATAAATATCTCTGAACAGCTGCAATAAAGTTGGGTCTTATCCCCAGCACTGTGTGTCATCTAGTGTCTGTGGAGAGCTATAATCACTGTAGTGCGATTTTCTCCTGGAATAAGAAAAATGCCAATGGAGGTATATCTCTGAACATCTTGTGGCAATAACAACTATTGTGGCAATATTTGAAATAAACAATTAAAGTTTGTGAAGTAGAGATCGGTAAGCGCTCCCTTCTGGTGGTCCTGGCACTAATGCAATGAGCCAGAGTATTGTATTGGGTTACCATGATAATGCTCTAACTTACTGGATGAGTGTCAACCAGAGGAGCATCAACTGTGGTCTGCATCCACTGGAGATGCAGACCACATGCTCCTCCAGTGAACCACCAGGGATCCTGCTACAGAGACCATATGGGTTATATCCAACTTCCAGCAAATCAGTAAGCAGGAGTGGGTTTAACATTACACACTCCCGCACACAATCACATTCCGTCAACCAGTCCCACTCATTTAACCCCCCACACAGACACAGAGGATCTTTAGTAGTTCTTGCATGCCACATCTCCCAAGTGTCCTTATTTAGTAGCACAAATCCCTCTGATCTTCTTTTCTATCATAATGTCCCTCTAAAAGCTCCATATTGTTGGTGTGTCTGAATGTAGAACAGAGCTCTATAGCAACAATGCTCATATTAATATGTATTTAAACTACAACACATTTATTTATAAATCAGCCAAGATACATAGTGAAATGTTGGGAAGTATGCCATCATCGTTCTTACAGTTCCCTGATTACTTTAAAAATGTATAGGAGTGGTTACTACATCGTTAAACCCTTAAAGGACCACTATAGGCACCCAGACCATTTCAGCTTAATGAAGTGGTCTGGGTGCCAGGTCCAGCTAGGGTTAACCCTTTTTTTTTATAAACATAGCAGTTTCAGAGAAACTGCTATGTTTACACTGAGGGTTAATCCAGCCTCTAGAGCCTCTAGTGGCTGTCTCATTGACAGCCGCTAGAGGCGTTTGCGTGCTTCTCACTGTAAAAATCACAGTGAGAAGATGCCAGCGTCCATAGGAAAGCATTGTAAATGCTTTCCTATGAACTGCCTGAATGCGCGCGTGGCTACTGTCGCGCATGCACATTCAGCCGATGACGTCACTAGGAAGGAGAAGAGGAGGAGGAAAGCTCCCCACCTGGTGCTGGAGAAAGCTAAGATTTTAACCCTTTCCTCTCCCCAGAGCCCGGCGGGAGGGGGACCCTGAGGGTGAGGGCACCCTCAGGGCACTATAGTGCCAGGAAAACAAGTGATTTCCTGGCACTATAGTGGTCCTTTAATATATGCAGAAACATTGTTTTCTAGCCAAATGTATCTAATTTTTTTTTTGTTTTCTTTGGCCAGAATAATGTGCACACGACACCTTACAAACTCTCCCCCTAAGCCCCCTTATTAGACATGATGTTATTTCCCTGTTTATAAACGTGCCCATTCTTTCTCTTTGATAATCCATGCCTGTCTTCTTTCTCATAAATTGTTAGCAACCTTCGATTTCTTTTTCTTAAACTTCAACAACACTATACAAGATCAAGTAACCTCACCCATGACTATATATTCACCAGCCTAGATACTGGTTATTCTACATAATGATTAATATTTTTCGAAGTAATTTTTGTTGGATATTGAAATCCCTTGGATTAATCATATGAACCCAAAGGCATGTCTGTTATTTTATTTGCACTGTGGAAGAAAATAGTGCAAAATCTATTTCCTATTCCCCTAATTAAACCCTTCTGCTCCTCCAATTCTCAAAAAATCTTATGCAATGTAAAATGTCTGTTTAATGTGCAAACATCTACCTACTCTCTTATACATCTGTACATACAGGTATGTAGACATGTAAACACTTTTTTCTTTTTTAAACATAGCAATTTCAGAGAAACTGCTATGTTTATAAATAGGTTAATCCACCCTCTAGAGGCTTCTCTTGACAGCCGCTAGAGGTGCTTGCGTGCTTCTCACTAAGAAAACCACATAATGAATGCTTTCCTAGGAGACTGGCTGAATGCGCGCGCAGCTCCTGCCGCACATGCGCATGCAGCCGAGGAGGAGGAGAGCTCCCCGCCCGGCGCTGGAGAAAGAGGTAAGTTTAACCCCTTCCTCACCCCAGAGCCCGGCGGGAGGGGGTCCCTGAGGGTGGGAGCACCCTGAGGGCACTATAGTGCCAGGAAAACAAATATGTTTTCCTGGCACTATAGTGGTCCTTTAACAGTTACAATCTGGCAAAAGTGGAACATACGAACTAGGGGGAAAAAAATCTAAAAAAAAAAAAATCAACTGGACAAAAATAAGGCTTGGTAAATGAGAGCTGATCTCTGAAATTCCCATAAAAAGACTGCATGCTTTTTAAATTGTGTTCATACATACAAAAAGCAACAAACAAACAAAAAAAACACAATTAAAGTTAAGATGTCCACTCTCAGGATATGATATACATACACTGCAACTTGCCTTCAGTCAATAATTATCATTGGGTAATTATCTATGGAAATTATTAGATAATCACTCTTGGCATTATCCAATGAATTTGAAAATATCAGCTACTTCGGTATAAAATGTAAATCCTTTTGGTCCTTTCCTTCTCTGCTTCTTTCTTGATTGACAAATGATCACGTGATCTTCTAGTCAAAACAAGACCTTTATGGTGGGGAGTGGTGTTTAGCTCTTGTTTTGCTCGGTTAATAAACCCATAATGCCAAAATTTCCCAGCCCCGCGTTTCTGCACTAATTAGATGATTAGCACAAATACGTACATACATACAAGTTGTCCATGACTCAGGTTTTCCCAGTTTCCTCCAAACATTCCGTTGGGTTTGGAACTAACTTACATGATACACTGTACAAAGAAACGGATGTACAGTTGATGAAATATACCCAAAGAAAAAGGACATAAAATAATTACAGAACAATGATTAAAACTAAAAATGTTTTCCGTAATAACTGCAGAGCAATGCATCAAAGCAACAGCAGTAATGTTATATTTTTCACGCCGTTTGTTGAAATAATGTTCATTTGTAGAATTTTTAAACATGCACTACATTAACTTTATAGTACTCTGCAAGTTCCTGCAGATCAATTCATAATTTTTATGATTATATTAATATTACCTCTACGGATGTTTTATTACAATACAGCTAAGGCATACATTGTGCATGAAAATTAAAATAATTAATAGTGGGTGACTGAGTCAAGATTACGTATTCATCCACTCCTAGATAATGTACAAAACAAGACTTATTGTTGTTCTTCTAATACACCAACTTATTTGGGGGGTTTTTATGACCAGTGGACAGTGCATGTATATTTTGATTTATTTTGTGGGTGTTTTTTTTATTTTGAGGTTACACTTCTTAGAAATGCCTGTTCTTTTATTAATAAAGACACTAAACAGGAGTTCAAAGTAAATGTTAATCCAAATACTAATAATGGGACAGACATATTTTAACTATGAATCTTTTTTCATAAGATCTGGATCAATGGCTTTCTAAATCTTTTATTATAAAAATATAATAAAAAGTGGAGCGCAGAGATCCTTATATAGATGACTTATTGCTGGTCAGGATAATGTGGAAAAAAGGAAGGGATAAAAATAGATAGTGTAATTCTGTTATAGCCTGTATACATTTACATATCACTATATAGTGCAAAGATGTTGAAACAAAAAAAGAATGTTATTCCATAAATAGGATAAAAGCAGTATAATTCTATAATAACAAAATCGCTTGTTCTGACTATACTAGCGGACTGTTAATTCTGATTGTAGTATCTCATGCCTTTTTATCTTGTAATGTGCGGTAACGTTCTGTGTCAGAATGAGACATAAAGACAAAAAACAAAACAGTAATTCGAGTATATTGCACATAGAACTATATTACACACATGATTATCTTGCATATAAAACAAAGCAAAGGATAGGCAGTAAATCCCACCTCCTTTGCTTTGTTTATATGCAATATAATTGTATGTTCTATATAGTTCTATGTGCCATATACTTGTATGTACATAATGCAATATAATCATGTGTGCAATATAGTTCCATGTGCAATATACTAAAACACATTCCTTACCATAACATGCTTACATTCAACACACACAAACACTGCTCAGTGCTAAATACATTACAAATACACAAATACTGCCCAGTGCTAAATACATTAGAATATTTTGTGTTGGGAGCAGGGGGTGTGCCAAATTTAGTATCCGCCCCTGGTCTCAAAAGCTCTAGGTACGCCCCTGGACACTATTTCCATAAGCAGAGCAGTAATCAGAGCTCTTTTCCCAAACTCCAGACGACACGTGGTTATGGTTAAAATAACAACTTTAATATACATAGCACACATATTTATGCCCTTAGCCTCATTTACATACAATAGGGTCAATAGACTACTATAGTACTTGGAAGGATGGGGCCAAACAATAGCAAGGGCTGATGGGAGATTGAGAAGGGACAGGGCAGCTTGTTTATACTGGTCTGGCAGTGTCCCTGTGACAAGGCTCTGCTGGGAAACAATAGGACAGGAAAAAGGGGAAGGGGAAATGGCACAGACGATCAATAAATTCAACATACGCTGCACCAATACTGGGCACAGGGTTTCCAAAACACAAGAGGAATCTGGGGACCCACAAATAGTGTTTGTCTTTCATCCCCAGTGATGGTGATTACCGAAAAAGAGAGAGACACATGGAGAGGCATGAAGGAGACAGACACATGGAGCGGCATGGGATGAGAAAGACACGGAGGGGGGTGGAGACACATGGAGGAGCTGGAGAGGGGGAGAAAGACACATCAAGGGGCAGGGGGCCCCAGGGCTATTTCATTTAATTTCTAGTTAAGCCTCTGTATGTTTAATATAATGTGAAAAATGTATATCAAATGATTAGAAATGACCGTACTATATATTTTTCATGTCATTATCACTTGACATGTCCCGTGTTCACTTGCATGTATAATGAATAATTGATTGGGGACAGAGTATCTGTTTATGCCAGTGTTTCCCTTTTTGTCATATGTACCCTTTTCCATTGTTTTTTTCTATCATTTTTGGCAAAAAGTCAATAAAAAAACCACAAAAAAACAAACACATTTGAAATGAAATGACTGTTCGATATAGGATTCTACAATGTCGTAATCAGAATTTATTGGATGAACAAAATGAAATGGTCTTGTTCTCATAAGATTTAATGGTAATGTAGTTAATCACAGTTGACCTTTGTTAATGTTTAATTTGCTGTTATATAAATGGTTTTTACTTTGCAGGTGGGCATTGACCTCATATTGCATTATTTAAACATATTTCTAAACAGCATAAATATAGGTAGTGCCAGTAACAAAATGCCAATGCGTGTTCCAATATTTAACATGAACATTTAAAAAATGCTTACATACTGAGCAAAAAAGTTTCGTTTTTTTTTTCGCACCGCTACATACACAGAAAGTGTTTACATGTCTACATACCTGTATGTACAGATGTATAAGAGAGTAGGTAGATGTTTGCACATTAAACAGACATTTTACATTGCATAAGATTTTTTGAGAATTGGAGGAGCAGAAGGGTTTAATTAGGGGAATAGGAAATAGATTTTGCACTATTTTCTTCCACAGTGCAAATAAAATAACAGACATGCCTTTGGGTTCATATGATTAATTCAAGGGATTTCAATATCCAACAAAAATCACTTCGAAAAATATTAATCATTATGTAGAATAACCAGTATCTAGTCTGGTGAATATATAGTCATGGGTGAGGTTACTTGATCTCGCATAGTGTTGAAATTTCAGAAAAAGAAATGGAAGGTTGCTAACAATTTATGAGAAAGAAGACAGGCATGGATTATCAAAGAGAAAGAATGGGCACGTTTATAAACAGGGAAATAACATCATGTCTAATAAGGGGGCCTAGGGGGAGAGTTTGTAAGTTGTCGTGTGCACATTATTCTGGCCAAAGCAAACAAAAAAAAAATTAGATACATTTGGCTAGAAAACAATGTTTCTGCATATATTAAAGGACCACTATAGTGCCAGGAAATCACTCGTTTTCCTGGCACTATAGTGCCCTGAGGGTGCCCTCACCCTCAGGGTCCCCCTCCCGCTGGGCTCTGTGAAGAGGAAGGGGTTAAAATCTTACCTTTCTCCAGCACCAGGTGGGGAGCTTTCCTCCTCCTCTTCTCCTTCCTAGTGACGTCATCGGCTGAATGCGCATGCGCGGCAGAAGTCGCGCATGCATTCAGGCAGTTCATAGGAAAGCATTTACAATGCTTTCCTATGGACGCTGGCATCTTCTCACTGCAATTTTTACAGTGAGAAGCACGCAAACGCCTCTAGCGGCTGTCAATGAGACAGCCACTAGAGGCTCTAGAGGCTGGATTAACCCTCAGTGTAAACATAGCAGTTTCTCTGAAACTGCTATGTTTATAAAAATAAAAAAAAAAAGGACCAGGCACCCAGACCACTTCATTAAGCTGAAGTGGTCTGGGTGCCTATAGTGGTCCTTTAAGGGTGTAGTAGATTTGCAGTTATTTTGTAGTGTTGCCTTACAATTGACAAACTTCTGGGATGAGTTACACATCATGAACTAGGAAGTTCTGCTATCGAGTTAGACTTTTCATACCAAAATTTGCATTAGCAATGATAAAGACAAACGTTATTTTCTAGCTATTTAAACCCTTTCAGTAACGAAGGAAAATGTTAATGGCACCATATCAAGAGACGAAATCATGCGTTTGTTTTTCTTGATATTATCTGCACCTTAAAAAGGCACAGTGTCCACAAACTCTACTGGTTGGAAACTCAATTTAACTTTAATAGCTCATCGGAAAAAAAAAACACGAAGATTGATGCAATAAATTTACTCTCAACACTCGAATAAACAGGCTAAAATATTGTGTATCACTTAGGTCTAAGTTTCTGACTCACAGTTTATCGTGTGGTGTGGGCAGATATTAGATAAGACTTGTGCTACATGATTCATTTATACAAAGCCTAAATAAAGCGGTCTTGGTTAGTATTGGTAGGTTAATAAGACTATATAGTCCAATATCTAGGACATTCCAGTCTGATAAGATACCATGTGAAATGATTGCGAGCAATACTACAAGCAGTGGTGGTACAAAGTACTCGATGATACAGGTCTATTACCTAATTATATGCACTGGAATATTCAATTACTACTTTATTACTCTATCACAGCTTTGAAGTCTACTTGGAATATAAAGGATGATTTTAATAAGGATATTCAAGTCTGCCTATCTTTACATTACACGTACAATCAATATTTATTGGTATATGCCATTATTAAAATATCTATTAATCTTCTTATACATCTAGTTATATTATATAACTCGATACGAAAACATCAGAAACTGTTGCACCCTTTTTAATTGTCTATAATTGTGGCGAAATTAACATCACCACTTGTAACTGGAGAGGACTACTTGCCAGCCTCTTGCCATGTGATTATGGTCCCGGGGAGATTTGGCCCTTTAAATGTGGTATTTGGGCATAATGGATTTTTATTGTGCGGCTACTGGCCCCTTAAGCACAGTGAATGGACTTTTTTTTGGACTGTGTATGGCCCTTTAAGAACCATCTGGGGACATAGTGACTTTTGGGAACAATGCCCCTTTAAGACGGTGTCCCCAGTGTCCCCAGACTGTTAAAATCATGTGTTCCTGGCTTTCTCCCACTTGGTTCAGTAAATGGGGCTTACTGAACCAAGTACCACACAGGCGAACCACCCAGAAGTGGAAGTGTGCAGGCAATTTACATCCCAGGCTGGGAGCCTGATGTAGGTAAATTGCCGACCGCTGGGGGGCCGCCATTCGTGCAACCAAACACGTGGCGGCGGCCATCTTTTTTCATTCAAATGCAGTCAGCGATGTGTGGAGCCAAATTCATGGAACTGAAATCGGCTACACATTTCAACGAACACCGCTGACCCTTACCTTCTCCTACACTGATTTTGCAGCCACAGAGACTAAGTCCCGTTCGAAGATTCGAACGCATGTTCGAATGGGACTTAGTCATTTTTTCAGTGTGAAATTGACTCACCGCACAGCCCAAATCTATGGAACTGTTTTGGGCATGAAAATGTGCTTGTGGTCGGTCATAAAGGGACCTCCACGTAACTTTTTAACCCCTGGATGGAATTGGCTGAATTTTGAATATGTTTGTAATTAAAGTGTGCTGAATAATAATAATGTCATTTTTATGAAGATTGAATGTATATTTTTAAAGATACCGTAACTGTGTAAAAAGTATATTTTTCCTGCCTGTGATAATTAAGTTAGTCTAGTCTATTGTGTTGAGATAATTGTATCACAGGCAGAGGGGAGGATTTCTGATGTCATGAATGGGAGTGTTTAGCTGTGTTGTAACGTATTGATTGGTTGTTCTGCAAAACCCTGTGGGCGGTACTATGTGTGTAAAATGGGCATAAAAGCAGAGCGTTGGATTAAAAGTTTGAGTTCTACTTCACCCTTAATTTGGAGTGCCGTCTCATATTGGGGGAATCTGCTATAAGGGATTGCTATGCTAGTCATACTCTCTTGCTATATCACTACTAATTTCTTGTAAGAGCTTGTTCCTGTTCTGCTACCTGAAGGAGTCTACGGTGGTTATGGTGTCGGCTGGAGTGCTTGGAGCCCTCAGGAAGCGCTAGGAGGTACCCAGTCGGTGGTGCCCGTCGATCTGTCACAATTATTATATCATCATCAGGGAAAAAAGTGTTTTTATTTTTTTGTACAAATCAACTCTGTAGTAAAATGATTATTCTATGTGAATGCTGGAAACTTGCCTAGCAAAATACATTTTAAATTTCATTAACCAAGTAAAAATGTAAATTTGTAGATAACTAGTACATTTCATGTTTTAGTGCATTGTAATTACAATGAGGTCTAACTATATTTAACAGAAAAAAAATCCATATATATTAATGCTATATTTATTCTTTATTATTACATTGTCTGGTATAAATTATATAGCCGATGCCAAAAGACCAAATATTAACAAAAAGGCACTTTTAAGGTAACGTTACCAATGGAAAACGTGTTTCAGTACAAACAATGAATTCAAATATGATCTCAGGAAGGAAACGTTGCGTGAAATGAACTGATATGTAATTGCTATGTGCTGAAATTGTGATTTAATCTAAACACTTCTTGTGGCCAGGAAAGAATTGTTTATTATTATGTAAAATTTTCTCTGAAGCAACTGAATAGTTTTTATTTTTTTCCTTTTTTGTTATTTTATTTCCTGTGGATAGCCACAAAGTTGTAACCTAAGCGGAGGTCATTACATACTTGGAAATGATTTTCCCAATAATTAGGATATGGTTACGGTTTTCAAAATTCCTGGTCAGTGGTTCACAAGTTTCCTTTATTAAAAGAAAGAGCAAAATCAAATAAAGCATTTAAGAGTTTAGGCTGGGACGGGATGTTGGTAAACATCATAAAATCATGGATTTTAAATATAGACGTTCAGAATGTAGCCTATGGAGCAGTGGAATGGGCCTTGACATAGCTAGGAGACTGGCATACAAGGGGTTAAGGTTTAAGTGGGTTGACAGGTCAAGGAGGTCGGGGCCTATAGGAGTATTAATAACGGACATTTTGTGTTGGAGCCATTTTAACTAATCCTGACTTACTTGTTGTCCCACCCTCCCTCTCGTTTTAGGTTTTTGGTATGGGTATGTCACTTATGTTATTGGCTGGTGTGGGCGGGGGATGTTGACATATTTGGGGTAGGTAGGAATGGTAGCTGGAAGCTTGGAAGTTCTGTACCAATATTCACTTGGTTGGATTTGGTATTTAGTAAGTTAGAGCCAGTCAGTGGCTCTCAACCTGGTTGTGTAGGGGTGTCTCGATAAAGCCCTACAATGTTTAAACGGTTTGCCTGTTGTGGTTGTGTATATTGTATTATGCAATTTAATACACATTTTGATTATGGATGTTATGTTATGGGTCATTGTCAGAGGGTATAATGGCTGGGTATGTAGTTAATGGCAGATGTACAGAGTTATTCAAATCTCTTATGCAAAGCAAGTATAAATCACCTGGGAAGTGCATGACTTGTTCATTAGATACATGCACACATCATACAAGATCTTGTACAGATTATGTACAGCTATGTTTTCCCTTTGACATCAATTACTTAATGGTAGCCATGTACATTTTAGAAAAGCCCTGCAGTACTTAGTAGCATGAGTGAAACAAGAACAAGAGTTTCCTTGCATCATAATCTCTACAATGAATACAAGTTGTAGCTTCTCACGGGCAAGGGAAGGTGGTCTGCACAAAAGATTAGACACAAAGAACAAATGTGTCTAAAGCAAAATGACAAAATGAATGTTCCAATCAGAAACAAGTAAATGCCTGCCAATGATGACAAAGCATTCTGAAAAAATACCTACATCAGAGTCATATCTGATTTCAATATTTTTCCATGCTCCACAGTTAACCACTGCTTAATCAATGCACCAGATGTATGATTTGGTAGATACTCTGCTCCCTCATGCGATTTATTATATTCATATTCACTGTATTCTTTTGTCACATTTTTACAGTACATATTATTAGTCTCTCTTAAGAGAGATGCATTCTTCATTTGATACTATAGAAAAGGTTTACACGATCAGGTGTTTTGGTGTCCAAAAAGGCAACCAGCATGAAAACCTTTTTAATCCCTTTGAAAGAGCCATACTGGTGAAAACGCGTTCATGGATGTTACTACTTTGTATTTTAACGATTAAAGGATTTTGGTCACTACACTTGTGCCAATTACCTTTTTTTATTTCGTTTTAATCCTGTTTTCATACTTCCTGGCATCTTTTATCTCTACTCCAAAGCAATCCTAGGTGGGGATCAAACCACCAATGCTATACTCAACGCTGTCACCATAGAGCAGTTACTCTGCTCTATATTTGTGAGTATATTATACTTTTTATCATATACATCACTTGTTTTATTGAGAGCACTATCGGTCACTCTATCCATTTCTCCCTGGGTTCCTGTCATCGTGAACCAAACGCACACCTCCATACATCTAATAAGTGGGGATTATACCACCGCACGCTAGAGCTGGCTAAGGCTCTATAAAATGTGAGTCTGATACTGTCAATTTTTATTGCATAACTAGATTTGACATATTACACTATTACCACCCTTTCTGGTTTTGTCTTTCTATATACATTAACAAGAAAATAAAGACAGCTACCCAACCCAAAGAAAAGTCCTTGCTGTACTAAAGACTAAACGTCTACTATCAAGAGACTATTATTTGTGAGGACTATCACATAGACTTAGTCCTTGTTTGTTCCAAAATCTATTTATTTTTTATATTGTTTATTGGCGCAGCCCTTTTTTTTTTTTAATATCTTTTTACATCATGAAAACTACTGGCAAATATATTTTTACTAGTAATAGCATGTGCATTTCTATTCAACATTATTTCTTATCCACAATCATTTTATAGTTTCAACGATTTATTTATTTTTTTAAATACACTTTTTTTTTTATTATAAAGAAACCAATTACTAAGAAAGCTAAAGGGGAACCCCATCTTATTATCACATAGGGTTCTACTTGAAGTACATACATATTCATTCATAACTGCCACATTATCTGTGTGAAAATCTTCACTCTCAGCTGTGAAGTTAGGTGGAAATGTTGTTAAAATGGGAAATCATCAATACAAAGTAACTTGATATGTTCAAGCATATATTAATATATTATACTTTATATTATATTATACTTTAGAATGTTGTGGGGGCTATAGACATTTAATAGACACAGTATTTGGGCTTTTGTGAATGGTTTTAAAGGGCTACTCTAAAGATCATGAACACTTCAGTGATATGAAGGCTGAATTACTTAACACGGTGGTAGGAGTCTTAACATGGTGGTAGGAGTCTGTAAGTAGCATTTCAATTTGTAAAGCTGCATATTCAGAGACCTATTACCTTTTGAAATGGTGGGCTAGTTACAACCCCGGCACAAGTGACCTAGGGCAGCCCAGAACTCTGTCCTGGGCTGCCCAATATGAAATCCGTGCAAAAATTACATCTGTCATCAGCACACACTATGCACTGCAGTCCTCTCCATCTCCCTATACCATCAGTTTTTTTTAGTTTTTTTTTTAAAGTTTAAAATCTTTTTCATGTTTCAATGGGGGGCGCATGATTATTACAACACAGAAATATGCCATACATTTAAGAGACACTCAAAGTGTTGCATAGGTTATGGTGGTCCCCAGTCACTCTTTCGCTTCAATCAACAGTTTTTCTTTGTAGCACAAATTAGTATAGCTATAAGCCCTCCGTCCCACTCAGTAACGTTACAGGAGGAAGATCATGCGTCCACCTGCAGATACATATCAGCTCCAGTCTGTATTGACATTTTAAGATTGCCATAAAATATCAAAAAAGTATTTTTTTTTCCATTATAGCATGAATTTAATTCTGAAAAAAATAAATGTTTTTTAAAAAAAAATGTAATCGACTAGCCATTAATTTATTTAATTTTTTATGCTACTACAAGACATTTTTAGTTTATTCCACATTTTCAGCTACGTCCTATGTATGTGCTACTCAGATGATCAGATGATTGCCGATTTACACACGTTATATAGAGATCAAAACAACTGTCACTTTAATTAGATTCAGCCAAGGAAACCAGACAGATAATACTAAAAAGATTAAGTGATTACACTGGCAAACTTCAATCATGTGTTCAAGATAGAAATATCAACTTAGAGTTAAATATCCAACTGCTAATTCAATAATCATTGTGTAAAATAAAATAGTGATTTAATGATAATAAAAATAAAGTGTTAAAGAGAAGAAAGAAAAAAAAACCCTACACAGTATGCAAATGATTTTTATTTTTTTTTAAAGAAATTATTTTCAAATTTTTACTTCATAGGTATGGTACAGAATGAAGAAAGGGAAGGGATACAGATCAGTGATGGCATAGTAGTGAAATTCTGTGTCTATGGCTCTTTTCCTTACTATTTCAATGAGCCTATTTTGAAACAATTTCTTTGATAAAAAGGTCTGTTTTCATATGGAGGCAAGTACAGAATATATTGTTAACTACAGTATTGGTTGATTTGAGGCTCATTGTGCAGTGTGAATCAATTGTAGTACTGTGAGAGCCTGAGGTGATGTTGGGGTATTGGGTTTGAGTTGGGGGGTAGGGTGTCATGCAATGTGTATCCAGTCTCTGCCAAGATTCATACCCCCATTTATTTTTGATGGTGTACTGTGTGTTTCTGCACTTTTGTGCTTATTAGTTGTGGTGTATGGTGTCTTGGTGCCTTAGTCTGCGTGAGGGGGGCTGTCTCTTGGGTATGGTTTTTAAATTTGGTGGCTGTAGTGGACAAGTTTTCTGTTCAAGAATGGGATCAGTGTCTGGTGGATGCTGGGTACAAAGGGGTGTGGGGAAGGGGAGAGGAGATTGGGAATATTAGGTGGGAGAGAGGATGATGAAGACTTGCAGATAGTGGGGGAATGGTGAGGTTGTTGAGCTGGGTGGGTAGCATTGGGGGGGGGTTTCTCTATGGGGTGGCCGCACACCCCAGTCCCTCCCTGGAAAGATTAGGTAGGTGGTCCAGGATCCAGTCCATCGCCATCGTTTCTGCGGTTTTGTGACGCATTACCATAAGCGAGGGTTTGGTTTGGTTGCCCCATTGTTCTGCAATGGTGCCTCTGGTTGCCAGTGCCAATTTTGCCACCAGTTTGTTTTGTGCCCTAGTGAGGGGGTCTTGGGGTCTGGAGAGTAGCCAGATCCAGGGGTATATCTATATGTAGGATTTTAGAGGTGAGGTTGGACACCTCGACCCACAGCTAGGAAATCAAAGGGCACTCCCACCATAGGTGGATATAAGTGCCCTTGAGTCTGCAACCCTTCCAGCATGTTTGCTCGCCCCATTTGTTTTAATCTCAGGGATGTTGGGTATCATCGGAGCATCGTCTTGTATGCCTGCTCCTTGTGATTTAAACATATCATGAGTGAAGCCGTGGCTTCCCAGATGTCCACCCAATCTGAGGGGTCTTTTGGAGGGCCTATGTCTCTTTCCCATGCTCGTGTGTACGAGAGGGCATCCGCTGGGGAGAGAGTCCAGGAGGGAGTATATTGTGGATATCTGCCCCTTTTTAATGGGTGCATGTATGAATGCCTTTTCGAATTGTGTAAGTTTAGTGGTCGCCGTAGCGGTGTTCATTGGTTCGTTGAGGAAGCTGCATATGTAGGAAACAGAAATTATCAAAGGTATTCAGGGGTACCTTTCTTGGTAGATCTGGGAATTGGAGTAGTCGTTGGTCATGGAAGAAGTGGAGGAATCTAAGCAGCCCATTGTACTCAAAGTGCACAACGTTTTGGGGTGTTAGGCCTGGGGGGAATGGTTTGTTTCTCAGGACTGGTGTGAGTGGTGATGGTGTGTTTGCCAAGGGGTGTTTTGGGATGGTTTTGTCCCAAATGTGGAAGGATGTAGTTGGGGCCGGGGTTTTAGGTCTGTCCCTCTTGGGAAGCCACAAGAGGAGTGATGGATGATCTCTGCCCAAAAGGTCATGTTAGAGGTCCACCTATAGTTTCATACCTGTTGCGCATGTAAGTTTTGGGTTTGCGCCAGTTGGGCAACTTGGAAATAGTGATAGAAGTTCGGGAGGCCTCCTGTCCTAGTAGTTTTGTACATCTTGTACCTCTTTATCCTTGGCCTTGTAGCCGACCATATAAAGTTATCTATTATTGTTTGGAGTATTTTGAAGTCTTGTTTTGAGATGGGGATGGGGAGGACTTGGAACAGATAGAGGAAACGGGGGAGGAGGTTCATTTTTATAGAGGCTATTCTGCCCAACCAGGATATGGACATGGTGTTCCATCTCTGTAGATCGTTGTGTGCTTGTTGAAGTAATGGCATGTAATTTAGAGTGTATGTTTGGCGAGATCTGTGGGGAGGTGTGTACCTAGGTAGTGGATGCTTTGTGTGTTATATTTAAATGGTTGTGTCAGATGTAGTTGGTCCAGAGTTGGTTGTGGGATCCCTATCGGGAGGGCTTCAATTTTATCCAGGTTCAGTTTGTATCCTGAAAGGTACGCATACTCTTGTTGGAGTGTGATTAGAGGTGGTAAGGAGTGATCGGGATCGGTGATGGTTAGAAGAATGTCATCGGCATAGGCCACAATTTTTTATTTGTCATTCCGATTTTCAATCCGTGGATATTTGGGGAGTTTCATATGTTTTGGAGTCGGGGTTCTAGGGAGAGGGCAAATAGAAGTGGGGATAGCAGACAGCCTTGTCTTGTCCCGTTTCGAATAGTGAAGTCTTGTGTTTTGGTATAAGGGATGAGGGTGGTAGCTGTTGGTTGACTCTAGAGAGCTGTTAAGGCTGCAATAATGGGTTGGTGAATCTAATTATTTTTGTATTTTTTTTAAAGGTGTATTGAATAGAAATATTTTAGGTACATTCAAGTCAGCTGCTGCAAGTAGGGATATTAAATTGTATGTCTAGAAGTAACTCAGAGTACTCTTAATGCTGATTAGCTTTTTAGCAGGAGTGGATTAACACCACACTTGAAAATGTTAAGGAGTATTTAATGTGCATCAATAATGTTTTACCAACAATAAAAAATAAAAAATAAAAAGCAGCAACAAGGAAAACCATCGGGGACCTCCTTGGGACCTCTTTTAAAAATAAGAAGACCACTTTGATCACACTATGTACACGGTTGCACTTGCCGTTACAAATATGCTTTGGGGGGGGGTCTTATTATGGTGTGTGGGTTAAGTAGTATTGAATGTAAGGCTACATAGAATCACATGTCATTCATGAACCCTGCTCCCTGTGCTGTGTGATAAGGTGCTTAATGTATGAGCCAAGCTCGTTAAAACTTGACAGATACTTGTAGTGCACAATACTTCCCACCACCCAGAATATACTGGGCTATTGGTGACAAATGTCCCTAAAACTGTACTAGGGCCATTTACATTTAAGTCCTAATTCAGCACTTGCCTCCACAAACATATAGGCATGTGAGAATATCTCTCAGCAGTTAGAAGACGGCGAATCCAAAATTTCTACTGCCATAAATACAAAATATATCTGGTGGAGGTTCATCGGTGGGGCAGTCCGATAAAATGACCACCATTGAACTACTAGTCCTACATAAAAACAGAGCAGATACCAAGAGATTAACAGATAAAGCAAAAAAAAAAAAAAAACACACACACACACACTAGTTAGCAAATATAGAGGAAAACTACAGCGACAAATTCTTCCATTTGATTCTCAGGTGAAAAATATTTTAATGGCTAAATTATATATCACCTCATAATGTGTTAAACAGACACAATGAATATTTAATTTTCATTTGTAAGTAATTGTATAAATTTTAAATCTAGGCTCTCCAGTTGGTAATACAGACAGAAGAGTATGAAAAAAAAATAAAAAATGTAGCGGGTCTGCGCAACACGTTACATGTAACATTTGTATGTAACAGATGCATTTTCCATATATCAGTAAGACAATACAATATTAATATAGAATCTATAGATTTTCGACATTTAGGATATTTACTTTACAAGCCAGTTGCTATTTCATGAACAGTAAATAGATGTCACTGTCAGCAATGCAGGGCATCATGCGACTAAAAATACAATTAATATTAAACAGTTGGTTATGTAAAAATCATCTGTAGGAATATTCAGATTATTTTTAATTTATTCACATAATTTTCTGCCTTTTCCAACACTATTTTTTTTTTTTTTATGAATATATATATATATATGAGCATCTTACATTTTGTTGTACGCAACAGGTGACAGCTATCTTTCCATCACAAACACCGATGCAGATATAGAACAAGCAAGTGTTTTAGATGAAGCGTTGCATGTTGAAGATATATTGGAAAAGTGCATATTCAACTAAACTAATTGCAGTATGTTTCTCACAATCAAAAAGCCAGCTGAACACTGATGATGCAATCAGTCAAGACAGTTATCTATGGAAAGACTTCAAGGCTTATTTAGTTTCCAATCCATAGAGTGGTGGGAAAGCGGTGTGCAGGCTGTTTTAATGGACCCTTGCAAATAGAAGTAGAGTATAAACTGACAGACCATGTATGCGGATATGGACAGCATTCCGAAAGCATTATAGAAAAAGCAAGCTATTTATCTGCCATGAGCTAAAGAATGAAGAAGCGAGAAAACCTCATTCCATTTTCACCAATGGGTACCACTATTCAATGGACATCTCAACTGGGCATATGTAAACAAAAAAATTGGCAGGTCCATTTTAATAGACACACACACACACACCACTAATATTGGCACCCTTAATAGATGTGAGCAAAGAAGGCTGCTGTGAACAATTATCTTTATTGCTTAAACGTTTTATCTTTTGTACCAACAATACACAAAAGTACTATGCTCTCATGGATATTAATTGCAAACAGAGGTTCATAAAAATGTATATATCCACAATAATTGGCACCTCTATAAATTCATATGAGAAAAATATATTTGAAGTATATTGCCATTTATATATTCCATTATTTAGTATAACTGGATAACCAGGAACAGGAAATTGTTCATTCATGACTGTTCAATCAGGGGTATAAATATGAACCGGACATTTTTGTAAGATACATGGCATCATGAAGTCTATCAAATATCAACAGATAATAAATTAACACCTGACTACCACTGTCCGAAAGCTTAAAATGGGCTGTGGTTGAATCTTCCAAATAGACAATGAACCAAAACATACATCGAAATCAACACAAATGGTTTCCTGACCACAAAATCGATGGCCTGCCATTGCCATCCCAATTACCTGACTTGAATCCCATAGAAAACCTGGGAGGTTTGTGGGGGTTAAGAGGAGAGTCCATCAACATCATCCTTAAAATCTGGATAGATTCTGTATGTAGGAAAGGTCTCAGATCCCTTGCCATGTATTCCCCAACCTTATCAGGCATTATAGTAAGACTAGGAGCTGTTAGCTTGTCAAATAGAGGTAGCACAAATTATTAAGTAAAAGGGTGCCAATAAGTATGCCAAATACATATTTAAAACTATATTTTTTTTATAAACCTGTGTTGTGTTTTCAATTGTTTGGTATCCATGAATATTTTGTGTATTTTATTAACACAAGATCAGCAGGTTAAATATAAAAATAAAAGTTATTTGGATAGATACATAGTGCTATCCAGTAAACTGATTACCATAATATATATATCTATATATATATATATATATATATACACACACATATATACATTATAGGGTGCTGTATGCATGTTCAGGTGAGTGCAGCCTTGTTTGTATATTAGGGAGTCCAGGCCAGCAAATTGGTTTTGCACCCCTCCCTGTCACCCCTCCCTGTCACTGGTGCCTCATTCCAGGACCCTATTTAGCCTTGACTTGCAGAGAGTCCCAGTAAGGAAGCATTTCCCAAGTAAGTGGATTAATCTCATAAGAGGAAGCATTAGGCTGCTAGGATAGGACCTGCCGAATATGGGGTACTTTGACGTAGTTGGCAGGCTTATGCAATGTATGATCATATAATGTAACTAAACCCCCATCATGTTTTGCCTAGGTGAGGTGTTTTTAAATAAAACTATTACAATCTCTAAGATTTGAAATCATTGTTTAGTGAATAAGCGAGTGCGCTGGATTCTGTATTTTGTATATTTTGGCCCCAGCAGCACCCTATAATGTATGTATGTTCAGGTGAGTGCAGCCCTCTTGGTTTTGTGCAGCCCTCTTGGTAACTATTGTATAGTTGTCATCAGCCAATCTTCCCCCAACAAAAGTAGAAAAAAAAAAAACTTTTAGAATGCAATAGCTGAAGTTCATAATGCTAGACAGATGTTTTAACTCTGGAGTTGACGTTTCCTCGATGGTTCAAGTGTGCTCCAAGGAAAGCTAGAAGGTTGTACAGTTAACTCCCAGGGTGTAATTCTAAACCATACAACCTACTACCTCAACCTGGATGCACACATTTTCCTTTGTAGTCCTCATCTTCAGGTCTTCATTGTGCCATGGCCACACCCAGGTTTACAGTTATGAGGTAGAAGCAGAAATTAATAGGGGGTTATAGAGCTTAAAATATATTTTCTGTAAAAAATGAAGTAGATCAGCACAGTAACTTCTATTTTATTAAAAACATTACTGAACATTCTTTAACCCCTTCAAGACACTGGATATATCAGATGTAAACCAAGATACAATGGAATCTGACAGGGCCAATACAAAAAAAATATTACTTTTAAATAGATTTAAGCAAAAACATGATTTTAATCATATAAGCAAACCCAAGAGGTCTTAGAATGTTTACCAATGTCTCCGACAAATGGTCAGAAGATTCTCAGAGTCGCACACCCTGAAGCCAATTCCTTTACATTCTACAAACATTGCAGAATATTGGCATGATGAACTTTGGGGGTTATCTATTAACCCGCCACAAACCAAAACAAAAAAAAAAGTTTATAAAAGAAAATTACAACAATTTCTGTCAAATTGTCCTTATTTCAGCTATAGCTAGCAAAAATGAAGCCAGGGAGTATAATTGCAGTTGTGCGATAAAACCAGAATAAAATCCTCATAAAAACCTCACAAAATAGCTTAAATAGTGTTAACAGAACAAATTATCGGGCTCTTAAACTGTACTAATGAATCTAGTATTTGCGCAGTTATGACATTTACCAAAAACTCATTATCTAATTAGTAAGTTACCACTTTGCTTAACGTGAAAAAGTAGTAATTAAAAAAAAAAATTATAATTTATGTCTCGTTTTTTGGTTAATTTTGCACATGTACATGTCCTTCCAGTCTAGCTGGTCTAAGTGGCTGAATAAGTAACATTTTATCTCCTGCAATAAAGTAAACATTAAGACAAGCATTAAAAAACTCTTTGGCTAATTGATTTTTTAAAAAATTATTTATAGGTTTCTTTGTCATAGACTATAAAAATGTCAATAGTAATGAATGCCACAGTGGATGACATACATTTCTAAAAAAAAGGAAAAAAATAGTCTTATTTCATTTACGGCCTATATATTGGCTTCCAATACGTCTACAGTTTTATTTCGACACACATTCTAAGTTAGAAAAAAAAAATGAAAAATTATTTGTCAATGATGTTGCTTTGTAAACATTTTCAGAGTATATTTAAGTTCAAATGTTTGTGGGGTTTTTTTTTTCGTTTTTTTTTTTTTACTATTTTAGAATATATTTTCACTACCCCACAAAAATAACGTTTTTTATGGCAGTTGTATATTTCTTCTTTGCCTTACAAAAATGCCATTAAAATATTTTTAACCCCTCAATCACAATCATTTATTTTGATACCAATTAAACATGAAAAAATATATAAAGACATTAAATGCATAATAAACCAGCTCAAGAAATTCTTGGAAAATAATGTTAAAAATTGTAACTACTTTCGGGTATCATTTGCGGATTTAACGATATTACAGTTGGAGAGGATCGTAGAATCAGTACCGTGATCACACAGACCCATAGAAACGAGCTTGAGTAGAACAATTCACCACAAGATCGGATCTACGGGTTAATATTATCAGGTAAAACATGCATTGAAAGACTGGAAACAAGACTATGTTGAGCATGTAGTCACTTATCAAACGGCACACAAAGTCATGACAGACAGACCGAGAACGCAAATTAACAAATAGACAGAATATTAACTTTGTCTGGACCTATATGCTATTGTTGCCATGCTAATGTATTAAATGTTACCTGTTAATAGTAGATTTCATCCTATAATGTTTTTGAAAAAGGCAGTTTTTAAATACCTGCTTTCACTCAATTTTAGGCCAATATATAATAAGCTATACTTTCAAAAATAGTCGGAATATACATGTACTACAGCTGACACTATGGCTCCAGAATATAGTATTTTGAAGTTCATCATAAAATTAATAGTTATTAACTTTATAATACAAACCCAGGTTTTAAAATAAACCCAATTGTGCAAAACAGGATTTTGCTGCAAGCAGATTTTTGACACTGAAACCCCTCTTTTGAGAACATAGGTTCTGCCATGAGTATAAAATGCATAATGGGGCGTAGCTTTGCCTATGATGTAGATGATGGGTAGTTCTAGTAGCTTCTGCTATCAACATGGCAACAGTAATTTCTCATGTTTTGGGCTGGTACAAGTTTGCGATCATATAAAAATCCTTAGAGCACAGGGCGTCTGACATTATAAAACATGACTACTTCCAAAAAGCCATTTCAGAATGCAAAAATATCAAGTGGGTCTATCTACTAATGGTGAATTGCAAGCCAGCTTGCTCAGTGAATATCAAATTAGAGTTGGAACAGACCCACTCCCCCCCCAAAAAAATAACTACCATTTCTGTTAAGATTTTCTCTAACGTACATATATTATCAAAAAATGTTCAAGTCAGTTCAAAACAAAGTTACGGTTTAGGAATCAGCCTCCGCATTAAATATTCTTTATAAATAGGTATATAAGCTTGATAACACAATGTATTTAAAAAAATAAATAATAATTATATATATATATATATATATATATATATATATATAAACTTATTATATACATCTATATCTATAGCAGGCTTTACCTTGGTATTACAAGATGTGCAAAGTATGTTAACTGATTGCATGTATTTTTAAACATGTCAAACTTTGCATATTGGCAACTCTAGAATTCTAAATTGCGAATGCAATTCCAAAAAGCATCTTCCAAAATCTTACAGTAAATCATTTATGAATCAAATGATTTGCAGCAAACAGAAGGGTATTTTCAATATTTACAATTTAAAACAACCGGCTAAAAAAAAAAACTATATGAAACTCACAAAGTATATTACCTTGGGCGTTATCCAAAAAATGTGAGGTCTTCGTGTCCAATGCTCCTTTCAGTTCACTATAATGATGAGAAAGTGATTTGTTTTAAAGATTTGGAAAATTAGAACATACTTAAAATGTAAAACAGCGGAATAGTATCTGTTTTATAGCTTATACGGATATGAATAAGGAAAAGGAAAAAAAAAAAAAGCCACATAATTGTACAGAAACATATTTATAGTAAAGATATGAATATACCCATAGCATGATATATCTTTATACACAAACACACTGATATCTACAGACAGATAAAATTATTAATTACATACTGCAGTTTATGATTTTTTTAAAAGACATATCCATTAGTTTAAAAAACCAGTGTAATTCTTGGATACATTTTTTGTTATAATAAAAATAAACAAATAAAAACTATGTTTAAATGAGTTGAGAAATAATGTCCATGTAATATGATTTAGAGACTTAGGTAAGCATCTAAAATATTTGCACAAATCAATGCTGTCATGAGCAAAACATCATAACAAACGTGACCTTATACGCTTTATTAAAGGCGTCAAGAATAGATATTACAGTTTCCTAACCAGGAGAAGTCACTCAATAGACATCGCAGCTTCACCCAACCCCTGATTGTCTTTATTCAGTTAAGTGATGAGGAAGCTTTGGAGAACTTCTGTAAATTGAAACACAAATGTCTTAATATTCTGGTCTTTTTTTTTTTTTAGCAAACTGTAGAAACAAACTGAATAACTAGCGAATAAAAATGTAACGTGCCAGGCTTTCACAAACCACGATACAATAACTATTTACTTATTCTTGAGTTACTTTTTACTTTGGCAGTTCACAATGCCACTAATTGTGAATCTTTAACTTGCATACATTTTATTATCAACAGTTAAAATTAAATGACGTCATATTCCTGAAGCAAGTAATACGCCACAAAAAAAAAAAGTAAGAATATTTAAATATAATAAAAATCATAAAGCATAACCCTTCATATATTACAATTTAAAGAGGTGGATTACCAATAGTTATTCAATATGCGTTCAGTACCTAATGTAACATTTTGGACGAACAGCATATTGTAACTTTTTGGAAACGTAAAATATGTGGATATGAATGAAAACAGTCCCAATTTTAATATTTATTTACATTTGAAACTTTCCAACAAATCGCATTTTACAAAAGTGAAATGTTAACTCTTTTTTTTATGAGTTTTTTTTAGAAAAACTTATATGGAAATAACTTTTAACCAGACCAATGTATATATTTACAATTTAAATGTTTTGGAAGACGACGAAGTTAAGAAAAACCACAAAAGAAAAAAAAAAAAAATTTTTTTTTATTTTTTAAAATCAAATTATTAACATAGTTTTGCTTCAAAGATAAATTCTTCTGCCTATTATTATTATTATTATTAGCATTTATGGAACGCCAACATATTCCACAATGCCGCAAGTGTAGAATAGCGTTATTTGAGGTGCAAAAAGTTAGCAGAAACAAGAGGTTAAGAAAGCTGCAAGTTAAACAAAGCATTGCTATTAAACGTTACAGTCACAACTTTGCAGCTAGTTATTTTGAAACGCAGAGAGGGCAAGAATAAGATATTAATGTAAGCAACAATAAATGTTTTTTTTTTGTTTTGTTTTTAAAAGCCATAGTTAAAATGCATTCTTACATATTATACTAATTGTACAAGAAAACAGCTTGGCATAAATTTAAAAATCAGGATGAAAGTTTAAAAACAAACTGTATACCTGTCTTGGGAATTCCGCCTTATCCTTCTGTATGTGTTACCACTCAGGTGAAAATGAAAGTAGAGAACTTTAAAGAGTTTACAAAAAAATAAATAAATAAAATAAAAGTGTTCAGAACTTTAGAATTTGAGATAAAAAAAAAAAATGTTAATTGGCCACGATGAAGTCTTGATACCAACTTGGCAGTATTATTTTCTTGACGATTGACACATTCAAACTATTATCTCAGATTTGCCTGTCCAGTAACTTCTTAAAAAGAACCATGATGCATGAGGTTTTTTTTTTCCCATTTTCCCCCTTCGCCTTTTTCAGGATTCCAGGCACAAAGCACTGCGCAAAAGCAGCACCAATCCTTCGCCGCAATAGTCTGCACAGCGGTGGAGGTGGGGAAACCCAGAAATTGCAAGTATCTGCCCTGATTTTATAAATAGGGATGGTAGAGAGCTGCTAAAGCAAAAAGGGGTTACAGAGGCATGGTGCCAGTGTGCTGCACTGTAAATCAATGATCTCACTGACACCAGGTTTGCCCACTTCAATCGCCTGCACGTTATACATTACAGAGAAGAAAAAAAAAGTTTATATTACAAGCAGTTTGCAGCTTTGATTAGACGAGAATGAACTTCATGTCCTTTTTAATACAAGGAAAAAAAATGGCTTATTCGTTGGTAATTTCATGAATAACGTATTTTATCCTGTACAAAGATAAGCAGTAAAAATGTTATCAGGCATGAAAGGGACAGCCTTCTGGTGGCTTGCCAAAAAAAAAAAGCCAGCATAGAAGCGAAGTTGTATTTCAAAGCTGAATCGCTTGCTGAGTCTGGCTAAAGTCAAGTATTAAGATCCGCCATTTTCTGAGCGATGAAAGAAGAGAGGGGGAGGAAATAAAGTAAGTACGAGTGATGCTTTCAAATTCTCCTTGGCACCAACACAAAATCTCAGCCGTAAGGTCACATGATCCTCTGCCAAGTGGGCAGTGCATTTCTAGAAGCCATTCTGCTGATATTGCGAAGGCAGCTATTGTCTAGCTTACTGTATACCCTCAGCACAGCCCACTCTTCATTAAATTAGCTGGAAGAAAAAAAAAAACGCATCACCTTTGGGGGTTGGGAGTCATGGAAACATCTACCTGGCAAACTGCCCACTTTCTCTGCCCATCAACCAGAGACGGAATCGTGGCTACTATACAGAAGGATGACTAAGAATGTGAACTTGCCTGGAGTGAACCTGATTCATTTTCACAGGAACTCTTCTTGTTATTTAAAAAGCAAAAAGAGAAAAAAAAAAACTAAACGAAAAGTCTTCTGTCCTAAATCTAGACAACTGGTGTAATTAAAAAAATAAAAATTTAAAAAATAAAAATTCCTTCACTAGAAAATAATAAAAAAAAAAATAAGAGTTAGAAAAAAAAAAACATGCATTCCTTTGTATATTTTATCATTACATTTTGCGATACCGTAAAAATAAAATAAAAATAGCTTTCTATAAGTGTTGAAAGCCAGATGTCTTGATTTAACTCTTCTAAATTCAGAAAGGCTTGAACTTTAGGCGTATAAATGTAGATGCAGGCTTTCTTCCCTTCCTGGAAAGGGTTAAGCATGACAATTATCCCCTCTGTCATTGAAGGGGTAAATTGCAGTAGCTGCCAATAGTTGTTCTTTTCAGACTTGCTTGGGTATTGTATAACGGATCCTTTCAAAGCTCGCTTGGTGTTGGACTTAAAATTCCTAGTAAAGTAGGTGCACAGAAATAGCCTACAGCAACATTTTGAATAGCAGATACTGTATTGCTGCAAGTTTCTAGAAGAAGTACATCGAAAAAACTGTTTAGAGCCCAGCAGTGCTGTGCAGCTCAGCAACGAGACCCCTCCCAGACTCGACGTTTTAAAGTACCAGTTGCTCCAGATAAAAAAAAAAAAATACTCAAGAACCCTCATGCTTTAAGGTAAACGTTCCAGAACCATACTACGTAAACATAGATGCATGCTGCACTACTTATGCCAGATTTATAATTCGATTACAAAGTTAAACATTTTTAACTCTGAGTATTCCACCTTGGACTCCTCTGCAGGACTGAGTTACCCAAAAAAGGGCATTTTTTTCAATCCTGCATCTCTTTGTATTAGTTACATCTAATAGCAGTTCACGAATGTTACGTTTAACACAAACAAGGGATGAAGGATTTGCAAATAAAGGTTTAGACAAAACAGAAATGTAAAATAGAATGCAAAAAATACAAATTTATATGGTCTATTTTTTATTGTTTTGCTAAAATATTGTGGGAGGGAGCATATTCGGTATCATAATTGATATTGTATCCCTTAATCCCTTAAGGACTGCGCCAAATGTACACGTTGTGATCAAAACAAAACGTAAACAAAAACTTGAATTTGCGCTATATGTCTGTTCAGGCGTAATTCGCCTCTTTCATATTATGTACACCCACACTTATCATTATATTCGGGGGAAACAGGGCTTTCATTTAACATCAAATATTTAGGTATGAAACATAATTTAATATGAATAAAATATAAAAAAATGGGAGAAAATAAGAATTCTAAGTCCTACGTGACATTTTAACTGTGAATTTCATAATACTGTTTGCTTTTACTGCAATAAAATACACATATTTGCATACAGTGATGTCTCACGTGTTAAACAGTACCCCCTATGTGCGGGTTTTATGATGTTTTGAGAAGTTACAGGGTCAAATATAGCATGTTACATTTTTCAGTTTTTTCACATAAAAATTCGCCAGATTGGTTACGTTGCCTTTGAGACCGTATGGTAGCCCAGGAATGAGAATTACCCCCATGATGGCATACCATTTGCAAAAGTAGGCAACCCAAGGTATTGCAAATGAGGTATGTCCAGAGTTTTTTAGTAGCCACTTGGTCACAAACACAGGCCAAAGTTAGTGTTAATATTTGTTTGCGTGTGAAAAATGCAAAGAACTAATTTAAACGCCAATTTTGGCCAGTGTTTGTGACTAAGTGGCTACTAAAAAAGAGTGGACATACCCCATTTGCAATACCTTGGGTTGTCTTCTTTTGCAAATGGCATGCCATCATGGGGGTAATTCTCATTTCTGGGCTACCATACGCTCTCAAAGGCAACATAACCCACCTGGCGAATTTCAATGTGAAAAAACTGAAACGCAAGCCTTATATTTGACTCTGTAACTTTTGAAAACATCATGAAACCTGTACATGAGGGGTACTGTTATACTCGGGAGACTTCGCGGAACACAAATATTACTGTCACTTTCACTGATGATATCATCGTTGTACTACATTTTACTTTTTTGAAACAC